CCAGTATTTGGTGTCTTAGAGCTTAGCCACTGGGGGTACGGAGTATTCGTATGCCAAACATTCCCACTCGCTGTCATCTCTAGCGTAGTTGGGAGACCCCGGCCACTTTACACAGAAGCTAGGCCTATTGTGCCTTTCTGTAAAGCCCAAGCTACAATCTCTGCCTGTAGAGGTAGGTGGCTATGCGGTCTGGGCTACGAGTATGCGTCCCAGCCAACAGTCTCGATAGGCATTTCCAACCAACTGCTGCAGCAGTGCAGGTAAACATCCTTCGTTTCGTGCCGCTATCCGTACCTACAAAGGTACTTCACAACCGGGGCAAGACACCGAATAGCATCGATAACTGGCCAAAAGATTGACTAGCCACAGGTAATGGACTCGTCCTTCGAAACTTACGAGCTTCTCGTCTCCGACCAACACCCCTGGCGCTATATTCGGACCAACGTACATATCGACCCGCCCGCCCGCTTGCCATCTGTGCCATCCTCATTCTCCTCTCAAAATACGATCTCTGAACATCTTTTCCTCCACATCATCCTACCATATCCCCTTGCTGCCCTATCGTGCTAGCGTTCCCACCTGGATTGTGAAAAGTAGGGACCTCGACGCTACACTACTAAATATCAAAAGGCCGTCGGCCATTAGCCTTGACGCTGATCACTTGGGACCATTTGAGAAGGTGGGAATTCACCGAGTTGTTCCACAGTTCCACACCCATCTCCCTTTCTCTACCTCTCCACCCCGCGACAACTTCGGGATATTGCTGTGCCCTTGACACAGCCTCGTTCTAGACACTCGACTTGAATCTCGGGCGTCACCTAGAAGTACAAATTGGGCGCTGTCCCTTCGTCTGTCTGGCCTACCTAGAACCCATCTTCCGTATCTAAAATCATACGACGCCAAACGCCAGTCAAACATGGCCGGCAAAGAGGAGGTGCCCATACCCGAACCTAGAGGTCTTCCCTTTCTTGGCCACATTGCCGAATTCAACCCTGAAAATCCATTGAACGACCTGCATCGGTTGGCTGACACGTATGATGAGCCATTGACTTCTCTTCACGCCAATTGAATATTGGATCAATTTTGCTGAACTTTCCTTGTAGGCGAGGTTTACCGGCTGCGAATGCCAGGGCTGACTGTGGTTTTCGTTTCGACAAATGCCCTCGTCAATGAAGTGTGCGATGAAAGTCGCTTCCAAAAGTCTTTGAACAATGTTCTCCGTGTAAGAAAGATCAATTCCTCGGGCGTCAGGCAAAGCTAATCTTTCCTGCAGGAAGTCAGACACGTCGCCAACGATGGCCTCTTCACCGTAAGAAACCCCTTCCACGCTTAGCAACCATAGCAACTCTTTCGTTAATAAACTCTCAAGGCTAAACCAGATGAACCCAACTGGGGTATCGCCCACAGAATCTTAATCCCAGCCTTCGGCCCCGTCACCATTCGCGGCATGTTTGATGAAATGGCCGATGTCGCCTCCCAAATGGCCATGAAATGGGCCCGCCACGGTAGCCAGACCCCGATCCGCGTTACTGACGACTTCACTCGCCTGACACTCGACACCATCGCCCTCTGCTCCATGGACTTCCGCTTTAACTCGTACTATCGCGAGGAGCTTCATCCCTTCATCAGCGCCATGGGCGACGCCCTCACAGAATGCGGCAACAGGGACAAGAGGCCCGCGTTTGCCAACTACTTTTTCCGCAGCGCCGAGCAGAAATTCTTTGCCGATATCGAGCTGTTGCGCAAGACAGCGAGAGAGGTGCTCGAAGCACGGAAGGAGAACCCTTCTGAGAGGAAGGACTTGTTGTCTGCCATGTTGAATGGCGTGGATCCCAAGACGGGCCAGAAGATGACCGATGCCAGCATCATTGATAACTTGATCACCTTTCTCATTGCCGGCCACGAGACGACTTCCGGCATGTTGTCGTTTGCGTTTTTCGAGCTTTTGCGGCAGCCGGCGGCCTATCGAAAGGCGCAACAAGAAGTTGACGATGTTGTTGGACAAGGCCCAATCACAATCGATCACCTTTCCAAGTTGCCTTATTTGAATGCCGTAAGCCCCAACACAAGTACAGACACGCAACTTGGCAGTCACACTAACATCAAGACTTTCTAGGTCCTCCGTGAGACTCTTCGCCTCTGTGCCACTATTCCCGCATTCGCCGTCGAAGCCAAGGAAGACACCCTCATCGGCGGTAAATACCCCGTCAAGAAAGGCGAATCCATTGCTTGCCTACTCGGCAAATCCCAGCTCGACCCCATCGTTTACGGCGACGATGCCGGCGAATTCAAGCCCGAGAGAATGCTCGACGAAAACTTTGAGCGAACTCAAAGGGAATTCCCCAACTCGTGGAAGCCCTTTGGCAATGGCATGCGAGCTTGCATCGGCCGGCCTTTCGCCTGGCAAGAAGCTCTACTGGCCACAGCCATGCTGCTGCAGAACTTCAACTTCACCATGGACGACCCGAATTATCAGCTCAAGATTGCTGAGTCCCTTACTATCAAGCCGAAGGACTTTTACATGCGTGCCACCCTGAGACATGGGATGAGCCCCACAGAGCTAGAGCATCGGCTTGCCGGCAGGGGTGCAAGTAAGACCAAGCTCACTCATCGGTCTTTACCGTCGGTCCAGGCGAACGGTGTCCAGACCAACGGTCACAAGACTAACCCAAGAAACGGGAAACCCATCAGCATCTACTATGGCTCCAACAGTGGCACATGCGAGGCTCTCGCGCAGCGTCTTGCTACAGACGCGAGCTCCCACGGGTTCAACGCAACGGTCGTAGAGCCTCTTGATACCGTCCGAGAACGTCTTGTCAAGGACCATCCCGTGGTTATTATCACTGCTTCATACGAGGGCCAACCGCCGGACAACGCAGCCCACTTTGTCGCCTGGCTCGAGAGCCTCAAGGGCCAGGAGCTGCAAGATGTTCCATATGCTGTCTTTGGCTGTGGACACCACGACTGGGTGCAGACCTTCCACCGCATTCCGAAGTTGGTTGATGCCACCATGGAGGAACGTGGAGCCAGCAGACTTGTACCCATGGGTCTCACTGACGCAGCCGAGCGAGACATGTTCTCCGACTTTGAAGTCTGGGAGGACGAGATCCTCTGGCCGGCTCTAGCGGATAAGTACGACGTGGCCGAGGCGCAGGATGGGGGCGGTCTGCAATCTGGTCTCGCCGTGCAAATCTCCAATCCGCGGACGTCAACGCTGCGGTCTGATGTCCAGGAAGCCATCGTATCGGAGGAGAAGATACTGACCTCGCCCGGCGAGCCGGAGAAGAGGCACATGGACGTACAACTTCCATCGAACATGACGTATCGAGCTGGCGACTACCTCGCTGTGCTGCCTCTCAACCCGCGCAGCAATGTAGAGAGGGTATTCCGGAGATTCCAGCTGGCGTGGGATGCGTGCCTGACCATTTCTGGCGACAAGCGGACCGCCCTACCGGTCAACCAGGCCATCTCGGCGCTGGATATCCTTAGCGCGTACGTGGAGCTCGCGCAACCGGCGACAAAGCGGAATATCCTGTCCCTGATGGAGGCGACGCGGGACGAGGACACCATCAAGACGCTGGAACAGCTCGCCGGGGACGAGTACCAGGAGGGAATTACGCAGAAACGCGTCACGGTGCTGGATCTCTTGGAGAGGTTCCCGTCTATTGCGCTACCCATTGGCGCCTTTCTTGCCATGCTCCCGCCCATGCGCGTACGACAATAGTAAGTCATCTCTGACATGTATTGTCGTGTATATCAACACTACTAACTGTCAACCAAGTTCTATCTCATCTTCTCCCCTCCGTAACCCCTCCCAAGCTACCCTAACCTACTCCATCCTCGACTCTCCCTCGCTATCGGGCCAAGGCCGCCACGTCGGCGTAGCAACAAGCTATCTCGCCGCCCTGAAAGCCGGCGACAAACTTCACGTCGCCGTGCGGCCCTCGCACGCCGCCTTTCACCTGCCGCGCGACCCGAAAAAGACGCCGCTGATTCTAGTCGCTGCTGGGTCCGGCATCGCGCCCATCCGCGGTTTTATCCAGGAGCGTGCTGCGATGCTGGCTGCTGGACGAACGCTCGCGCCCGCGTTGTTGTTCTTCGGGTGTCGGAGACCGGGCGCGGATGATTTGTACCGCGATGAATTTGATGCGTGGGAGGAGATGGGTGCAGTTTCTGTTAGGAGGGCGTATTCTCGCGCCGGTGCTGAAGGGGGAAGGCAAGGAAAAGAGGAGAGTGGAGGGTGTCGGTACGTACAGGATAGGATGTACCGCGATAAAAAGGACATATCGGAGCTGTGGGCTAGGGGAGCCAAGTTATTTGTGTGCGGTACGAGGAATGTGGGAAAGGCTGTTGAGGAGGCTTGTGTGAATGTGATTTTGGAGTCTGCAAAGGAGGACGGGGGTGAGGGGCTTGCTGAGTTGAGGGATTTGGATTATGAGGGAGCGAAGAAGTGGTTTGAGGGGATTCGGAATGAGAGGTATGCTACGGATGTATTTGACTGAAGGGGTTCCTGAACTAGTAGGGACAAGGTTTGGATGGGTCGGATTTGAGGAGATTCAAGTTGCGTTTTGGATACCACTCCCCTCTGAGTGTTTGAAATCACATTTAAGTGTTAGTGTTGACATCTTGAAATGGCAGGACATTTCACAATTCTCGGTGAGCCAACAATTGCTGATATCAACATTGCCTGGTATTTCGCGATGATTCCATGTAAGGACATAGGCCTTTGGGTACTAATAGTCATCAGGTATAACCGAATCCAGTCTAGCCCGATGATTCAAATCACATTGACCACCCAAAATCCCAACAGTCTGAAGGCGTCTCGGTCTGCCAAATCCCTTTCAATCCCTCCCCAAGTTTGGGAACCAACACTCCATGAGGATCTATCCATATCCAATGCCCTGATGAAGAGACAACCAAGTGGTCTACTACTCACCTTCACACCCTCACCAGGAAGAAGTACAAGATCAGTCTCCTCCCCTCGAGAAACAACCCAGACTTCAATCAAACAGAAACCGCCTCACATTATCCTCCCCCAGATCCCACGTCCCCGTCAACGGGTTCTTATCCATCGCCTTGGCAATCAACGCCCCTTGCTCATCAACACACGCAGACCGATGCTGCAAACGCCACCACTGCTCCTCCGGCGTGCCCTCCCTCGAATTCGAAATCTCCAACATCTTATTCCTCATCATCAGCGCGTAAAAGAACCGGCTATCCCACAACCCATCCCGCCGCGGATTCTCACGCAGCAGCCGAATCGCCTCGTTGCGCAGCTCGGGTACGCGACACCGCGTCCCCGCAAGGAAGAGAGGCCACGTGGGACCCATGTCCATCGTGAAGATCTCGCCGGGTAAGGAAGAGCGCTTTTGGTAGGCCAACAGGCCGGCGGAGAGCTGGATGACTTCGCGGAAGCGCGGGGTGAGGCGGGCTACGCGCTCGTAGCTGCAGCCGAGGGGGGACTCGAGGCAGTTGGAGAGGGTGAGGTATTGTGCGCGGAGGTGCGCTGCTTGGCTGTAAGATCTCTCGTCTGAGAGTTTCTGCTTGCGGGCGGCAGTCCAGAGGGGCGCGAAGCCGGTTTCCCATCGTGCTAGGGCGTCTCTGAAGTCTTGCCAGCGGGAGGCGGTCTCTCCGGCCCCTGCTGCGACGGCGGACGAGGATGACAACGGCTTGTTGATGGCGGCGCCGGTCCGCGCTCGCTCGCTTTCTTCTAGTTGTCTGCGGATGCGCTCGTTGCATTCGGAGAGGAAGTCCTCGTCGAGTCCTAGCTGAGTGACGCGGCAGACAATGTCGGAGGAGTGTGTCACGTAGTGCTGCGTCACGTCCCACCACCGACGAGCTTCCTGGAGACTGCTGAACGTCGCAGGCATCTTGTGAATGGCGCACTTCCTCCCCGGTCCACCCTGGCAGCACCACGACTCGGAGGAGTATGAGTCCTTCTTCTCTTCAACAGGAAGATTCCCACCCTCGACGAAGCGCCGCTCCCGCCGCCGAAGCACGCCGCAGGACCAAGACTGCTGGATAAGCCGCTGAAACACATGCAGCGCCTCCGTCTCGACGGCCTCGGCGCCGATGATACTCTGATCCCGGCTCTTCTCCTCCTCGCACCGGCGCAGCAGCTCGTCCATCATCGTCTGCCCGCTGTTGATGAGGGCGAAGGCGGCCTTTCGATCGCCGTGGAGCACCTCAAAGCAGACAAAGAGCAGGCAGCAGACGATGGCGGCCCGGAGACTGCCTGTTTCTTCGCGGGTGGCTTTGCGGACCTCGCGGATCGCGCGGCCGTAGTACGAGAGGGCGAGGGCGTAGTGCGGCCCATTTGCGCCTAGCTGAGCGGGTGTGGTCGGCTTCAGGCTGTGCAGGAGGGCTTTCCCGATGCCGCCGACGGCCATGGCGGCGTACCGGACGGAGGCGTGCTGGTGGCTCATTTGCGGGATGGTCTTGGCCCATAGCTGCTCGTCGAAGAAGCCGCCGCCGAGGCGGTCGCGGCGGGAGAGCCAGTAGTCAAAGTACTGGCGTTCAAAGACATTTCCAAAGAGGTTCTCGGTGGGCTCGATTGGGAGGCTGACGTCGATCAACTGGGATTGCGATCTGGGGCGGGTGTTTGCGAGGAGCGGCTTCCTTTTGGTTACGCGGACGACGGATGATGATGGCGATGTTGTCTTGTTGGTGGTGTCTGCGTCTTCTGAGCCGGGGGTGGAGGCTGATGAGCCGCTGAGAGAGTCGTATCCTTCACAAAACCCTTGCCATTTCACGCATCGCTGGCATGAGGGCGTCACTTCATCGCATTTTAGGTGTCGGCGCCTGGGGCCACAAGGCGTGAGAAGCTATTCCTGCTTTCTCTCTCTCTCACTCCGAGAAGGAATACTCACTTGCCTGTGATGATGTTCTGATTAGCTACCATAAAGACTTTCAAGCGAAGCTCTGGAGATGGACGGTGGTGGAACCAGCTTACAAGTAATGCATCCCGTTCGAACCTTATTGGCACTCGCCCGAGTAGCCCGTGGTCTTTTCTGTAAAGCAAACGTGAGAATTCGCGGCCTGTCATTGTTGCCACCATTCCTACTACAAATCACATTGTCAGCGCGCCGCCGTCCTGTTATTCCCTTTCTCTCCGTTTGCCACCAACCAGATCTGTGTGTTCGCTGCCATGCATGTCGGGATGGGGGTGGGATCATACTTGGGGTCCGTTGCGTGTCCCGCTGGTTCGGTCCATGCCACACCAGGTGTACGGGGCATCAAGAAGTTGATTTGGCTGCCGCCGTAGGTGCAAGCAGAAGAAGTCATTGCTCGTCTTCGTTCCTATCTTAGAGAATAGAGAAGAGGAGATTTGAAAATCTTGGAAATTTGCTTTCAGCAGGGCGAATCTCCCGTCTTTAAGAGTGAAAAGCATACTATCAACAAGAGCATTTCAAGGGGAAAAAGAAGAAGTTTGGGGGCCGTAAATGGCCCCCAACACATATTACAACAAGGTTGAATGAATATTGTCCCTCCCCTCCATGTACCACAAGGACTCTCTACCTACCTACCACCACCACCACCCCCATTCCTTCGCGTCTTTCGATTTGATCAGCCTTCTCGGCGTCAGATTCCCAAAGAAGAGAAGCGCCCGTTCAGGCGGCACGATCAGAGACCTTGGATTGGGTGCAACCGGCGCTACTTCTGACGCCAGGGGACTCAAAGGGACCACCAAGGGGAGAGAGAGGGGGGGTAGGCACCGCAGCCGTGTAACTGGCACACGGGACACACCCGGGATCCCGTCCAGAAGCCAACTGCCAGCCTTACCCGCCGTGCCCCATCCATACATACCCACTTAGTCCGAGGTTCTAGTGACGTACCTGTTCAACGTCCTTCCGACGGAGTGCGAGGACTAGACCGGGGGAAGAGGCATTGTATGCAAGTTGTCTATGTCTGCCTGGGGATGTGTGTGTCTCTGAGGTAGCCGTCGTGGACTCTTTCACTGGTTCGCCCGTCAGCATGGAGGTGTGCTGTATGTGTGTCAAGCCCACGACCACGCCCACACCCTCCCTCCCTGCGTCAAGCCAAAAGGTTTGATGCGAGTTTACCACGATCTTGGGTGTTCGATGACGACCGTGAGGCCTCTGGGGATGGGGATGTGCCACGATGAATCACTCAGCCCTAAAGTATGGGCTCTATGATGTCCGCTGCGGGCGGTGCGTGCAGCGTCTCTTATGCAGGAGTCCAGGAGAAGCACCGCCGTTGCGAACCAATCTCAAGATCGCATCATGACTCTCATCATGCGAGGGCCTACTACGCCTTCATTCTTCGTTACATCGGCAGCATAGTTGTCGCGACTACCAATAGACGTTCCAAGAAGACATTAATGAGTTGACATGACGGAGGCACATGATACTTCCATCTGCCGTGTTGGTCATAAGTCCTCAGGAATCAATTTACGGCCGAAGAACATTGGATAGAATTTCTCTTCTGATTCCAAAGAAATAAGACCAATGCCATTTCATACGTCTCAGCCACTCATTACCTCCTCAGCGGGTGCTTTTTGGCGAAAACAATACCGTCCCGGGAACCTGCCTGGCCTGCCACGCATTCGCGATCTTGGCGACGCTGTTCGCAGAGGCTTTGTGCAACACCAGACCTGATGTACCCTGAGAATCCGAAATCTTGGCGACTGATCGACAGGTGACTATCGATTGAAGACAGATATCTCAACGTCTGCCAGTCGCTCAATGAGGATGCATTTCCAACCTCGCCCAGATTATCGCACCCTCCAGTCTCCCACACAATATTCACCATCCCAATCAACAATGATCCAAGACCGCCCGACGTGAACTTGGCAAGAGAGAATGCAGCCTACATATTTGGGATCGAGTAACACATTCAACAATTGAATGCAAAGGTCTCCTTGGCCTCACTCACAAAGTTCCCAGAACCTTAAGACCAACATGGTGGGCCAAGGTAATCTGCGAAACAGCGACCCCCTTGCAATGCCACCATGCGTGTAAGGTAAGTCAATCGCTATACCAACCACGACCACCACACAACCACCGGAAGGATAATAAGCTCTAGCAGGGGAGGTGGTTCAGATGTATGGGAAAAGCAAATCAGCAACTGTGCAAAAGTGCGTTGTACCGGAACGGCCGAGACTCGTGCAGGAGGACACCAAACCTCTTTGAGCCAGCCGATCTGCCTTTCTACGGGCCTGCTTACGCCAAGCCCTTCACGTTCCCAATTCCAGCCGAAGAGTGAGTATCCGTAGATGTTACGCTTCTCGTGAGAAAGGTCTACAGAGCGGCTAAATTGTTCATCTTCACAAAGTCTTTTCCGATTGTCTTTTGGATGTTCTCTTGTTGACGACACAGCTGAGAGGGGGAGTGAGTTGGGAGTTTCCCTGCAAGGCTTCGACACCAGTCGAATTCCCACGAGGTTACTATCATGCTCACCCGCGATCTTCACGACGGGAAAGCACTTTACACGTCAAACATGACCGGAACGATGGGCACCATTGCCGCCATCCTTCACGCCTCGAGCCCCGTAGTCTTATTTCGTTGTCCTTCGCTAATATCTCCTGGACCCTGGTGAGCCCCATGTCGCAAACACACCGTGGAGTGCTAATGCATGGGCGGATTGCGGCGTAGTACAGCGGCGACTCCGTTATCGGTACGTGGACACGAAGAAACGCGGGGGATAAGGGCTGTGTGTGTAGAGGTTACACGGATATGCGTGGTGTGTATGTGTGTGGATGTGGATGTATGGTGTATGGTGTGACGTCTGACTACTAACCTTACCGATGTACGGCTGACAAGCCTCACTTCCCGGCTTACCAACATCGCGAAAGGTGGATGCACTTACGTGCAGGGGGGGTCCAGTGAGCGCCCAAAGATGAGAAATCATTGAGCGAGACTGCACTTAGTCAAGCGGTATCAAAATTGGCAACGATCTTGGTCATGACCGGAACCTGGGGTTCTTACTGTTCGAACCCAGCGGGGGGTAGCGATAACAAGCGGCGTGGGATCGACTGCTCGAGACCATGTAGTCGGGGTGGTCAGCTTATCGAAGTCTGGGAAATCTTTCCCTTGACGTCGGTCAAAGTTCAGGCTAGCTCGTTTTCATCACTTGAGCTTTCTTTCGCGTTTCTTGGATGGGCTGACCGGGGCCAACTTTAGAATGACGTCCATGCATCGAGACCGACCTTCCGAGATGGAAATGGTGAGGTCATCAGCTGATGAAGGGCGCTGGACCCGTCGGGTGAACAACGCTCTTTTTCAAGATGCCGCGTAGTGCGACGGTGGTGACGAGTGCCGCTCGAGAGGCCTCGCATCAGAGGTGACAACACCTCGTGATGTTTGACGGGAAGGTCTATGGGAGAACCCAATTTGCATGACTGCCCGCCTCTTCACGGCTTGTTGTAAGTGGCATCAAATGATGGTTCTCATCACCATCTTCCCAGAGAAGGTGACCCAGGTCCGATGGTGGCCTCGTTCGGTTGCAGGTAGCCAAAATGCTCATTGGGGGAAACTCGGCGGAAGACTTACCCCTTGTGATATGGATGACCGGACTAGATTGGGATTGATTGCGATGAAAGATGCTGCTCCAGGTGGCCTTGATGGCGGACTCGCAGGTCTACTTTGGGCGAAATGGCATCGGCTGGCTTGTATGTCAAGATGAATTTCACACTCATGTCGAGCTCTATGACTGAGTCTCCAACAGAAATGTTTCCGGAGTTCCATTACTAAGACTAATGCTACACGACCTCCATCTTCATGCGTAAATGACAGCAACGATGATGAGACACATCCGACTCCAACATCTGTGTTGATCATGAGAACCAGTCCTTGACCCTCTCGCCCACAGTCGTCGGCTTGGGCTTCTCGGGAGCCCGCTCTGACTCGTGAAGACGGCCAGACCAGAGATCAATCTCGTGAGCGCGAACGAACTAGAGGGAAGTCAGCGAGATATCCTCGGCATTCTAGGGAAGGAAAGAAAACATACCTTGGTCTTGTGAACAATCTTCCAGACGATGATAGGAACAATGAAGATGGGGATTCCGATATACGACGAGACAAAGTCCGAAGTCGACCAGTTACCCGCCAGGAAGACGGAAAACCCAGCAACAAAGACAATGATGGTCGAGCCAATGAAGCCGAACCAGGCCGCGAACGGCTGGAAGGGCGCCTTCCAGGGCAAAGTATCACGGCTGACGCCCTGCACCTTCATCGCCTTGTGGAAGCGGATGTAGCAGAAGCAAAGCGTCGCCCACGCAATCAACCCAGCAACGGTACTCAGACTCAGCAACCAGTTAAACGCATCCGCGGCACCACCAGAGCCGAGACTAAGATACGCCAACGGCCCAAACAACCAGGAGGTAATGACAGCAACGTACGGCACACCGTGCTTCGTCGTGCGGCCAAAGAACTGCGGCAGCTGGCGGTCCGTCGTCATGGCGACAATCATGCGGGAGCCGACCCAGCAGTACGAGTTACCAGCGCTCCAGGCGCTGACGAGGATGCAGGCGTTGACGATGGAGGGAAGGATATTGATGCCGGCTTGACGGATGGCGATGACCCAGGGGGAGGAGTTTGCGTTGCCGGAGTCGGACACGAGGCCTTCTTCGCGGGGGTCGACGATGAGGGAGATGAGGAGGGCACCGAGGACGTAGAAGAAGCCGATGCGCCATGTCACGCGGCGGGCGGCGTTGGGGATGGCTTTGTGGGGGTTGATTGATTCTGCGGCGCTGATGACGACTGTTTCTACCTGGTTTTGCTTGTCAGTTTTTCTTCACGACTTCTTATTTCTAGGGAAGCATGAAGAACATACACCGATGAAGGAGAAGGACGCGTTCACAAAGGCAGCGAGGAAGCCCAGGAAGTGACCAGTCGAACCAGTGATGCCGTTGTAGTCAACCCACGCGCCGGGGTTGTTCCAGTACTTGAACCCAATGGCCTCGTGGTTAGGACCCCCGCCGGCGGTGATGATGATGGAGGTGAAGACGAGGCCGATGAAGCAGAGGACCTTGATGGAACCGCCTACAACCTCGGTCTCGCCGTACCAGCGCACACTGAGCAGGTTGCAGAAGAGGATAAGAACGAGGGAAATCGTAATGACGACGGCGGGCGTTATGTCTGTCCAGTACGACACTAAGATCGCGGCTGCCGAGGCTTCTGCGCCGATGGAGATTGTGTAGCAGTAGCCGTAAGAAATTGCGAGGGAGAAGCCGACGGCCGGATCGATGAAGCGGGTTGCCCAATGGGGGAATGAACCGGCGGTAGGAATCTGGTTTCAAGAGTCAGTTTTGCCGTTGAGTGTGAAAGCCGTAGGAAAGTATCCCGAAGCGAACGCTGTATCACGTACCAAAGTCGCAAGCTCTCCAATACTCTGCATCACACACCACAGAACGGCACCGACGATGATGTAGGCGAGCAGCAGACCGGCCGGGCCGGCCTTGGCGTAGGCCGAGCCCGTTCCGATGAAGAGACCAGTTCCGATACCACTGCAGAAACCAATCATGGTGACCTGGTAGTCGCGCAGGCGACGCTGGGTGCGGCCGTGGCCGCCGACATTGAGCTGGGGCTCCAAGATGGCGGCCTTGTCGTCGTGGTGTTCGTCGGCGCCGGACTTTTCAATGTCTCGGACCGCATCGTCGTCGGCGGCGGGCCCGATGGACCGGGGCCGGGAGGAATCGTGCGCCGTCATGGCTGAATATCCTGTTTCTCAAGGACAGTGACTGAAGCCGGCGTTTGTTCCGTTTGGGGGCTAGGTGCCTATGTTGTTGGAACGAAAGTCGAGGGTGAACAGTCGAGGGGCTATCCGGAAGGGAGGGAACTCAGGACATGGAAGGGCCCATATCGAGATTATATGAAATACCTACCGGCAGTCAATCCCATCTGCAAGATTTTTCGCATCCCTAGGGCGAGACCGGAGGACTGGGCACTAGACAATGGCATCATCGAGCTAGTCGCGGGGCGTTCCTGGGTAGTGTGGAACCATGAGGGGCGAGGATGAGAGGTTGCAGCAGATCGTGAAGCTGGGCGCGTTCACCGAGCTTGGCCGCGCTTCACCTCGGTCTGCTCCGGCCTGGTTGTAGACCTCTGTCACGGTGACTCGAGTACCTCCTACAGTGAGGGTCTCGATGGCATTTCAAATGTCTTGAATTTGACACAACGCATCAAGAAGCACAGTCACGAAGCTTCACACGCCATCCAAACTCCGATTTCGCAGAAAAGCTGTGAGAAATGGAGCGATGGCAATTCCAGGTACGTAAAAATTCTTCCCAAGTTGGCCGAGGCGGGCGGGTCCGGGGTCGCGGAGAACGGGGTGATGTGGGTCCATCCCATTTGCGCCGGCGGTACGGAGGTACAAAGCGCGGTAGCGCGGTGTGGGCGGATCTGACAGAGAATTGTGAGTGGCCAACGCATGAGTCGTTCATCTGAAAATCTTCTAAAAATCTTCTGGAAGAATGGTAAGAAAAACTTGCGCCGAACTAGTGATGTCCGTGAGTGTGACAAAGGGGGGCGGAAGTGGGAGACTTGAATGAAAGGGTTTATCCCCACGTGCCGAAGCACCAGGCCAAGGCGGGATCTTGCTCCCAAGACCGGGAGAGGAACGAGGGGTCCTTGATGATGTTACGGACTGATGGCATACTTGATAGGGAGCACTGGCATCCCTCTGCGTCACACAGACCGATGGAAGTGGAGGTACAGATGGATCAACATCTTGAAGATCTACCAAGCGGACCAAAACCTGTCAAACACCGCATGTCGGCAACTGATCGTGGCATGACATTCTGGAAACATAACCGCCGTGAGTCAAATCTCCCAAAATTCTGCCCACTGTCCAATGCCGGTCTCAAATTGCGCGACCCGGAAACCCCGAGCCAAGTTCTACGCAACTACGAGCCACCTGGGTGCTACCGCATTTTCCTTCTCCGATTCTTCAGCGCATCAGGGTAAAGTCACCTCGCACTTGTGCCCGACAGGGCTGATCATGAAGAAGTTCTCCATCTCCATCATCTCATCCGTCATCCCAGGCGCCACCATCAGACCCCTGCATTCCCGAAAGAGCATGGTCACGGCCAATCTAAGTTCCATTCTGGCGAGCTCGACGCCGAGGCAGATTCGCGAGCCGGCGCCCCAGGGCGAAAAAAAGAGCTTTTGGTTTGGAGTGAGTTTGCTTTGGTCTCGGAATCGCGTCTCATCAAAGCTTTTGTCACGTCAGTCGCTTGCTTCTTTGCGAAAACATCCCCAGCGCACCACGACATCTGTAAAGCCAGTGAGAGATCCTTACCGTAGGGGATCCGGCCATACCTCCGGATCCCGGTGAAGTGTGTACGCTTGCGTCTCCACCGTGACTCCGCCGGGCACAAAGTATCCCCCGAGCGTAGCGCCGCCCGCTGGCACCGACCTCGACAGCTGACCCGGAACGGCGCCGTACAGCCTCAATGTCTCCATAATCACGGCGTTGAGCAACGGAAGCTTTTCCAGCGCATCATCGTCGAAGTTGGGGCTCAATCTCGCGACCTCCTCTTCCAACTTTACTCTGAGGTCAGGTCGTTTTACAACCGCCCAGACTAGATACGCCAGCGTGATAGATGTCGTGTCCGAGCCGCCGATGATCATGCTTCGACTTTCTCTTTGCACCATTTCCTCGGTGAGCTTCTTATTTGTGTCGGCGTTCTTTTTACCGTCGTCGGTTTTGTCCGCATCGAGGGCGTCCAATAAGGTCGCAAACAACGTCCTGCCGCGGCCACTATTCTGGCGTAGACTCTCCAGAGCTCGTTTACCGTAGCTGTCGAGGACAGCTTGTGCGTCGACGAGGTCTTTCGATGATTTGAGGAAAGGTAGGTGGGCGCGGATGATGTGCAGCCAGGGCAGCTCGTAGCGCGTGATGTTTTGGACCGAGATGAGTTCCAGCATCTTCATATAGTCGTTTTTCTTACATCTTGTCATCAGTACGCGTATGCCAGGCCGGGAAATGTAAGGCGGAATTGAGAACGGCCTACCTCGCCCATTTCTAGCATCTTAAAAGACTCCCCGAAACACAAGTGAGCCACGACATCGGTCGCCATCATAGTGAACCACTTCAACACATCCGAGCACCCCCCTCCCTCCGCCTCTCCACGTATCTTGCCCACGACCATCTCAACCTTTTCTCTAACGACGCCCTCCCAGTCTTTTCTGAGCGAAGCCTTTGTGAAGACACTGCCCAGTAGTTTTCTGCGCATCGCATGTTTCCTAGGGTCCCGCATCGCAAAGATACTCGGCTCGCCTCCGTCAGGCGCGTTGGACTCCTCGTACCACGGCGCCTTGAGGAATCCGCCCCCGATGCGATGAATTGCGGTGAAGCCTGCTGGATCTGCTACGGCTACTTCGTGGGGGGAGATGCGGACCACGAGTCCGTAAGAGGCGTGCAGCGCGTGAATGTAATACATTCGCCGACCAGTGAGGATGTGGTACCTCAAGGGAAGATGGGTGAGGAGGGTGTGCCAGGGGCCCGGGATGTGTCGAACGGGGCTTGTGTAAGCTGTGTGAATCGTCTAAAAGAATCAGTTACTGAATACCGATTGAATACAGTACAGCTTTCCATGCAACGTAGCCGCAAGACAGGGGCTTATTTCGACTATAGCTCGACGACAACACTTACATAGGTAACCAAAATCAAGATCAAACCTATGGCAGTATAAGCCAACCCAATTGGGGTCGTGAGGCCTGTGGATAGCATCATGGTAGTCTGTGCTCAGCTCTGTTTAGCCCTGCCCACATCCAGAGGTAGATGGAGTTGAGGTGATGGCGGATCTTAGGCTCCCACTCCAATGTTATCCCAAAATCTGGCGGGAGAGGAGAAAGCGGCTTAGGGGGTCTTAAAGGCGCTGCCTCTAAAGTTCTGACTTCTTTGAACATCGGTCTCGCTCGCCCTTCAGCCGAAATTTTGCCTCAAGAAAGGAGAAAGAGCCAACCAGAATTGGGTGAAGTACTCTTCCCCTCACTTTCTGATCTTGGTAAAAGTATGAAGCACGTAAGAAAGCGGGATATCATTCAAGGTTTAAACCTTGTCATCATCATCATCCAATCTGCTGTTGGGGTCTCAACATTTGAGTTGAAATATCTAGTCTGGATACTTCAGTATCACTAATCACGTTATCTTCAAGCTGGATACATCGAGAGATTGGTCCAGATGTTCGAGGGAAGGATACGGGTTGTCGAGTACCTAGCCGTTAGTGCTAGATTCATAGATTCATTGCCTGCCTATCATGGCCCTTGTAAGGACTTTGGGTAGGGAAGCACGCGATCTGCAGTCCACAGCTCGACTGGCATGAGGGGTGAATGATGTTCAGCAAACCATTTTAGAAGTCGAATGTCTCATCAGTGGACAATCATCCCGAAAATTTAGAGAAATCTATTATCGATCGTAATGTCTATCTATGTCAAGTGAAAATAGGCGCAGATATGTTGTCCCAACAGGCTGTCATCGAATTTGATCACATCTACCCCTAGAGAGCAAGATGAAGAACCGACCTTATTCCCGTATGAGAGCGGCTCAAATTCGGTTGGCCCCGTTGCCCTCCTCAAGATCTCGGGCTACGATCTCCGGCTCATCGCCGTCGCTAAGTGGCGTGTACTCGGACACGGTGGACGAGAAGTATCCCGTCTTGGTGACACTACGGCAGTGGGGGCAGTCACAGCTGCGGCTGACAAGAAAATGCATAGCCTGCGGCAGAATAATGTACAGATGCACGCCCCTAGGGAAGAGTATTAGCCTTTAAAGTTGAAACGTTAAGTTGAGTGCGGATCAAGGAGGATACTTACAAGTCGAACATCATAAATACCGTGCAATATGTCCCCAATACAATGAGGGACTCTTCCCACCTCATACTATCCGTCAAGAGAATCCAGCTCGGAACCAGGAACGAGAGGTGGAAGACCGCGAGGAGGCAGTCGGCCCAGAATATGTTGGATTCGGAGAGGGCTTGAATCGGGGAGCCGATGGCGGCAACGGCATCGCGATTCAAGACGAAGAGGCCGAGGACTGAGGAGGCGGCTAGTGGGAGGAGACCAAGGGCCGGGAAGGCCCTCTCGGATGCGATGCCATGGGCGAGGAGGAGGATAAAGGCCGGTGGGAAGGCGATGATTTCGAGGCGTCGGAGGGTGACGGTTTTGGCTGCTGAAGACATTGTGGTTTTTGGTGATGGATGTGTTTGATTGCTTTTGGTTGCGTTATGGAAGGCGCTTGAAGAAACTGAATCAACATGTGAGAGCTATATTGAATCTTGGGGTTGGAAGCAAACTTATATGAAGACAAGCTCGTTAGGATGATGCCTAAACCACGGCCTCATCCGACGTGACAGAGTGGAAGTACATGTCTTACATGCACGTACATAGCCAAGAGCCAAGCCACCAACAGCCAACAGTCCGAAATAGGTATTCCAGTGTACTTCTTAGTACAGTCTCATGCCCAGAAGAGCGTCAAGCCACAGGGCTGGGAAACGTCCCGAGATCCTAAAAATGGCAAGATGGTACTCCGTATGCCTGGACTTACCGCCGATCTGCATGGGTTCGAATCCTTTTTAGGCACGCATCTGTACTTTGAGTAGTGCCACTTGGCCACAATAAGCCAATTGAGGACGAGGTCGCTGTGGGGAGCTCTCTTTTCCCGGGACACAGGTTGTGGCTGCGTAGAGATGCCAGGCAGACTTGAACGCTGTGCCCGCCATTTGAAAGGGACTTTGGTAATGGTTTGGGGCTCGCGGGGCTGCGCTAGTCTTGAGGTTTTTGCCAAGTAGCCACGCGCGTCCGTTTTGGACACGATCTACAGGTGAGGAGAAGGCTGTGTAACACTTGGTTGGATGACAACCCCAATGCATCGAATTGATATGATGTGGCCCTTTGACATCGTGGTCACCGTATCGTTTTCTTTCTTACAGACTCGGAAAGACGTCTCCATCGTGCCACAGCTCTCTGTAAGCTGCTGCGTGATTAAAGACATGGCCCGAAATTTTCCAAGTACATCGCAAGCAAATGCCTGCTGGTTGCGTGGACCACATTACATAAATCATATGAAGAATATTGTTGCCTACTTACTTACTTGTTCAGTAGACCTGAACTTTTGATTTCCAGTATCCTTGCGAGATTTAAGAGAGGAACTTGCAAGAGCAATTACATTGCCCCACGTGTTGCTAAATGTCTGCCTTTCAGCTGCATTAATGAATCAGACATGCTTCGATTGAACAGTACCAAAACTTAATAAATAGGTATCTAAGACACAACCTGAACTTTCCGGAGTTTTGAACAGAAACAACCGATAGAAGAACTCTCCCAAAGACGCCATCAAATTCGGTGAACTGTCACATCCGACAGGTAGATAACTATGCATAGGTAAAGTGCTTACCAAGTTCCTTCTTCAACTCCTTGGACTCGGCGTCGACAGCATCCAAGTTCCTACCCAGCCAAGCACAATCCCAGAATGTAAAGAGTGCCCAAACTTTGATGATAGAGTGAGCGTAAGCAAAGAGAATCTGGCATGGAATCAAGGGGATATCGGAGGGGTGGCGGAGAATGTGCGGCCAGAGCTTGATGGTCTTGGTCCACAAGACCCAAAGCGCGAGCAAGCCCATTTCACTCGTGAAGAGCCCCCTGGTATGCCATGAAAGTTACAGAGATATAAACAGCGTTGTGTCCCAAAAAAGAGCGAAATTGAAGAGAGAAGCTGCGTATACCGCGATATAGGTGTATGGCATACGCCAGGTGTAGACGTCGCTTATCTGCCTCAACATGCACGGGTTGCTCCGGAACGTCGTTCTCGCCCAGCGGACCAGCTGGCCCCGGAACTTGACGGCATTCTCGTCGCCCAGCGACGTCTCGACCACGCTGTCTTCGGTCTGCTGAAACTTGATCTTCCAGCCATGTCGGTACGCCTCGCGGGTGAGAAAGTTATCGTCGTCGGGGCCGAGACCCTTGCCGCCAAAAAGACCAAAGAAGAAACGCTCCCTGCAGAACCTGTCCATGAACCCCGGTGACTTGAGGAGCTTGGTCCGGTAGGCAGCGGTGCGACCAGAAACGACAAAGACGCCTCCGTCGATGGCATTAGAGGCGCGCAGCTCCCAGTTATGGCGAAGGAGATAAAAGCACCCGATTAGGTTCACAATGGAAATAGCAGACCACTTACCAGGTGTCGTACGAATGACGCGCTTGTAGGTCGCCACCACGCCCATATTGTTGTCCTCAAAGGGGGCTAGCACCGAGGTGATGAATTCGGTGCTTGGCCAGTATACGTGGTCATCAGCGAGGATCGTGATTTCGGTGTCAACGTGTGGTACGGCATGAGCGACCTGACGGCGCTTCGAGGGGTGAAGGATGGCGCTCACACCAATTCTGGTGGAAGGGTACTGTTCCTTGTAGCGCCTGGCGACTTTCTCGCAGCGCCGGCGCATCCTGGCGCCGACGGTGACGATTAGGATGGCGGCGGGCCTGTTTTCGAGTACCGAGAGTATGCATTTTACGAACTTTACGTTACCTGGGTCAATCGTGGGGAGAATCACGGTGACATCTCTGTTGGTCCATTTTGGCCAGGCCTGAACTGGGCACGGTTCGTATCGCCAGCTTGCCCAGATGTTGCAAAATAGGCGAGTGTAACGAAGGATGAAGGTGTATTGGAAAATTGTGGCCCATTCCCCCGCAGTCCAGTCATTGAATGGTGCGGCTAGCTTGTTGTAAATTTCTAGCTTCCAAGATAAAAATATGGTAAAAATGAAGAAGATAAACTGTTTTGGGTTGTTCCGAGGAGAATCTAGTATTGTAGTCAGAAGTGAAGGGGGGTTGGGTTGCGTTCCATTACGGACTTGACCGGCAGGAGCAGCCCGCGTCGAGTTGACTGATGACACAGAACCTTCTGTGTCAGAATTATCCGAGTATTCGGCCGTGTAAATCATGTTGACTTGATTTCAACTCAGTTCGTGTGCTACTGTTGTCGTACAAGTGGGATGAGGATGCTGGAGAGTGTGTTGATAACTCACAACTTTGGATGTCTCAGACCAGCGATTTTGAGCCTAGTTATATGATACATGTAGCATATTGTGACAGAAGTTGAACATGTCTGTTGAGTTTCTAGACATTGAGAAACAATGATATTCAAACCTCAATAGACTCTTTGACGGCAACCGATTTTCATTCTTTCTCGACAATGCCCGTCGTTGAATCAAAGGGGGAACAACACAAGAGGCTTTGTCAAAGCGTAACTAAACTCATCAAGAAGAAAGAGCAGCATAGCTGATGGTAGTTCCCTGTTCTCAGGGATGATGGCACCGTTGTGAGTTGTCCTAAGAACAAGGCTATTGCCTCGACAAGGCGTTGAAGACCTCGAAAGTCTCCAGCATCGCGGCTATTGTTGGACTTCATTGACTCAAATAGGCCAACGAACATCACTTTAATGCGTTTCAGCGAAGCAAGATAATACGTGAGCTGTGGAAGCCTCAAGTATGATAGCTCAAAGTAAAGTCATATGATTCGCCATGGATCGTGTAAAGTTATACTCTGCGGTCTGTGTAATTGATCAATCGAACATGATGTGGTATCCCAGCTGTGAGAGTGAAAAACAATGCGCTTCCAGAGCCTGCAAAGACTTTCGCGCTTAGTGCATCATAGGACGAGCATCCTCTACCAACTCACTTGAGCCAAAATACTTTTCTAACTCGTTTTCAAGCTCTCTGCCCTCGACGTGACGCATCTCTCTTGCCCGTTTGACGGGATTAACCTTATCAGCATGAGCGCTGGCAAAGATGACATCGAGCTCCTCCAGGCTCCGTCCTTTGGGCTCTGGGAAGAAGAGGTAGACGCAGGGGATGATGGCGGCATTGAAGACTGCGAACATGACATATGTCTGGTATCCCAAGTTGGCAAAGGCGGGAGGTGTAATCATAACGATGAGGAAATTAGAAAGCCAGTTGGAGCAGGTGGATAGGGCGTTGGCTTGAATGCGGATTCGGAGGTTCGTGATCTCGGCGGGGTAGAGCCAGGTCATTCCGAGCCATCCTAGTTTGGCATGAGTATAGGAATAGAAAAAACTTTGGCTTTGAAAGGGGGCTTACCGATGGCGAAGAAGGAGTTGAAGACAAAGAGGAAGACCGTCGCGGTGACTCCGTAGCGAGTCTCGAGATTGGGGGCTCCGTTGTCGGCGACTGTGCCCGTAGAGACAGTGCCAGCCAGGATTGCCATCGACACCATCATGCCGAATGCGCCGAACAACATGAGTTTGCGTCGACCGGTGCGCTCAATCAGTGGAAGAGCAACGAGTGAGGCCAAGAAATATTCGGTACCATTGAGAGCGGCAAGGAGTCGGGATAGTTCGGGACCGAAACCTAAGGAATTTTCAAACAAAAAGCCAGCGTAGTAAGTAATTAGATTGATGCCTGTGGAACCATCTCAGTCAAAGCGTCTGATAACGAATGCAATTCTTAACTTACCGCAGATCTGCTGGAAGAATTGTGCAGCAATGCCGAGCAGAGTCCTCCTCAAATTTTGCGAAGGCCCGTTGGTCAGGAGTTCTTTGTATTTGAAGCCTCCACCTTGGCTCTGGACCTCGAGGGCTTCCTGGATGGCCTTGACTTCGAGAGTCACTTCCTCGTCATCGATGGGCTTCCCGAGCAGGCGAGATGTCACTTCGCGAGCTTCTTCCATACGACCCTTCATGGCTAGCCAACGGGGCGAGTCGGGGAGGTAGAGGAGTCCGATCATGACGACGATGGTAAAAAATGACTGGAACGCGACTGGGAATCGCCAGCGGATGGTGCCTTCGAGGAAGTAGAATCCATAATCCTATTAAAATATTAGTTCGTTGGAATGAGGCAGTCGGGGAGTTAAAAAACTTGCCACCCAGTATGCGATCATGATCCCACCAGAGATAAGAGCACCGGAGAGGGTGATGAGAAATCCACGTTGATGAGGGCGGGCGCATTCGGACTGCCATGTTGGAATAGCTGCACTTCGGTTAGGTCTCTACTGTGAGAAAGCAAAATGGCACGGCTAATCTTACTTGATGTGACCATTCCATTTCCAACGCCACCAATAATCCTGCCGGCGGAGAAAAGACCGTATTCGTGAGCCCCAGCCTGCAGAATCGTTCCGAAAATCATGATGGCGCTACCCCAGAACGTAGACGACTTGCGTCCCCAGGTCTCTCCGTAGAAAAGAATCAGGAAAGCTCCCAAGAAGCATCCAATCTGATAGACGGCGACGGCTGCAGCTTGTGTATTTGGATCGCCAGTGCACTGGCTGTAGTCTCGCTGAGTATTTTCGGGGTAGTCGAGCCAGCACAGAGCGTTCGACTGGTCCAGGGGCGTCATCAAGGTGATGCTCCTCTGGAAGTCGTCGAGAGTGAGAAGCGAACTGAGGACACCTCTGGAACGAATGTTAGATTTAGTTTTCTTGAAACTCGGTGCAAGAGACACTTACTGATCATAACCAAACATCAGGAATCCGCAGGACGCAATAAATCCGATACTCCAGTTGAGCACTTTGCCCTCGAGGCGCTTCCCACGAAATCCCCACTCTGGCAGGTTACCCATCTTGGCAAACATGCCCATCAAACCTGAGGGGGACTTTGATTTCTGGTCGACGGCGCGACTGCTGTCGTCCGACGAAGGCGTTCGGCTGCCGCTGTGGCTGGGCTGCTCGCGCTTCTCCTGTTTCTCGGTCATATTGGGCTCGAGAGCCGTGCTGTGTTCAGCCATGTTAATCCAGATACCGAATCGAGTCAAGAACTCGGAAAGTACATGTAGTGGTGGTCGATCACTCGAAGCTTGGAAGGTCTTGGAGGAAGCGTGGATGCAGGACGTGCGTGCAGCTTTGTACTCGCTCACCTCTCACCCTTGGCTCATTTTCTTGACCAACATCGTGGGCCTCCGATAAAACAGTACTTGGTGAAGGATGCCTTGGCTGAGGTCATTTTGGGAATTTGGGAAGCTGATAGACGAACGAGAGATGCCGATATGGAGTCTTTGCGGCTTGGAGGAACCAACGCTACCCACCCTTTTTCTCCGGATTGATGTCTTGGTTGTGGTCAAGCGACTTTGATTGATTTTCTCCAGTCAACTGCAGGAAACGGCCCGAATCCACGTCTTCGGTTGGCGGATCAAATGGATTTTTCACGACCTTACTGTTGTTTTGAAGAAGTTTTCACCCTCATGTCTTCATCCATCCGTCAGAGACTGGGGCAGACCTGGCTTAGGGCTATGTGAGAGTTGTTCTTCAAAAAATTTGCACTCCAGTCGAAACTCAGGAATACTGCACGCAGAAGGGCTTGAATAACAAAAGAATAAACCTTCGAGATACCAGTCAATAGCCAGGTTTGTTTTCCGGCAGTGGATCGCGAAAACCATCTCCGAGCCTGATGAGCCAACGACTGGCCGATACGGGATGCCCAACAAAGTAAGCCGAGGCTGGGCGGTCCAAGACTTTTTTTTGTTTTTCCCCTTTCACCTGAACAAAATATGCGGTAAGCTGAAAGGCTGATGGGAAGATTGAGACCCTTTTTTAGTCTTGGTGTTGTCTTGGTCGTCGCTTGGTCTTTCTCGGCGAGCAAGGGTTCGCGTGCGGATATGACGTTGGCCAAGTTTTAAGCTTAAATATCTAGTTGGCTGCTGTCGGACTTTTTGATACCCACGGGGTTCTTGGGGCCCTCCACATCCGTGCTAGCATCTGCGGAACCTCCAACTTGGCGAATCTTGAGCCAACATGTTTGGGCGGCTTTTTTTCCGAAGAGAAGAAACGGCGCAATCTGCGTGAAACAGGAAAAGCTATGCGCGCGTGGCATTGGTATAATAACTGGACAATGAAAGCGTCTCCTTGGGCGACTCGGTGTTTGGGGAGCAGAACTCATATCGACTTATCAGCAATCAACTGTCTCGCTTTAGTACAGGGAGAGTTCGACTGAGCAACTTTCCCCTTCTACGTGACGGAGGCAGATTGCAGCCAAGTCTCCGCTCATGATGGGCTCGACTTTCGACTACAAAGTTTACGGTGAGGCGGTCTAGACTGTCTTTTATAAGATAGTGAAGAGTGACTTAAGCTTTAGTTTATGCAATGCGATCTGACGAGGGTGGCTAAGGCAGCCGCTGTCACTTGGAACGACTCAGATATGAATGGAGCAGAACATGGCAAGAGAGTTTTCATCAATCATTATTTCTTTTCCATTCCATATAACCATTATTTTCGTGGCCTATCAAAGCTTGAGAATGGCCTTGCCGAAGTTCTTTCCGGTGAGCATGCCGATCAAACCATCAGCAGCGTTGTCAATACCCTCAGTGACCGCCAACTTGGACTTGACGCTGCCCTCGGACAGCCACTTCTGCAAGTTCTCTTGGTGATCCTTGAAGTAGGCGGGGCCGAACTTGGGGTTGCCAACGAGGAAACCCTGGAAGGTGATCTGCTTGGTGACTACCTGCATCAGGCCGTTGATGCCCTTTTGCTCACTAGCGGGGGTGTTGTAGTTTGAGATCTGTCCTATGCATTAGCGTCCCATCTAAATTCATCTACCGAGCTCCCATTGACTTACCATGCCGCAGACAGCAATGCGACCCTCACTGTTCATGCTGTTGAGAGCAGCCTCGAGGTGGTCTCCGCCGACGTTCTCAAAGTAGATGTCAATTCCGTTAGGGGCTAGCTTAGGAAGAGCCTCGGCGGGCTTCTCCTTCTTGTAGTTGAAACCGGCATCAAAACCAAGCTCCTTGGTGATGAAGTCAAGCTTCTCATCTGAACCGACGGAACCGATCACAGTAAGGCCCTCACGCTTGGCAATTTGACCAACAAGTTGGCCAACAGCACCCGCGGCCGAGCTGACAAAGATTGTCTCGCCCTTCTTCGGCTGTCCAATCTTGTGCAGGCCGGACCAGGCGGTCAAACCCGGCATACCGAGAGGTCCAAGGAAGAGGCCGAGGTCCAGGTTGTGAGGGTTTTGCACCTTGCGCGCTTGCGACAGGATCTGAGGCGTGACGCGAGCGTACTGGGCGATAGGTGTGTGGGAGTAGACGAGGTCGCCCTCGGCAAAATCGGAGCTGTTGCTCTTGAGGACCTTGCCGACAGTGCTGTTGGTGACGGGCCCGTCGAGCTCGAAGGCGGGGGAGTAGGACTTCGTGCCGGCCTCGCGCATGCGGCCGCGTTGGTAGGGGTCGAAGGAAGCGTAGAGGACCTCGATGATCAGGCCGCCCTCGGGGGCATCGTTGAGGTCGATGGGGCGGTCCTCAATGGTGAGGTGCTCTCCCGCACCGGGAGACCGGTGGGGATCTTCTTGAAGATGAGAGTCTTGTTTTGGGTCATGGTGAATGATGTGGCTTGGAAGTGTATGTAAGATGGTAGTGAGAGCTCGTTGATAGTGAGCTTTCGAATGTGTACTGGGACTAATTATCAGACAACTTGAAGACAGAACGTCAAGAAATAGTCTTTGAATTAAGCTGCATTGACGTAGTTGTGGGCAGAAAGTTGTGCCGAGGTAGGTAAAGTATGATTTGTAAGGACAAGAATGGCATTAACGCCGATGAAGAGACCCAACCCCGCGCGTTCCACGTTCCACCCCGCCTTTTCTTAAGTGCGATGCTTTGGACATTTACACGAGTAAGGTGCAGTAAATATGACGTGCCGTTGCTTAATCATCACAGAAGCTATCGTACGACGACGGCTACAATGATGGCCTGTGGGTAACCGCCACAAACATGTCTTTGCAGAGGATTGAAGCTATTCACAAGTCAGCTGACAGAATGTCTGAATCCAACTCGGAGCCGGCTGTGGTTCGTACACTCGGCCAGGCAGCATGTCAGCACTCTAAGATCATCCCCCGCTTAATTAGTCTACATCCCGGGCAGGCTCTGACAGCTCGGTATCGCATTTGTTCTCTAGAGTGCTTAGACGTTTTTTCATAGCAACTTTGTTAGATTGGAGTTCAAAACGAGGCTTGCGTACCTTGCATCTGTAGACAGCAAAGATGGGCCTAGAATAGTCAAATCCACCGCCCTAATGCCGCTATCTTGAGCTCCAGATTGATGCCCAAGCTGTTAAAGCTAACTCCGCCGCTGCACAGGGCTGGATGGCCTGGTTGATCATATGTACGGAGTGCTGGCAGCTGTCTAGTCGATACAAGGATGAGATTCAAGGCCTTAGCGAGTCATGGCGGTGATCCTTGTCTCAGCGGCGAAGTGTCGCTCGAACGCATTTCTTGTTGTCTGCCAGTCGCGCTCATCTTAATATCTTGGTCATATCTTGAGTGGTATCGAGGCATGTCTACTTACCTCAATTTACCACAAGCTCTCGCCGTTCAAGGTGTCTTAGTACTTTTGTTGGAAATTGAACCCGTAGTCAGGCACTTGATTGGATGCGTTTTCGATACGAGGTTGGAAGCTTCTAGCTACGTAATGTACAATGCTTAAAGGATACAGTGAAATATACTTCCCTATCATCAGCCAGGGAAAGGATCTTCGACAGAACCCTTGAGAAGGCCTCATGGTCGAAGCTAATTGGGTCCAGCCCATAAAAAAGACATTGTCATACGTACACCGTTCAGGACCACAGTTGGCAATATAAGCATTCAGTGAGGTATGAACAAGACGTCAAAAGACATGGATGGGATATCTAGGGCAATGTGCCCAAGTCTCTGTATGCGAGTCGCAAAAATAACGGAGAATAGCCCAGAAATACAAGAATTGACTTCATAGTGCACACCCAGAAAACTGCAGCTTACCAACAGCCCGCTTTCGAGCAGAATCCATCCAAGTCTGCCTGCCTGGCCAAGTGAAAGACCGCAAGATACGCCATCAACTCCAGGTGCACCAGTCCCACCGAGGCCCATTTCGTCACGAGCAATCTCTTCGCATTGCCAAGTACCCATGAGACCAAAGAGACTGACATTATCGTGAACCAAAATCTCCATGCTAGAGGATAATACCAGCACGGGCCAATGTATATCTCGACTGTCGTCCAGGTACCGATCCCCAGCAACCACATGAATGCTCGTCCAAAAGTCCATTTCCACTTGGAAATCTGCGTCATCCTCCCGCCCGTCTTCAAGTGAAGACCCGCGAGGCCGGCCCATCCGTCTAGTATTGCTTTGATATCATCCCGTGTTCGAGGCGGCCAGAACCGGAGAATGTTCGCCTTTGGGTCGCAGAAGCCGCCTGGGACAACTGAGGAGACTGTCGCTGATGTTGCGGTGGGCAGGGTGAAGTAGCTGACAAGCGTAAGGGTCTGCCTCAAAGTATTGTTTTCCAAGAGGGACGACGGCACAGATCCTGCAGGAAAGAAGTCGACGAGGCACTGAGACCCGTTGGTGATCATATATCTGCCACCGAGGGTGGCTACGATGGTTTTGATAACAATGGCAGCGGTCTCGGTGGCCGTCTTGAACCAAGACCCCGAGGATGGCGACGACTGGGTTACAGAAGCTTTGGGACGGCCGCTCAAGATAGACCCTAGAGATGGGAATGGGAACCTGAAGTTGATTTGGGGAAGGAAAGCATCCGCAGCGAGTTTGGCCATGAAAAATCCGATCACTGCTAGTGAGAAGAGCACCAAGTACACAGCAGTGCTCATTCTATCCAGCGGCACATGCTGTTCCGGCGCCATCGGGATACGATCGTGGACCCGGCGGTCCGGATCCGGTCGTGCCGCCATGCCATGGTGCTCCCAGTCTTGTACCGGCCGGTCTATCCGAGTACCTTCGAGTAACGAGTCGTCGATGGTTGGCGCGGTAGACTCTGTCAACTCCGCTACAGCTCTTTGGTGACGAGACTGACTTGAAGGAGGTCTGTGATCCGCTTCCGTTCCCCGCGCAGGCAATGCGCTATCTGAAAGTGATGGCATTGCTGGGTCTGGAGAGAATACGAAAGCCTGGCACGATGAGATTACGAGGTTTAGGTGAGATGTGGCTTAAATGAAGTACTTGGTAATAAGCAGTCGCTGTGCCCCTCACCAAAGTCCTCTGGCCATTGCATTGCTTACCTACATTGCTCAATGGATGGTTGGCTGAAAGAGTTAGGTAAGACAAAGGCGATTTCGTTCGTTATGATGAGAGGAGAATGAAAGTTGATTCTCTTTTAGTGACAATGCCTTTTCTAATTCATGGACTTGTCCTTTTTTTTTTTTCAATGTTACCCCCTTACTGATTTCCTTAGAGTTGTAGATATTTCCGAACCGCCGTTGGTTACACGACAACGAAAACAGTTTTCCTCGAATCACCCTTGGCCAACCTGAGGTAATTCGTCGACTTGACTTTGCCAGAGCGCCAGTAACCGAGAAACTGCATGGTACGGGGTCTGTCAGCATGCAATGCGATGGGTCCCATCCACTAAGCGACGACCCATCTTCCCCTCCAATCCCTCCAATATCCATGCCCCAATCTGTCATCACGGCCGAGAGGAAATGCTACGTCGTGCTGACGTCTTTCTGGGGACACGAGAGACTATCGAAACTGACAGCCGGTTCAATACAACAACAGAATCTGAGTCGGCCTCACAGCATCTCTGAATCAACCTAAGCACGCCCCGGCAACCCAATTCAAGGGTGTTCGAGCAACCTCGCCTAAAAATTCACAGCAGTGGCGCGTGCCACCAGCGTTCCGGTGACATCAGTTCACGATTTGAGGTGCATCCCCGCGTATGATGATGTGATTCAGAGGGTGTACTTAAGTCTGGGCCTGCGCCATTGACATTCGTAATGAGCTTCTTGAAGAAGCTCAGCTCAGCCCACGCCTTTCAGTGAGACGCGTCCAGCAAACCAAAGTCACCGATCGAAGTATCAAGCGGCGAAATCATCTTCCACAGCATGATGCTGCGGGCTCTCATCTTGTGCCTCGTGAGTCTCGCAGTAGCACAAGACCGCCTATTTTCCTCTGCCTTTGGATACCCCGGCCGCAATGCAAGCTACGACTACATCGTCATCGGCGGCGGCACCGCGGGCCTGACCCTCGCATCGCGGCTTGCCGCAACTACTGCGTCCGTCGCCGTCGTCGAGGCCGGTGGCTTCTACGAGGTCGAGAATGGCAACAATAGCGTCGTTCCCCTTCTTTCGCTGACTGGCATCGCCTTCATCGATCCGTTACCAGAGTTTACCCCTCAGCCCTTGATGGACTGGTCTCTAGTCTCAGAACTGATTCCGGGCGCCGGAGGGCGAAGGGTGCACTATGCACAGGGAAAAACCCTCGGAGGGTCTTCGGCGATCAACACCATGTCGTATATTCGCGGGACAAAGGGATCCTATGACCTCTGGGCGGAAACGGTCGGCGATGAGACGTTCAGGTGGGAGAACATGCTCAAGTATTTCAAGCGCTCTGTCGACCTTACGCCGCCGGACGAGGAGAAGCGTCAGAACACGAACGCGTCTGTGCGATTTGATCTCGGCGACTACGACGAGGGCGGAGGCCCGCTACAGGTTTCATGGAATAACTGGATTGATCCGACGCTGACCTGGCTTGCTCAAGTTCTTCTGAGTCTTGGTCTGAGCATCAGCCTTGAGGGATTCAGCAGTGGTGAACTGGCTGGCTACGGCGCGTGGGTGCCTTCGACGATCGAGCCCAAAAGGGCGCAACGATCTACAAGCGAGAGCAGCTTCCTGCGACAGGCTATCAAGGATACTGAAATCATTGTTTACACTCACACTCTAGCGACTAAGATCCTGTTTAACGGTACGAAGGCCGTTGGCGTGAGCGTCAACTCCCAAGGGGTCGAGTACACCCTGTCTGCCCACAAAGAGGTCATCCTCACCGCTGGCACGTTTCACTCTCCGCAACTTCTTCAACTCTCCGGCATTGGATCTCGCGGAAGGCTGGAAGCCCTCTCGATCCCGGTCATCGCCGACATCCCCGGCGTAGGACAGAACCTCCAGGATCCGATCCAGATATTCGTCGCGTACCCCGTCAGCACGCCTTCTGCGCAATCTCTCACCAATGATCCAGCTCTCAACCTGGGTTTCGTCGAAGAGTACCTCAAATTTGGCACTGGACCCTACAGTTCCGCTGCGGGCTTCCTGGCTCACGAGCGTTTGCCCAACTCTACCCTCGCCAACCTCACGCAAGCAACTCGCGACAAGCTAGCTTCAGTTCCTTCTGACTGGCCTCAGCTTTCATTCATCGTCGGGTCCTTCTCAACCGGGCCTGGACAGACTAGCGGAACTCTCGCCGCCTACCTCCCTCGCGTCTTCTCCCGCGGCAACGTCACGGTATCCTCAGCTTCCATCGACGCGAAGCCGGTCATCAACTTGAACTGGCTATCTGATCCCGCCGATGTAGAGCTGGCTGTCACAGCCGTCAAGCGGCTCCGCACGGCCTGGGCTTCAACATTCGCTAATACCCCGGGATTCAAAACTGGCCCCGAAATGCTCCCCGGCGATTTGGTGCAGACGGATGAGGAAATACTAGACTACGTCAGGGCCAACGTGGGACAGGTGTGGCATCCAGTATCCACTGTTGCTATGGGCAAAGAGGAAAATGTCGCGTTGGGTAAAGCGGTAGTTGACAGCCGTGGGCGTGTATTTGGCGTCCAGGGACTGAGAGTCGCCGATGCGAGCACTTTTCCGTTCGCCTTACCGGGACACCCTCAGTCTGCCGTGTACGCCTTGGCAGAAAAGATCGCAGAGGACATAGTCACTGATCGTTAAGCAAACCATATTCATGGGTATCGTGTTGGATTGGTTATGGTGACAAGGATCCTATGATCTTCTCTTGTGGCCTACGATGCGTCATATGGCAGATCGCTTCTCCCCATGTTCAAGTCTGACCCCTGACTATCCCCAATCACAAGTTCCGCATCTCTCCTTCTACCCCAGCCTTCTGTACGGTAACTACCCGACGTAGTGTAGTAATGCACCGACGCTCCTTATGCGCGACTGTCACGGTAGCAGGGGAAGAGTTCTCCACTCAGCGAGCAACCTCAGTGGTTGTGCATCTCGGTGAGAAACTGTTGGAGGGCGTTGCAGTCGGACTCTAAGGCAGCCTTTCTCGCCCGGCCCATAGGTGAAGGTTCCTCTTGAAACCTGAGAGAATACACAATCGACCGGAAGTATCTAAGTGCCTCCTGGGCTACTTTTGCCCTTCCACCACTTGAGATATTCCCATTGGCAGAGCAAAAAACTCGGCGGAGATCGGCATTGATCGGGAGAAGAGCCTCGTAGGCTGCACAGTTGAGTTGGATGCAGAGGGCGGTGATTCGGAAGTAACGTTGTTGGTCGTTCTCTTCGTTCTATCAAATGATTAGCATTTCAGATAACTCTCAACAGTTCCTCTCACTTTCCGGCCGGAGGCTATACCGCACTTATAAACACGAGGTATAGATCGAGAGGAATTGGAAGGGGCAGGAAGAAGGGGGACTAGTCTTACGGTGACGGTGCGAGCATTATTGTTGGCATCGGCGCTGGCAACATCGTTGGCGCTAGTATTGTCATCAATGCTGGTATTGTCGTCAACACTGATATTGTCGTCAACGCTGGCATTGTCGTCGGCGCTGGGGTTGGTAGAGAAAAGTCTGTGACCCATTTTCACTCGGTAGGCCCCACTGCCGGTGTTGATATTGGAGTGTTTCTGGTGTTGTCTGTGATAGCAAGGTCCTGGCAGGTGGTTAGTAAACAGAGATCTTGAGAAATGCACAGCGTCTCACCGACTGTGTATGAAACAACTGCGTATCTGGGATGGGAAAGCCTTGGTTGCAAGATGAAAACTGTGTAGTAATGAACAGTCTAAGGTACCTTGCTCGGTGAATTGATGCGTTGTTGCTTGTTTGGTGTCTGGGCGGAGATTGTTATTAGTGAGAATTTGTACAAAGGGACTCCGCAAGATCGACGTGGAGAACGCCTGCCCTCAATCCAAAGTAGAAGCTATGAAGAAATATAGGTAGCTCCTTCCTAAACTCGTTACTGGGTGGATTTTGCTTGTATTGGTAGGGCGAGATCAGATGGAATATACGGAATGAATGGGTTGAATGCACCGAATACTCGGAATGTAACCACAACTTTACAAGCCCGAGAGCTGCGCTGAACAGGATCTTTAATATCAGTTGAATGCTCTATTCGCTATTAAAACCCAGGTTTGGAAGTGCTCAAAGCAATTAAGGTAAAAGATGGAACACGTATGGTCCCTTCAATTGATATAGAACTCTAAACTAATTATGATGGAAGCCCGCCTTGACTCGAACACCGGTGTTCAAGGGCCAACAGAACTCTTGTCACAGACAATCCAAACAGTATCAAGGGCAGTAATGGTCAAGTGCATCAACAAGTAAGTTTGACATCTTTGTACATCTTTTGCAAGACACTGATGTTGATATGGCCGCTACGTTAACTCTGGTGCATTCGGGTCTGGACCTGCACCTATAGCGATGCTTCGGATGCGTGCTAGGAGGAAGATCAACCTGAGTATTTCGTACTTGGGGACTCTCCACAAAGGCGTAGCGTTCATAACACGTGAGCACGGGGCCGCAAAGTTTGGATATAGCAAGACTGCCAAAAGAAGTGACATTCGTCCTTGATATTACTTGAAAGGAGGTGCCCCAAGACATCTGCACCTTCTGGAAGGTTCAGGTATGTGGGATGCTGGAAGCATCCAGGCTGCCGAAGGCAGCCCTTTGTTAGTATGGTCCATAAAAGGGACCTGAGAGGATCCATCATGTCAGATAGATCTTCTCTTCTTCATCCGTGAACCAATAGAGATACTATTGATCCTTTTTCACCAAGCATATTGGGGGAGTCGCTTTGGCAGCATTATTTCCTCCAGAAAGATGGGGTAAGCCAAATGCAAGAGACACTAACCGTAGAGATGACAGATGTCTAGAGATGTGTTTGTATACAACTGCTCAAGACAAGTCTCAGAGAGAATCTCCTTGGGCTTTACCGTAGGCAAATATACTTATATTGGGCGAATAGACTGGGTAAAAGTCTGAGTGAAATATCCAGACGAGTTTTGAGAGACCTATATGCCGAAGCGAAGAAGCTATCTGGTTCTTCAACTGCGACGCCGTCTTCTCGCCACTTTTCGAGTTCTCTTACGCTTAAAGATGTTGATGATACCGGGGACTTAGTAGAATACACACCATTTGGTTGGTGAACTAATCCTGGAACGGGCTCCGATGCTTGAGGTTTATGGCACCGTTGGCGCTTCGACTCACCGAGGACTTGTCGGCAGCGTTGATGAGATTAAGAGTCGGAGAGAGCAGGATAGCAATTGCCAAGGGTACATGTATAAATCCCCAAATGAGGACGGAGGGTTTCGCGACGTTTGAAGCCAGGGCACGTATCCGGATTGCTGTCGCTGTGGTCTCCCATGCTGTAGTGCCTTAGTTACACACCCTATTTGTGGCCTGTCTTGAGGGCACATAGGCCTACCTTCAGCTATGGAATTAGCTCGAAGTTGTCAATGACGATCGATATGTTTTTATGGAGGACAGGTGACCTGATGTGACATGCCCATTGCGATCTATCTCTTGCAAGGACTTTTCCAGGTTGACTAGGTGTCCCATCGCTGCACTGGATAGGCAGTTCTCGGATTAACGAAACAACGGATCGCTCGTTAAACATGTTACGCACTAGGAATTACTTCACTTACACGGTGAAGAGTATACAAGCGCTAAGAGAAGAATCCAGTGAGAGTTGTAGAACAAAGTTGAGCCACGAGAGAAAGGCGGACCCCGGTGAGCTCACGTTGCTGTAGAATAATTGAGATGAGATGTGATGGGATCTTATAAGCAAATTGCCTCTGCGGCTGTGGATGATCCGACGGCGAAAGAATGATGCTGCTTGAAACTTGCGTAGCCGAGCTCCTCCAGTATGACAGTCATTCTTTTCTTCTCCTCTCTTGACGCGGTTTGCTCACCGGGAGGTAGTTTCCTATCAACCCCGCACTTTGAACTGCCCATGTGCCGCTGGTGCAGGATCAAAATGCAGAGATCTGCAAGCCAACGCCTCACTCATAGAGGCAGGAGAGAACTGATTGGGGAAACAGGGTAAGCGATACACGGGACTTGTGCGGCGTCCTTGCTGCTACTTAAGATTGTAACTTGCCGTTTGGTGCGCCCGCTCTAGTGTATCCGGTTTGTCCTTTGCGGGAACACAGCAAATGTTGCTGAAAGCCGCCTCAATCAAGCTGAGAAGCATAACCAATTACACATCTACGAGCTTTAGGACTCATATTTCATTGCTAGTGAGGCAGAAAGACGATGGAAACTACCAGTGGGAAGCTGAAAGGGAGGCCAGAGAGGCCAGGAGACCCCGCCGACATCGACATCGAGCCGGCAACGGCGACGAGAACCGGCACAGTAGCGGAACTCAAGCAACAGCAAGAGCTACAACATATTGGAACACTCGATCGAAAATTGAAATCGCGGCATGTTCAATTTCTCGCTCTCTCGGGAGCCATCGGCACGGGACTCTTTGTTGGCAGCGGTCAAGTTCTGTCGCTGGCTGGGCCGTTGTCCGCCTTCATCTGCTACGCCGTGACCGGGTTCAACCTATACTGCGTGATCAACTGCCTTGGTGAGATGGCTGCGTGGCTTCCAATCCCGGGAGCTGTGCCAATCTTTGCTGCGCGGTTCGTTGATCCTGCGCTGGGGTTCACTCTGGGATGGAACTATTGGTAAGCAGTTTTCACTCCTTGATGTTGCTCAGTGTGCGGAGATAGAGAGGTAACTGTGGGCAAGGAGAAATCTCAAGCTTGGTGTGAGACAGGGCGTGTAAGCTGCGGTGCTGAAGATGAGACAGGTATCAATTCGCCATCGGCGTCCCGATCGAAGTCACCGTCTCGGTGGTTATCCTCGACTACTGGGACCACGCCATTCCGCAAGCCGCCCTCATCACAATCTTCTTCGCAGCAATGGTCCTCGTCAACTGCCTTCCGGTCCGCATATACGGGGAAGCGGAGTTCTTCTTTGGCGCCATCAAGCTCACCACGATCGTCGGGCTCATCATCCTGATGTTCGTGATCACCGTGGGCGGCGGGCCGAATGGGGATGCCATCGGCTTTCGGTACTGGCACGACCCCGGGCCGATGAACGAGTACCTCCGACCCGGCGCTCTCGGCCGCTTCCTCGCCTTTTGGAAAGTCTTTATCCAAGCCACATTCTCGTACGGTGGCAGCGAAATGGTTGTCGTCGCGTCCGGTGAGACGGAGAACCCGCGCCGCAATATCCCAAAGGCCATCCGCCGCGTCTTTTGGCGCATCGCGATATTCTATGTTCTCGCCATCTTCCTCGTCGGGCTGTGTGTCTCATCAGAGGACCCTAACCTACTCAATGCGATTAGCAGCAGCAGCCCCGGCGCCGCGCAGAGCCCGTTTGTCATTGCTATCAGCAACGCCGGCATCGGGACACTGCCCTCGATCATCAACGGCGTGATCCTCAGCAGTGCGTGGAGCGCCGGCAACAGCTTCTTTTACGCCTCGACGCGGGTCCTCTATGCCGCCGCACTCGACGGCAAGGCGCCCGCTGTCCTAAAGTGGGAGCGCTTCGGTGTGCCGTACGCCTGCGTCGCAGCCACGTCGGCGCTGGGATGCCTGGTCTACCTCAACGTGAACAACCGCGCTACCGAGGTGTTTTTCTGGATTAGCAACCTCAGCGCCGTGAGCACACTGGTCGTCTGGGCCAGCGTGTGCTACACCTACCTGCGGTTCTACCAGTGCCTACGACACCATGGCATCGACCGCAATACGTTGCCGTACAAGGCGCCGATGCAGCCGTTTCTCGCGTACTTTGCCATTGTCTTCTGTCTCGTTGTGGCGTTCTTCAATGGATTTGATGCGTTCTTTCCGGGGCGGTTCAGTGCCAAGACGTTTTTGCCGCCGTATATTGATATTCCGATCTTCTTGTCATTTTTCCTCGGTTATAAGCTTGTCAAAAAGACCAAGTTTGTGAATATTTCCGAGATGGATATCTGGTCGGGCAAAGCGGAGATTGATCGGCTTGAGCCGACGTGGCCGGTGGTGAAGCCTCGCAACTGGTTGGAAAGGATTTGGTTTTGGATCGCGTAAAGCGCGGCATACCATTATCAGCGATGTGGCTGTGCCATCGACTGTACACATCAGAGACGTAGTTAGAATGGATCACTTGATCTTCTTCGTCGCTGCTAGTACTCTTCTCGGCGATAAGTTCTCGTGATAGTTAGAAGCGGCTGAAAAAGGGTGAGTGAGGTGGTAGTTGGATCTAGACCAGAAACTTGCAGCGGCGGATGAGGCAGCTCTGGAGCCCAACCCGTGGATAGCTCCTCCACAAGTTCCAGACCAGTGGAAACATAACTTCTTAAGAGCCCGGACCCAGCGGTGAGCAACTAGTTCTCCACGAGTGAAAATCTTTGATCAATAGCCAGATTCCTGGCGCACCCGACACTCTGGTCAATATCCACAGATCGGTGGCCGGGGAGCTCGGGCACCGCCTGGGACCACAGCGCCGATGCTCCGATGCTACTGCAGAATTCCACCGACCCTCAGGCTACCATGGTCTTTTCCATGTGTCTCTTGACCCTCCCTCAAGAACAGATTAGATCCTTACTTAGTGCTATATGTAGAATTCCAGGAAAAAGCCTAAAAGGTACTTGACAACGAGGTATCTTGCAAAGATCATGATGCAGGTGGCACTCATGTTAGTGCCGCAGATTAGTACCGGTAGCCTAGTGGAAAGACGGCAGTCAGACGCATCATTTGTGGCGTTTTCGTCGTGTTGGTGGCATGCGCGGTAATATTTCAGGTCTACCCACCATCCGACATGTTCGCAGGCGTGTTGTGGGGGAAGCTTGGAGCAACACTCTGATCTCCTAGCCTGAATGCAAAGGAGTTCCAGACTACGGAGTACTCGGATTATCAATGGTTTGTGGACAATGTTCCGCAACAGGAGGATCAAGTGAAGCGATGACAGAGGATCGTACGGTGGGTTCTACTCGTGAAGAGGCCAAGAGACCTAGACTCTGGAGACGAACATGAGCCGATTTTTTCCACGCGGAGAGACCAACCATCTCTAGTCGCCGAGGCCGGTGCCGCCTTTTCTTTAGAGGTGACTCTTTCGCGGTGGTGCTGACAGGCGCAAAAGGCGGCCTCGCGCGGGTGCAAATCCATTTGTCAAAAGCGACCGGGTTGACCGATGTTCTGATCACTTGGCCACCCCGTTCCTGAGGCAGTCGGGAGCATGCGGAGATTGGTCATAGAGTGGGGGCCGGATTTAGAGGCACAGGGTCGTGGATTAGGGGGTGTTCTTTGTGGGCGACTTTGGGGTGAACTGGGTCAAATTTGTGGTTCTTTACGAGGTGGCAGACTGGGAATAGGATCCCGACGCTCGTTGCAATAATTGCTCGTCGAAACAGTGCGCAGAACGACGCAGCAACGTTGTAGCCATCAGCTGGGCTGGGAGTTGGGAGTTTTCTTGCACAGAAGTGCGCCGAGGTCGTCGGTGGTGGCTGCGGGTAGCCTGATCGAGTCAAGCAGATGTTCTGCCGACGTCCTTTCTTTGGCGGCGGTACTTCGTCACAAGTGAGGAAAAGAGGATGAGTGAGTATGAGACAAGAGAGGAAGACCAACTTTGTGTCTTGGCAACTTTCGTGCCGAGGGATGGGTGGTCGGATCCTGGAATGCGCGCCACGACGGCTTGGGAGACGTAACCGTTTGCGGCATCGATCGCAGCGGTTCGTGGTGTGAAAGGCGCACGCTAAATCAGATAAGATGGATCTGATAAAAAAATTCTCTGACGGGTTGAGTCCTTGATCCCGACACCACAGAGTTTCACACCACCAACTTGGAGTGCTGGGTGCACTCAAGGACTTCAACTCCGAAGCCTGAAGACCCAGGGACCAGGGATCACAGGGGCGCTAGTCTGTTAACTAACAAGATGCGAAAAAATCATCACGGCTAGCGCAAGCTGCGTCAGGCTGGATCGACTGGCTCAATGGTTCGCCCCCCTCTCTCCAGCTGCCCACCGAAATGGCTCCGATGGGCAAAGATGGGTGGTGTGACTTTGATTGGGCAGCGCGCAGACTGCCCGCGAGCCTGAGAGACATTGATAAAGCTCTATTCGCCATGTCTGGAAAGTTAAAAAAGGCCTTGAATGTAACCTCACCACCTCGTCCTCCCTGTCGTCCCTGCAGGCGGATCCTCTTTCTGAATTTTCTCCCTCTTTAATGCATTCCATCCCCGGCCAGGTCATCCGTTTGACTGCGGCTTGTTGCTCTTCTTGTCTGGTAACAAATAGTTGCGCAGTGTGCTCTGTGTAATTGAGCAGACTCGAAACTCAAGAGACTCAACCTTCACCTGGGTCCCGAATCCCTCACCTTCTCGGTCAACGCTCACCTTGGCGCATTGACGTTCGGTGTGTCACAGCTCCTGCCACAGACCGAAAGACGTCACCGGAGCTCCGACTTCTCTCCGAGTAAGTGCCGTCGTCTCTCAACGTCAGCCCGGTCCCTCAAGGTTGCCGGCACGGAAGTGGAGTTCCGCCGACTTCATCCCGTGGATCTCGCGGAGTTCAGCTTCAACTACCACAGCACTTGTGTGCAACCAACTGTCCTGGCACTGACTTTCAACCCAGGCTCTCACATCATCCATCTCGTCTGAGTGCTTCATTCATTCAAAATGGGTCTCTTTGGTCGTAAGAAGGAGACTGAGTCTCCTTCAGACATCGTCTCGCCCACCGCCGATGTCACCTCAGCGGAGAAGAATGCTCCTCTCTCCCATAGCACCCCTCCGCCTCCCGCGTATGAGTCCAACAACATGTACGGCGAAAAGTCGCCAGGTGTTGCGAGAATCGAGGCCCTCTCTGCCGCCATCACCACTACGGACCGCTACTTCATCTTTTTCGGCGTCTTCCTAGTCGCTTACGCCTATGGTCTCGATGGAACCCTCCGCTACGCCTACCAACCCACCGCGACGAGCAGCTACGCCACGCACTCTCTTCTGGCCACCGTTAACGTCCTCCGCTCCGTTATCGCCGCTGCTGCCCAACCTACTTCCGCCAAGATTGCTGACGTCTTTGGTCGTGTCGAGCTCATCTGCGTCTCCGTTGTCTTCTACGTCGTTGGTACTATCGTCGAGGCGTGCGCCACAGAGGTCAAGGCTTTCGCCGCCGGCGCCGTTATCTACCAGGTTGGCTACACCATGATCATGCTGCTTGTCGAGGTCATTATCGCCGACATTACTTCCACCCGCGCCCGTCTGCTGTTCAGTTACATCCCGGCGCTTCCCTTCATCATCAACACCTGGGTCAGCGGTAACATCTCCGCACTGGTTCTCGGCGAAAGCACCTGGCAATGGGGTATCGGCATGTGGTGTATCATCTACCCCATCTGTGCCCTCCCCCTCATCATCAGCCTGTCCATCGTCGGCCGTCGCGCTAGGAAACAGGGACTGCTCGACTCTTACTCGTCTCCTTTCCGCATGCTCGGCCCCAAGAAGTTCCTTATTGAGCTGTTCTGGCAACTCGATGTCATCGGTATCATCCTAGTTATCGCCATCTTCGCCCTGATCTTGGTTCCTCTCACCATTGCCGGTGGCTTCTCGACGACGTGGCGCGAGGCTCACGTCATCGCCCCCCTCGTCATCGGTATCCTTTGTATTCCCGTCTTCGCTGTATGGGAGATGAAGGCCAAGCATCCTCTCGTTCCCTTCATGTTGATGCGCGACCGTGGTACCCTGGCCCCTCTTGGTATTGCGCTGGGCCTCAACTGGGCTTGGTACATGCAGGGAGACTACCTGTACACCGTCTGTATCGTCGCTTTCGACTTCAGCATTACGTCCGCTACCCGTATCACGTCGCTGTACTCCTTCTGCAGTGTCATCACCGGCTTCATCCTGGGCTTCATTGTCTTCAAGGTTCGCCGCCTCAAATACTTCATCATCGCCGGTACCATGCTTTTCATGGTCGCTTTCGGTCTCTTGATCCACTACCGTGGTTCCCCTACCTCCGCCGGACAAAGCGGTGTCATCGGCGCCCAGGTCCTTCTTGGTATCGCAGGTGGCATGTTCCCCTACCCTGCGCAAGCCTCGCTCCAAACCACTCTGAAGCACGAGCACCTTGCCATCATGACCGGTCTTTACCTCTCCACCTATAACATTGGATCTGCCTTTGGTAACACCGTCTCCGGCGCCATTTGGACCCAGGTTTTGCCTTCCGTCCTCCAGGAGAACCTGGCGCCGTTCGGTAACGACTCCCTGGCTACCGTAACCTACGCCCAGCCTTTTGTTGCCATCGCCGAGTACCCCGTCGGAACTCCCGAGCGCGCGGCTATCATCGACTCGTACCAGCACGTTCAGCGTCTTCTTACCATAACCGGTATCTGCTTGACGGTCCCTCTTATCGCTTTCGCCTTCCTCCTGAGGAACCCCAAGTTGAACGACCAGCAGACTCTCGCCGTTGACGACGTCCAGATCCGCCCTGTGGAGAACAACGACAACATGCCCAACAAGATCTAAGGATCACGTTTGAATGTACCAAGACTGCTGATGTAATGATTTCACGTAACTGGTTTATGGATACTCGGAACCCTGTAGGAGGCACGATCCTTCATGTCTCCCTTAGACATGGTGGTTGAAGATACCATGCACAGAAAGACATAGCCGTAATCTAATTTTCAACTTATTCATATCACCTCTCATTACCTTTGTGTACCCGCGAACGGCCATCACCGCCATTCCATTAACAAGCAGGCTACGCGATGGCTAGCTCGACGCAACAACTGCTTACTTGTGTCTCGTTCAACTCCCGTGCAGACTGCCCTTTAAGCCGTTCCCCGCACGAAAGAGACCGGCTCCTATGTAGTTGTCTCCTTCGCAGTTGTTTGATCTTCAAGTCCAATTCATTGCCTCGACAGATGAAAGCAAACATGCGATTTCCTAGGGCTAAGGATGTCCGTCGTTCCGAGACAGGAGCTCACCCAGCACGCTTCGATTGGTGTACCTGTGACTTCATCTGGCCTGAGCTAGGTACTCCCACTTAGCGTGGCATGTGAATATCCAGGACGCCAGCATCGCAACAGCGACGAGATCGTTGCCATTCCCGTTGACGATAAAGCTCCTTTGTAAAGATCTCTAGTGCTTTGCTTTTCCACAGACTCTTCCCTCCTGTGTGACCTCAAGTCTGCAAGAGCAATCCATTCAATCTAGTCTAAGCCCAGGAGTTCAGATGCCTAGCATTCTCACGATAATCGCGATGGCCGTTCTGGCACTCCTGGCATACAGCTCATCATCACTTGCATTATGAATCTCTCGCTAGGCGGCGATTGCCTCGCGAGATGCGGTAACGGCAACTGATTATGGCTTCTTATTGCCAGTGGAGGCGTCCCACGTTCTTAAGGCACATTTGCGGTCCGGAAATTACGTCAACGGGACATTGTGCGCGAAAATACCATCCCATTAATTGATTAACTAATATGGTATATGAGACAAAATACATGAGTCGCACTGCCAGCTTGATTCTTTCCTTTTTTAGATCAATGTCGAGGCTATATTCGTTGCCCAGTTCGATGCGAAGCCTAATATCCTCACAACTCGTCGTCAAAGGGGATCCACGGCCATAGCACGGATGGAATTTGCGTAAATTTACGTATTGTTGCACTTTGGGTCTCGGGGCTATTGGCTGGGCCAGTAAGATGGAACCAACACATGCAATGCCGGCGCCGCCTCGATAGCTCACTTGTTGGGCCGCGTCGTCCTCCTGGTCAGCGGACAGATGATGCTTCTCAGCTGAGTCCGGGGCCATAGCGTCGACTTTAGCTGTCATAAAATCGGATGCATGAGAAGGTGCGATCAAAGAGGTCAAGTTGCAAAGGGCAAGTTTCAATTGAAAATCTAACGAAGAGGCCATTTTCTGTCTGCCTTACCCCAACACAGCCACTGGTGGCGGTGAGCCGTCAAGTATTGGTGTGCCTCGGGCCCCTGTCCTTCCTTCCCTGATCAACCATAGGCTACAGTAACACCACGCGGCAAGCCCAGAGATGCCACAGGCTGACTGCACCATTCCAGCTTCAAGGGGCAGGTAGTTCGCCATGAGCTCAGTGGGGATGATGTAAGCAAGTAAGGCAAGACTCGTGGGTATTTCGATAAATCCTTCAGTAAAGGCAGCCACTCAAACATATATTGGCATGGATTGAGATGACTGATATCGGATAATATGTGCTGCGTTCCTGTGTCCTGTAGATCCATCATCTTGACTTTCTTCCGTTTTGCTGCTATGACTTCACTCCGGCTTTTGTGCGTAAACCACATACCTGTCCTCGTGTCAGCTGGTGTGTGGAGAAGGGATAGACAATATTCCTCACACTGGCCACCATCCATGTATAGATCTGTCTCTCATATCTTTTCTGGCATCCACCAAGAAGACCTCGAGTTGCTCAGCGGACCAACCCAGCGCTCTAGTAAAAAGAGCCAGACTGAGTCCCGACAAGCCATTCCCTAGGTTCTCGTACGTCCAAACGCCTTCGAAGAGCGATTCGGTTAGCATTTGGATCCCACGAGTGGGTGGATAGTGAAAGAAGAAGTCATTTATACCTAGCTCCTTATACTTTGGATCTTTCGGCCACGGGTTTGACGGCCATTTGTAAATCTTTTCCTCGATATTAGTGAACCCCGCTTTCGCGAGCTGCTCCTTGTAGAATTTGCAGCTGTCTAGCGGCCGCTTCCATATCGCTGCCGCCTCGAGCATGTGCACTGCCCACTTTTGAGTTGCGCACTCTGGGGTGACTGTTCCGTCGTCGCTTTGGAGGTCTAAGAGGATGTCGGACAACTCGATCCAGCCCCCTGGCGCGAGGTTTCTCCCAAGGTGTTAGCTGAGTCAGGGACCAGATTTCAATGTCGATTCTAGGAAGCTTTCGAAGTCCGATGAAAAGGGAGTAGCAACATACTCGTAGCTTTGGCGGATGAACCTCGGCCAGTCTGCTATTGAGCCTGTGAGCATCCGGCCGAAGACGAAATCGAACTTGTAGGAGTATGTCCAATCATCCTCCAGGTCGTCGATGTAGAATGTGACGTTGGGAGGTACACTGGATTTCGGTCAGTAAATCAGCAGGTCATAACGTATTGGTTGATGTTGCAGAATCGCAAAGCTGAAGTTGCTTACAAAGGCGGTTGTATTGGGCTTAAGTCAACGCCAGTAATCTGCGAGGTCATCAGTCGCGAGTTTTAATTGAGCTCTCGGCAGGTTTACCAGAGTTTCTTGGTGATCATCGGCTTGAATCAACCGAGGAAAAGTCAGTCAGCAGTGTGGTCCTGAATTTGATGAATGGAGGGTGTCCTACCGAAGTCCATTGCCCAAATTCCAGTCCCGGTTCCTGCATCCAACACTCTCTTCAAAGGCTTGTCTCGACCAGCCGGTGATACAAATAGCTTTCCATCAAAGGTAAGTGTGTATAAATGATGTTGAAGATCTATACGCAGGCATAAGCATCTCTTGTATGAGATAATTGGCAGTCTGTAACTCACCGAGTCTGTCGTTCTCAACCTACAATCCCGTTTACGGAACGTGTTAGTTCGTTGCTGAGCTGGGAAAGCTGCTAAGCTGCTAAAGACCACCTACCGCGTCGTTCGGCAAAACATATCCTGAGCAAAAGCCATGGTCAGTACAATTGATTTTGTGATACTCTTCCTAATACCCAAGCATTGTATTACTCACTGCCTTCTCGATATGCGTGATATGTTCTTCCATTTTCTTCGCGGTAACGCATGATGCTGCTGGTCATGGATGCAGATGACCCGAGCACAGACTGCGACACGGGTTAGGTTACGCGTAACATTACGCCGCTAGACCGAGGTACCACTACTCACCACTCCCATGGCCGAATCGCTGTCATCATTGGTATCATTCTCCTCTCCATTCTATCGAAAATAATCAGCATCATGGTTCGCCTAGCGCAAGCACAAAGGTTGAAAGGTTTCCCGACTGACGTCTGCTTCGAGCGGGCCGGCTTCAGCCGGTGCTGGATCCGACATATTCAAACCTGTCAGAGGGCCGAGGCTCAATGAGCGAGGAGACCCCCGGGTAGCTTCAATGCTTTTATGGGGTGTCGATTCGAACTTGGCGAGGATCAACTAGAAAATGCGCGATTGAAGAAAAGTTGTGAAACCCGAAAAAAAGGTGAAGGGCAGACGAATCCCCAGAAAAACAAAAGCCCCAAGCTTCCGTAACCACCAGATCGAAGATTAGGCAGAGTCTAATTGGACGGCCGGGTTGTGCCTCTCGTAATGAACCAGCAGATGGCATCAAAAGTTGCAGATCAGGAGATGCGACCTCACCGCTTGCCCCCCCTCTCCTCCCTTTCTCCTCCTTCTGGCAGCGCCCCCGGGCAAAGCCGTGCCCGTTAAACGTTGCATCATACCCCCGCTAGACGCATTGGTTGGCATTGGTCAATGCCGATGCGATAGAGGAGGAGGAGAAGGATAGCAGGGCATTGCAAAACACGGCAACAATCTCATTGGATCGAAACCCTGTCTTGCCGGCCCCTGCTCCGTGCGGGAAGGTTGCATTCCCGAGTCTGCCGTGTCAATCATCTAAGCCGCCTAAAGACTAGGGGGTCCAGACCCGTCGCAAGTGTCGACGCTATTGGGCAGAGACTGCGAACCGACGATGATATCGCCACGGGTCGTCCGCTTGTCAGAAACTTTGGTAACATTTCGGCGTCATGTTCGCTGCTATTGCAGAGCCATTGAAGGATTTGGCCGTCGTATCGATGCAGTCTCTCGGTCAAAATATTCCCCAGCTCCTCCCCGTGCCATCCACCGTGCCGCGGCATCCTTGACCGAGAGGGCAGTTCGTCTCAGGATTTCTCAGACTTTCTTTTTCCCACTTCCCATGTGTGGTCCGAGACACTGTTTCCTCCTCTTATCCACACCCACAATCCCACGATTCAACCTTTTTATACACGAATCGGTTTCTCGTGGGCTTGAGTGTGACCATGAGTCGGGACTACCTCGCATACGCCAGTATCGCAGTCTCGGCCTTCATCGCCTACAACGTCGTATCCATTGCTCGCCAATACCTACGGCTTCGGCACATCAAGGGGCCACCGAGCGCTGGCTTCTCAAAATGGTGGCTCGTTCGCGCCGTCGGCGGCGGTAGGACGCACCTCGACTTTTATGAGGCGTGCGAGAAATATGGTGTGTTTTATACTTCAATCCCTTAGCCTGCGCTAAAGCGCTTGTGAAGATAACCGTTTTCCATCTTTGCCGAATAGGGTCAATAGTTCGTGTCGGGCCGAATGATCTCATCACGAGTGATCCAGATCTCATGAAGCGTATGCTTAATGTGCGGACAAGTTACAAGCGATCTAATTGGTATGATGGAATGCGACTCAAGCCTGGCCAAGACAATGTCTTATCCACTCGAGATGATGAGCTGCATAATAAGCTCCGGACAAAGATGGCCGCAGGCGTAAGCAATTGCATAAGTGTTCCGTGTGTAAGAGAAGGGAACGTGAACTAAGATGAAAGATAGTATTCTGGTAAGGAAGTCGAAGATCTCGAAGACAAAATTGATCAGAACGTCCTCCGACTCGTCGGCCTCATTGAGAAATATGCTTCTCAAGACGAAGCTTTTGACTTCGGAGCCAAGGCGCAATACTTCACTCTCGATGTCATCTCAGACCTGGCTTTCGGTGAGCCATTTGGAGACTTGGCAACTGATTCGGATGTTCACGAGTACATCAAGACCATGGAGCAAAACATGCCGACGATTCTCGTGACGAGTGTTCTGCCCTGGCTTCTGGCACTACTCTCTTCGCCTCTTTTTAGGAGCATGATGCCTTCCGAAAAAGATGCAATCGGTGTGGGAAAGACGATGGGGTGAGTTCAAATTACATACTCTTCCGCCAAACTTGCTGCCCATGCAGCCACCTTTACGAGACGCCCCTGCTCACATTTGGTATCCTTCGCCGGCTCTAGCATTGCCAAGAAGGTTGCATCAGAGCGTTTCGGTCCAAACAAGAAGGTGCAAAAGGACATGCTTGGATCATTTGTCGCGCGAGGACTTACGCAAGCTGAGGCCGAGTCGGAGATTCTTATGCAACTGTAAGACTCAACACTCAAACGGTGATCGTGGTCGATCCTCTAACATTGAAGAAGACTAGCTGGCTCTGACACTACGGCTACCGCCATTCGAGCTACAATTCTTCACATCATCACAAATCCTCAAGTGACCGCTATGCTCCGAGCCGAAATCGACGCAGCCAAGCTGTCATGGCCCATTGTCTCCGATGCAGAGGCTCGCGAGATGCCATACTTGCAGGCCGTCATCAAGGAGGGTCTTCGTATATTTCCACCTGTGGTCGGTCAGATGTCAAAGGAAGTCTCAAATGGAGGAGCCGGTGATTACTTCAAGGGTGTTCATCTCCCAGAAGGTACCCGCATCGGCTACTGTGCGTGGGGAATCTTCCGCAGACAGGACATCTGGGGTCAAGACTCCCACGCGTTCCGGCCAGAACGATGGCTCGAGTCCGATCCTGAAAGGCTGCGCTTGATGGAGGGTACGCTGGAGCTTGTCTTTGGGTATGGTCGCTGGCAGTGCCTGGGTCGAAATGTGGCCTTGATGGAACTGAATAAGGTCTTTATTGAAGTGAGTCATCCGAACTCTGGGCTTTTCGTACTCATCAATCAACTTGGACGCATGTTAATGATATATCCGTTAGCTCTTGAGAAGGTTTGACCTTGTCCTGGTCGATCCAACGAATCCATGGCACTCAGTATGCAGCGGTGTCTTCCTGCAATCCGAGTACTGGATACGAGGGTACGTGAGACCGAAAGCGTAGGATTAAGCATCCTTATAGTGTCTTGAAGATTCACGTTGTGCCCTCAAGATAGTCTGAAAGATCGTCGCTCGGCTTCGATTCCACAATTGACATGGATCTACTCTGCTTGGCTTTCGCAATGTCTTCACAACGTTAATGTATCCAACTTTGTTATTCGTGACTGCGGGTTCGAAAGCCTGTGAAATATGTGCAACTTATCCCATCAACTGCTAGATAGCGTCAGTATATAGGTATGTACTTTAATAGGGGGAATAGCAAATAGTCTAACGGTCCGGCCTTATTTTCATTACAACCGCCAATGGATAATCTCGAAATAGGGCGAAATTAGAGAAAGACTGGAAGTAGACGTAGGGACGCCATCCAGCAGTCAATGGGATGGGAATGACTAGTATTAAATAGCCCAAATGAGCCTTTGGTTTCTCTTTTCTTGGTCACTTAGGCGTTAAGGTGGTCTCCTGATTACTCTCCTTCTAGGCTAGGTAGAACTTAATAGAAGCGCTTTCAGCCAAGTGGCATGCTTGCAAGACAAGTCGCCCTTCTACTGACTTCACCCAGCTTGCCCAACATAAGCATCAAATAAATCTGCCTCTAACTTGTGGCAGCCGACGCTTTGTGTGCCTAATGCTGAAAGGTGTTCTATGTCTTCTCTTAGTAGAAGACCTATTTCTTGCGAAAACTGCTCCTAGGTCCTGTTCCGATACAGTGAGAGCGCAGATACTCATCTAGTGCAAACTAGCTTCCAGATATGTTTCTGTCTTGAGAGTTTTAGGCGGCATATCATAGTCTTCAAGCAACATAGCGTTTCATACTGTCTTCTGTTAACGCCTTGGTGTGTTAGCCCGCCCATGGTAGCTTTAGGAACTTGCATTTAGCTCTAGCACTACAGATCCAATGGAATCACACAAAGCTGACTTCAGAAGGTGGGGGTGTGTGACACAGCTTCCCTGCAATAATCAAAGCTGCCTTATAGCTCTCTTAGCAAGAAAGGCTTTTGTTTCTAAACTTCCAAACTATCACAGGAACATCAAAATCTGGGGACTGCGCTGATGTTTGTTGGAGAGGTCACATAAAATTGGTTCCTAAAGGCTCAATACACAAGTGCTATAGTTCAAGTAAGGTAGGAGGTTTCCGATCCCATTAAGTCGCTGTCTCGTCTGCCGATCTTGGTGCTTGCTCTATTGCAGGAAAACTTGCGTCGGTGGTCAGGCACACACCATCCATGGACCAAGTAGCTCTTCTTCTACCCCATTGCGGCTAATAAATCGTAAAGCCGCAGTCTGTGGGAGTTCTCCCGTCGATGTTCTTGGAATCGAGATTTGAACCTTTATCGATGAGTAGGTTCACAATGTCTTGTATTCGTCGTCTGGGCCCATGGCTTTTATCAATCCTGTAATAACATGGGTTATAACTTGGGTCATACTGATGATTAGCAGCCATGTAGTGAAGAGGTGTATTGCCTTTTGAATCCTCAGTATTTGGATCAACTCCTACTTCGTCCAGCAGAAACTGAGCCACGTCAAGGTCTCGGTAGGCACAGGCTTGGTGTAGGGCATGAACTTTGTCTTTCTCGCAAGTGACCAGAGATGACCCGGCCTCGATCAAAGCCTTGACAGTCTCGAGACGTGAGCCACTTGCGTCGTTGGCTACGAAAGAGCCAGTACCGGATCTGCAGTATCTTGTAGACGTTGCCTCCCATGAATCACGATTATCGCTGTCAAAACTGCCTCTCAAGGCGAAGAACAGCGGGTTGGCGCCCATTGGTAAAGGTAATGGTTCTCGGCTTGGGGCTGAGCTTCGATGTATCCACTTCCTGTATTCTGCCATCGTTGCGCAGAACAAAGCTCGATGAGGGTCGTCCTCGTCGGTTTCAAACTTCTGCCAGCTGTTCACATACGGGTCGCGGTCGAATTAGTGATAGAAGTCCAGGTCGGTTTTTTGCTGGACATCGGCGCCAAATTTGAGCAGGTGATGTACCAAACCTGTGTATCCGTATAGTGATGCCCAATGCAGTGCAGTCAAAGATGTTTCAACCGGAAACAACGAGCGCGCCAATCGATGTTCCTCAATTATTCCTCCTCCTAAATATGTATCAACGACCTATCAGTCTGATCGATATCGGTGCCGTGGCGCATTGAAGCTGAGACACCCTCAATATTGTTTCTTTTGGCCGATAGCAGCAATGAAGATGCTTAATGCTGCCGAATATCACGTATGAAGACTGCTGAACTGACGATATTGTAGAACCACATGCAAACTCTGGCCAAATTGGTGGCATTTTGCACTCCTCTGCTGTGCCTACAATCCGGGCTGCACTCCTTCCTGACGTCGTAGCCTTCTTCGACCCTCTCAAGATAACCAGCAACGTCATCATCGTCGAGGAGCATGTCGAAGATGTTGAGGACCACTACATCGGGCATGTGTTTAAGCTGCGTAGATGCGGGTACGAGCGGGGGCTGGCTTTTGGCGTCTTTTGAGGCAACGTCCATCATGGCGAGACTGGCCAGTCGGGTATGACAACCTTGTACCAGGTGCGCTGTTTGAGGAATTGGTGCCGACTGGATAAACCCAGATGGTATGAGAAGTGAAAGAACGAGGAGAGTGAACGATTTTATCAAGAGGGGAGAGGGGGCGAGTCTCTTAGATATTCAAAAATTAATGGGTGAAACCGGCGGTGCCTAGGTGGCTTGTCGTTTTAAACTTTTGGAAGTCGGTGAGGTTGGGACTATCCGTGGTTGGTGATCAAAGTCTCGGCTTTGATCCATAGTGGTACTATCTCTACATCTCCTGGGAAAAGTGGTTGTTTAAATACAAAGATGCAAAGACTTCCTTGGTGGAATGTTAATTGAAACAAGAATTCCAACAACACAGTGATACAAAAACGGTACCACGGGTTTCACATGTTGTCAAGGCACCAATCAAGCAAAAATGCTGCTATGTGCATTGTTATCATAGAAGTATCCCATTAACTATTAGATAGACTTGAAGGAAGGAAGGGATTAGATGTGATGTTATGCATTGCTATGTACGAGGAAGAGATCTCTTCCTGAAGGAAAGGGATCCCTGAGGACTATTAATAGGGGATAGGGGGATAAAGGCCGGATTTCTAGCAGGTATGTGCATGGACCTGCATGGAGGTGCATGAAGCAGGCAGGTGAATGTCCCTTTCTTTAATAGATAGCATTATTATACCCGTCTCTAATCTTTCTTTAATATTTTATTTCTCTTATATTTAGTTAAAAACAATCTCAAAATAGATTAAAATTAGAAAAAGACTAGAAACGGATATATTAATGCTATCTAGTAGGTGGTGGGATGATTATCAACACTAAAACTAACTCATTGGGCCGCATTCTCGGCCATACACACTATCATAAGGAGAATGCATAACTGGCATTGAGGTGGCTCGCTTCGGATAGGGCATTTAGAGAGGACGGCAATCTTCCGCAAACAACTATTTAAGGAACTTTCTCAAAAGGCCAGCGGCTTCTGAGCCACCACGTTATGGCTAAACACCCCCATCAGCTGCAAGATTTATAAACTGAAATTGCCAACCAGACTTACATATCAAACTGAGCATGGAACATATGAACTGCCTTCAGCTCATTCCGCACCTGAGCAAGCATAATCTCTGCCTGGACTTTAGTCCAACCCAATACACCGCAAAAAGTCCTCATTGAGAAGCCCTCGAGCCCCTCCAAGATTTGCATCAAATTGATCAGTCCCAATTCTCGATAGTACGGGTCCTTTGGCCAAGGACCAATGGGTAGGATAAACCTTTTGTGCACCACGTTCCGGAAATCAGCCGCCTCGCGGACCCATCCCTCGAGCTGGGGACCCGGGCGGCTCTCGCCGCCCATGGCTGAGATGGTGTCCATGAGCATGGAGTTCCATTTGTACGTGACGTGGTCTTCTCTCAGGGTCCCGTCGGCTGAGTAATACTTTCCGCTCATATCTGTGAACTCGGCCCAGCCGCCTGGGTTGAGGTTGTCGTAGATATTCCTAATTAGTTTTGGGTAGTTGGCTATTGAACCGATCATGTAGCGGCAGAAAATGAAGTCGTACTTCCGATCGCCTATCCATGGACTTTCGACGTCGTCTATCTCGAACTTGACGTTTGGGGGAACTCTGTGGAGCGCGGTGTTTAGCACTGGGTAGGTACTTGTTCCTATGTTAGTTTAGAAGGACTCACAGATCCGGCTGAATAGCACTCAAGTCATTACCGTAAACCTAACATGTATAAATTGCGTTAGTTTTGACTTGGTAGTTGACAACATATATGCTGATTCCCGTGTTCGCAAGGTTTTGCGCACCTCCGCACTAGGAAAGAGGTCACCCATCTCCATAGCCCCTAAAACATTGTCAATCCAAGGTCTTCTCCATCGCCTCTCAAGGCCAAGTCAAGGCACGCATGACTCACAGATCCCCGTTCCAGTTCCTATGTCCAAGATTTTATGAAGGTTTTGCTTCTGAAGCGGCGCTAAATAGAGTTGTTCGTCAAGCATTTTGAGCGTAAGGTTGTGTGTCATATCAAGACGGTCCATTTCGTCCTGCACATGTGAGTTTTTGCTATGCCTGTAGCGAAGAGCAGCCAAGAGAACTACTCACGTCATCATTTGGCAAATAGTACGCTATAGAATGAACGTGAGCATATTAGCCGTCCGCCCATTTGTGTCAGATGAATGCATTGACTAGCAGACTGTTCCGTACCTCCGTGGCGGTAAGCATGGTAACGCCGACCAAATTCGACGGGATAGGTGATAGCACTTAATGACGCCGTATATGTGGACCTACCCAGAGTCCCGTTAGTCATTGTGTTTGACCACGCAGAGAAAATAGCTACAGGCGCATTACATCTGATCATCAATGGAAGCGCTGTCATCCGTCACCTAAATAGTCTGATTAGTGAATTCCTCTCTCTGAGTGTGAAGTCGATCAAAAACCACCGATGCGTCTTCCGCTTCCAGAGCATCCGGCAATCCGTCAATCGGGGCCATCACAGGCATTCCCGGGGGCAAAGTCGGATCAAAATTAAAGCCCTGCTGGGCCTCCGGCGCATCGCCCATGGTCACGACAGTTCTCAAACGGCGAGCAAAACACAGAACGAAACCACCCAGACGGTTACACAAGATTTTTCCGAGGGCACAGAGAGAAGTGGGAAGAGAGGAGGACGAAACAACCTTTGCGGTCCAACAGAGGGGTGCGAGATTACATGTATGAATGGGAAAGAACCAATTGTTGGATCCAGCCCGGCCTGTTGGAACAGGCTCAGCCAAACCTAACCCAATCAGAGGCACGCGGGTCAACGAGGGTGCATTGTTGGCTTGCATGTTAGCAAGCAAAAACAGTGCCAACTACCAGGGAATAACACGATGGGTTCTTTTCCTTTTTAGGCATCTCGCAATTCGGCTTGGAGAGAGCACATCGGGTTCGGAGGCCCGAAAGGCGCGATGGGTTCTGAAGTCTAGGGTGACCAATGCTCACATCCATTTACTCCCGGTAAGTACCCAGATGCTCTGGACGCGGGCTTCGCTGCAGTCAGAGCTACAGCGGCGGCATTGAAAGACCAAACTTTGAGTCTTCTGACTCAGGCGATCTTCAAAGCATCTCGCATCTTTTGAACATCACGTGAAGGAACCAAGTGTCTGTTTTACAAGTCTTTATTCGTGTGGTGGGAGATAGATACTCCGCATCAGCACCCGAAGCCAGGGACTCTTTCACCCCATTCACCTTATTTACAAAATTGTCTAGTTAACAAACATCGTACATATGCCCAAACACACCTTCTTGGGAGTTGTCTTGCTTCTTGTTTTTGTTTTAAACGCCGCCCTCGGGACCATCAAAAGAAACGCCCCCTTTTTTGTACAATCATCAACGCCATCGCGGATGCAACCAATCAGAATATGCAATGAATCTCTCCCAAACAAAAAAAGGTCCTCCGCAAGCCATGGTCCATGTCTTTCGCGTCGACTCTGTATGCCAAAGATGAGGAACGCAGATCAAGAGAAGAAGTACTCGCTCTCCTTGAGTCTTTGCACGTCAAAGTCGCCCTTCTCGGGGATGGGGGGGAAGGTCAAAGGAAGCCAGACCGAGATGGTCTTGGGGCGTGGCGCGCCTCTCTTGGGCGAAGAAAAGACGCTCTTTTTGAAGTGCGACTCCTCCATGTTCTTGAGCATTTTTGAAGCGAACTGGGAGCTGGCGCCGCTGAGAAGCCCTTCCTCGACGATCTTGGAGGAAGTCTCGGCATCATTGGCTTCATCGCCAACGCTAGACTCCATCTTGACATCGTTCTCGTCCGCGTCCTCGGCAATCTCGCCGAGGCCCATGGCTTTCATGTCCTCGCCCTGTGCCAGGGCTTCGGTAGCCGACATCTCCTCAAAGATGCTAGCGGGCGTGACCATCTCCTTGGCCTCCGCAATTTGCTCGGGGTCCCCGGAGCGGAGGAGCGTCTGTCTCTTGTACTCCAATAGGAGCTCCTCCTTGGACGTGGTCTTCTTCTTCTTTCGCAGGGCAGCGATCTTCTTCTCGACCTCGGTCCCGACATTGATCTTTGCCAGGTAAATGGAGCCGCGATAACGAGCCTCGAACTCGGCAGCGAGACGGCCGACGACATCCTCCTCGTGGATTCTGACGAAGGCGTCACGGAGAACACGGTTCATCGTGTTGACGTCAGAGGCGTGCGTCCAGAATGAGTCGTGGACAGCAGCAAAGTCCAGTCCCATCTCCGAGCACTCCAGCGCTGACAGCAGCATATGCGTTGCGTCGAGGGAGTGAATGAAATTGGGAGGGAACGCCTGCAGCTGCTTCTTGCGGTGGACTGGATCGGTGCGATCGGGAATGGTGAGAGAGAGATCCTGGAGGGACGTCTTGATGATTCGGGTCCCACTCTTGCGGTACGGCTGGGCGACGGGCATGCGTAGCGGTGTGGTCCAAACAATCGTGGCACGGAATTGTGCCAAGAGTTCGTCAGTCGAAGTCATTGTCTCGGTGGACTTCGTTCTCGACAGCACGGGCACGATTCCATCGTTCGCGATCCGCTCCAGTTGCTCAGCTGACAAAGCCCTGCAAACACGACCGCCAATCTCACCAAGCCAGTATTGGATATCGTGAGCACCGCGGAACATGGACGAAAGAGCCTTGAAGACGAGAGTGGCCACGTAAGAAGCGGTGACAATATTCTCGATGCCACACTCCTTTGGCAAATTGGGATACAGCGAATCGAGCTGCTTGCAGACCTGTTTCTTAGCGCCGGCAAATGTGACGCCGTAGACATTGGTCATGACGGTCTGCTTGACCACCTTTCTCGTAATCTTTCCTTCCATGGCCTGCGCAAAAGGGTTGCCCCCTTCCGCATCCTTGGCAATGTGATCTTTGACAATGTTGGCGACCGCAGAGTAAACGTCAGCAGGCTTGTCGCCAGGCTCGAGATTAACCTGGCGAGCACCCCAAATGTCACCACCGAGGGCGGCATAATGCTGAAGACCGTTGCAAGTGCCATCCTGGTGCACCGGAAGGCTTGAGACGTATTTCTCCGGTTCCGGGGATTCGAGTGCTGCCTTCAGCTCGAAACAGGCTGCAAGACACTGCCATGGGTCCTCGGCCTTTAGCCACCAGCGGTTGCCATTGAGCGGGTTATTGGCTGAATCCATGATGTTGGCCAAGTTGTCCATGGTGAAAGCTGCTCTGTCGTTGAGACTGGCCTTGTCGAAACCGAAGACGTTGGACAAGTGAACCTTGAGCCACTTGAGACCCTGCTCGCCAAGCTCCTTGCCCTTAGCAAAGCGGAGAATGCCACGGACATGGTCGGGACCCATGTGGTTGAGGTAGGTCGGGAGAGGGTAGGCACGACCTCGGAAGTCAATGTTGTGAGGGAAGTAAAACGTTTGGTTCCTGAACGCACGAGCGATCTCCAACTGGAAGTTCATGAAGCAGCGAATGGAATGCAGACCCCCCCTCTCGTTCTCGGCAGCCTTGACGGCTCTAATCCAGAGGATGCGTTCAGAAGGATCCTCAGAGGGTGCGGGCTCGGTGGGCGTAGGTATATTGGGGTTCAACGCCGGAATGTTTGCCAACGCCTCGCCACTATTCCAAACCTCGAGCATGACGTTGAGAACTGGATTGTTAATCCGCCAAGGGGTTCTTCCTAGAACATCCAAGCCCTTGAAAACTTGATCCATGTCTCCGCGGGCGATAGCTGCTTCGCTGTACAATCTCTGGTCCCTGTCGCCCTGCTTGACACGAACAAGGGCGGCTCTGCTTTCGAGAAAGCCACCCTTTTCGAAAGACTGCCACGGCTCCGGCTCCACAACCATGGGTAGGTGTTTAGCCAGGTAGTCGCCCTGAGGTTCTCGCTTCATGACGTTGACGAGCTCCTTGTTGGGCAAGATCATACCGATCTTCTTGCCCCTCTTGAGTTGAGTAGCGTGAGAAAACGCGGGCTGGAACTGGCTAACGAGGGCCTTCGTTTCGGGATGTTCCCTCACAACTTTGATCTTGGCAGTCTCGAGGAGAGCAGACATGAGTGCCGCGCCGACCTTCGCCTTCACTGCAGCAGGCCAGGCCGCATCGGCGAGGGCGGTCTCCCTGGCTTCTTCATCACTGTACAACTGATTGCTGGCCACCTTGTTCGATGACGTCTTGCTCTCATCCTTTGCAGGTTTGGCCATGACCACCTTTCTGCTCCTGGTGGCTTTCTTGACCTTCTGGGTTGCGAGTTGAGCTCGGATATCATCTTCGGTGAGTCTTGCGAGGCTGGTGATGACGGTTGTAAGGCCCACACCACGGTCGACACCAGTGATGGTAATAGAGCTCAAGGTGCTGAGAATGGTAACAGCGGCAAGACGACCGGGCGTAGAAAGTCTGAAGAAGGGCCCGTACACACATCGGTCGTAGTCTTCAGGCGTCTTCTTCGCGACGGCCTCGGATTTCTCGATTTTGGTCATTTCTTCCTTGAGTCGCGCCTCCAGTGCAAGTTGCCAGTCGTACAAGCGGGAGTTGAGGGATGCGTGAGTTACTACAGTATTGAGACCCATCTTTTGCAGGGATTCGGTCTCCTCGCGCCATCGCTCAACGGCTGCGTCAATACAGTCGCGCTCGAGACGGGCTTGGATCTCCCTTCGTTCGCGAATCGGAAGTGTGGAGATGTCGCATGCTTGAGGTATTTCGTCGAAGAGGCTCAAAGTCTGCTTCAAAGTCTTCAGTCCGATGCCTTTCTGTGGTGTGGCCAAGACTTCAGGCACAAGCTTCGTGAGGGGGGACTTCAAAGCTTCGCTTGATTCGTTGACCGCCACGTCAGACTCGTCATTGCCTTCGAAGGCTGGAGTCTCTTCTTCAGGCGCAAGGTTGTATATGGGGCAGATTTCTGTAATAACTGCGAGGTCTTGGTCGCTAAGGATCTCAGCCATGGACAGGACTTGCAAGCCCGCCTCGCCGGGGGCCAGTTTCATGTAGCGAGAAACCAATCGGTGGCGTCGGTCGTGGTCGCGTTCGGACATGAGTGAGGCCTTGAGCATGCAGGCGATCGTCTCGGCGGTTTGGGGAAGGCCCCTGGTGTTGATGTGCAACTCGTACCACTTGTGAAGGCTCTCGGCTTGTTTCCGGTCGGGATGGAGGCGCAACTGGTCGAGAGAGGCTCGGATGAATCGGTTATGAAGGAAAATCAAATCTTCGCCGGGGAAGCTTGGGACAGCAGCCAAGCGCTTGAGGACCATTTGTGCACGATCGACTTTGCCTACGCGAATGCAGGCATCGAATATCGGTAACAATTCGTCGACGTCACCAGGAACGCCATTATTGTTTATTTTTCCGCGCGCATTTGGCGGTGCATTGTTCGCTTGGAGTACCAGTGGCGAGGAGGGATCGAAGGCGCGTAACTCGTGGTAACTCGGGCGACCCGAGACGTTCTGGTATGCTGGCAGAACAGAGCTGTTCAGTCTGTCGTAGTTGGAGCTTGCGATGGACTGATGGTCATCGACTGCGGTGGCAAGACTTCGCCCACCACTAAGGCTGCTTCTTCTCATTGTGGGCCGTCCATCATGCTGAGTGCCAAAAAGTCGTCTACTTCTTTCGCTTGCGTTTATCGTCGTCAATGGACATCTTGGTGTCGGTCGAGAGGGTCGGAAGACTGTCGCGTGGTGGAGAGAAAGACTTCTCCGGCTGTTCCTGAGGAGCATCTTGAAAGCTCACGCAACGAAAGGACAGACCACCGCAAGTTGTCGTCGTTTCCAACAGAAGGAAATCTGTTGAAGGTCTAGGAGAGGTATCGGTGCATTAAGTAAAAGGAGTATAAAAAGAACGTGGCTATATTACAAAGTACAGAGAATGAACCAAATACGTTGCGATCCTGAGGCGCATGAGGTAGATGCAATAGATCTTGGGTGGAGGGAGAGATTTTGGGGGGGGGGGGAACGACGGCACGACAGGAGCTTGTCGATAGGAGGCGCGAGCTCTCAAATTTTGCCGTCCTTTTTTTTTTTTCCCCCTGCTGGCCTTTGACTCGGGCAATCGGGGTCGTCCCACTCCACCCGCCGGGATGGAATGACCGACCGTCAACGCCCGTCGTTGGATGGAATTTTCTGTCCACTTAAAAAGGGGACGCCCCGCCTATTCATGGGCTTTCCATTCGTCAGTGAGGCGTCCGTAGCACGTGCCGGCTTGCAGGTAATGAGGTACGTACTAAGCATCGAGGAAGGTACGGAAAGTAAGGTATCTCATGGAAGATGGAAGGCACGACCCGATTCAATATGTGGCCTGCTCATACATAAAAAGTCTTGATTTCCTCTGATGGGCATTTTCATCCTTCATCAAAGTGTACTTCGTCATGGGACAAGGAGTTGATGCCCTCCGCCCCGTTGAAAGTATCCAGAACGAGCTCGCGGCTCTTGAGGCGACGGACCGGAATAGTGGAGCGCCATGTCCGGGACGATTATGTAATATGCTAGAAAATCACAGCGCAGCAGTCGCGCTCCCATTCCACGGTCCAAGCTTTTCGAGAGACGAGAATTTTGGCTGCCAACATTATTTTTCTGTCGACAGGAAGCTCTCAAGCTCAACTACAGTTTCCGAAGGGAGCAGGAAACCGACGTCAAGATGGCTTCGCGACCTGCATTTGCAGCTTTGGGCTGTCTCCAATGTCGTAATACTGTCTTACGAGCCGTTACGTCCAGCTCAGCTACCTTTCTTCGAGCTCCCGCCATCACCACTACTGCAAGTCTACGACCTCGGAACCTGCAGAGAGCTTTCTCGAGCCTACCCGAGGCACCCAAAACGCCAGGCGAGGCTACCGCCCAGGCAACCGAAGGAGAATCAAAGATTGAGGAGCACAACACCGACGACCAGCTTTCCGGCGAAAAAGAAGAAACGCCATGGTTCCTCGAGGTCGACGCCCCTATACATCCGCCGAGAGAAGACGTGTCACCGCTGCCCGAACTGCCGAGCAACCCACCTGCTATCCTCGAGCCTCTGTTGAAGTACGTCTACGAAGAAGCGGGTCTCGATGACCTTTCCCTCCTCGACCTGCGCGCCCTCGATCCGCCACCTGCCCTGGGACCGAACCTTCTCATGCTCTTTGCAACGTCGCGAAACGAGCGTCACCTGCACGTCTCAGCCTCCCGGCTTGTCAAGTGGCTCCGTTTCCACCACAAGATCGAAGCAAACGCTGATGGGCTGATTGGCCCGGGCGAACTGAAGACGAAGCTACGAAGAATGAGGAGGAAGGCAAAGCTGCTCGGCTCGAGTGCCATGGTTGCAAAGGGTGGCGACGATGGAATTTCGACAGGATGGATCTGCGTCAACCTCGGAACCAGTGGGTCGACATACAGCGAAAGCGAGCGCTTCGACTCGCAAGGCAAGATGTCTGGTTTCGGTGGCCCAGCCACTGGATCTACCATCATTGTCCAGGTCATGACCGAGTCCCGGCGTAACGAACTAGACCTCGAGCGGCTATGGAGCCAGCAGCTCGTACGCAGCGAGGCTCAAGAGCGCAAGCTGGCTGACGAAGACTCTTCCTATCACAACAGATACGGTGATTTGCCGACCACCACGATCCGAGCTCGGAAACCCAACTACACAAACACATCGCAGAGGAGGAATTTCTCCACGACTCTCTCCCGGCCTTCAAAAGACACCGACCAGGCCGCTGTGGAGGCAAAAGACGCAGGTAGTACTCCTTCAGCAACTTCGAGCCCTGTCACAGACCCGCTGAACAAATACCGCCAGCGAATTGAGAAAATACGGTCGGAGGGGGAGCAAGTGAGCGCCGAGGACTGCTTGAAGCTCTTGAAGGGCATTTTCCAGGCGCCTACAGCGGAAGATGATCAGGGCCAGGACCAGGCGGACCTCGCCACCAAAGTCATTGAGACGATGCACCAACGGCAAATGCCAGTCATGGACCATGGAATGCTCACGACCATAATCGAGGCAATAGCGACATCACCTGCGCGAGGCGGACCTGAGCAAGGAAAGCTGCGGGGCATTCAAAGTAATTTGGAATTCGTGATGCTCAAAGGCATGCAATCTTGTCCCACGGAAGCGCAACTCGTACGTCTTCTCAGAGCATATGCCATTCAACGCAACATGGATCAGTTCTGGGAGATTTGGAGTCTTCCCCCACGATACAGCGAGCGCAGAGGGCCGGCATTATACCTGGAAGTGTTTCGCATCTTTGCGCGCATTAACAGGAGGTCTCTGAGCATCAACGCGCTTCGGAAGTGTGTACCGGAGATGGTGCTCGAACAGCCCCCGGTGCTGCCAGACGATGCGATATGGCCCGAAATCAAGGCTTGCATTCATATCGCCGACCCCAATGCGGAACACATTAGCGCCCACAAGGTTGCTGGTGGTAAAGTGGCCAGCGATGGCAAGGACACTGGCCAGTCGGAATTCGTTAGGATGTTCAAGGAGCTCGAGGCACTGCGAAGGAACCCTTGAGACCTTTCACATAGAGGCTGGAATCGATTTCCAAGATTTAAGCTCCGAAGCGGAATACGTCGACGGGACGGGTGACGGCAAGAGCAAGGTCCTTGGCGAGATAGCGGCAGCATAGAATGGCGTCTCTGGTCCGATGGCGGGATTCGGCGCTCACCGGCGTTCACCGATTGTGATATCAACTCAGCAATGAAGCTGCGGAAGACGCGGCAGAGATGGAGGCTTCAGCTCTGCATGTACAACACTCACCACAAAAGCAACTGCAAATGTATCATACTGTAATACCAACGCCAACTACGGATAGACGGCCATGTTACAAAATATCTCACTCGTCTAAAGTTCTACACAAAAGGTGCAATGCGACTCTGAACTTGCCTCCGGTTTTGGTGACGATGAAATTCCTTCCAGCCCAAGCTCTCTTAATCCCAGACCTTCCTATTCGGGAAGTGCTCCGTCTTATCTCTGGCTGAGCCCGGCAGGATTGCGGGGGAGGATCGGAGTCTATTATCAATTGACACAATTTTTTTAATTTTTATTTCCCACCTCGGCACTAATGCAGGTGTATTCCAACTTCAATGCGCCCCGGTTTCCGCCTCAACTTGTTGGAAGAGAAAGCATCTGAATAATCAGCTGAGCTGTGGTGACACGGGTGAGCCATGGGGAGATGACATTTGTCAGTCAAACCGCGTCGTCTGAACATGCAGGTTGTATCCGGACCACCCTTTGGTCCATCACACGCAACATTTCCCACTCTCCCTGGCTCTCTGGCTCTCTGGCTCTCGCGCCCGGATATCGGCATGGCAATGTCTGATTGCAAAGCTGTGCAACTCGGATCTTGTGAGCCAATGAGCGTTTGCAAAAGGCCCTCCGCAGTCTAGATCGACGCTCCAAGTTAACGTTAGCCCGGTACTTATGTGAAGCTCGCGATGCCCGAACAAGCAGGAGGACCAACACAATGGGGGTCCCTGGCAGGCTGGTCTCCAAGATGCTGCATCACCAACCCAGCCTTTCCAGGCCTGCTTCCCGCTTCTCGCCTGTCTTTGCCTTGCCAACACAGCCTATCCCTATTCCCTTTACCGCCTCCATGGAACACACATCGATCATGGAAGTGGACTAATGCGCGCCGGTCTTGGCCACACGTGGGCCAAAAGGGACCTCCAGTCTCCAGAATGCTACATATAACTCGCAACGCTCCCTTCACCGTGACATTCTCCTCCTCTCTTCCCGCTCGCCAAGGATCACATCTCCCGCCCCTTCATATCCACCCTCCTTGCCTTCCTTCCCTCATCCTCTCTCCCCCTATCGTCAGGTAGCAATCCCATCGCACACGAAAGCCATGGCCCGCCTCACCCCCCTCACCCTCCTGGCCGCCGCAGCCCTCCCCAAGGCCGCCCTCGCCTGGGGCTCCATGGGCCACGCGACAATCGCCTACATCGCCACAAACTTCGTCGCCCCCGAGACCAAAACCTACTTCCAGCAGCTCCTGGCCGACACCACGGACGACTACCTCGCCAACGTCGCCAGCTGGGCCGACTCGTACCGCTACACCACCGAAGGCTCTTTCACCTCCACCTTCCACTACATTGACGCCCTCGACGACCCCCCGCACTCGTGCGGCATCGACCTCGACCGCGACTGCGGCCCCACGGGCTGCATCGTCTCCGCCCACGCAAACTACACCAACCGTCTGCTGGCGCAGCCCGCTTTATCCCTCGAGCAGCGCCAGATCGCGGCCAAGATGGTCATTCACTTCACCGGTGACATCGGACAGCCCCTCCACTGCGAGAACCTGGAGTTGGGTGGCAACGGTATCGCCGTCGAGTTCAACGGGTCGAGCACGAACCTGCATGCGGCGTGGGACACCAATATCCCGCAGTCTATTACGGGCACGGGCAGCAGCGTGCTGGCTGTGGCCAAGTCGTGGGCCTCCAAGCTCAGCACCGAGATCAACTCTGGCGACTTCAAGACGGCGTCAAAGTGCTGGATTGGTGGGTTGAGCCTCGAGGACCCCGAGTCGCAGGCGCTGGCTTGGGCGACGGAGAGTAACAAGTTTGTGTGCTCTGTTGTTCTGCCTGATGGTCGTGAGGCTGTTGAGGGTAAGGATATTAGTGGTGCGTATACGACGAATGCACAGCCTACTGTTAGCATGCAGGTTGCCAAGCAGGGTTACAGGTAAGTTTTTTGTCCAGTTCTTTTGCCTCTTGGATGAAGTTGAGAAACTGACGATATACAGACTTGCAAAGTGGCTGGATGCCATCGTTGCCCAGCTGGCTTAAATGCAGCACAGGCCGGCACACCATGTTTTGTATATACCAAATACATGACAAATGTTATGCAATTTGACATGATGAATGATGATGAAGCGGTTCCAGACCAAATAGGATAATCTCTAATAAGATGATGGTCAGTGGTCTATTTTGAGACCCCAATGACAAGGCTTGTCTTCTAGACAAGGCAGTGATTGTGATTGTGATTTATATCAATGACCATGATTTGAATGTTGAGCTGCAAGGTAGCGGTTGGAAACTTGAATGCTCATTGGGTTCTCAACAGAATCTTTCAGGATCTAATGTGCGTAGAATCTTTGTTTTGGCCATAAGAAGTGTTCCGTGACATGTAAGACAACTGGTGCCATTGGCTGCGAACACTTCACTGCCGACCGGTCACTATCGGTCCACTTCTTCTTCTTCTTTAAAACCCTTTGAGAATCGACTCTGCTCATTCTAGCGTAATGTGTCCCAAGTCAATGTAATCCACCGAATGATAACTCCACGCTTCATGTTCGAGTGCCACACTTTTCAACGCATCTCCTTCATCTCAAAGCTTGGTACCCCCCTTGATCGTCTGCCGCAGCATGGGCGCAACCTGCTTGCGAGAGTTGGACAGACTCTTCTGGTGCCAGGCCATCCTCCACTCCCCTTCACTAACCTGATCGAGTCTGCCCTCGCCCCAACTCTCCAAGCCCAAATCATCCTTGTACGCTTGGTAGAACTTCTTGCAGTAGTCAACAGCGTTTTCGTTGAAGGCCCACAAGAGAAGCTCTCTCTGGAACTTTCCACCAGGATGTGATGTTGTCATGATGACCCCGACATCCATCTTCTTCTCCTCGGCCCAGTTCCTAAACTCGCCCAGAAGCACATTGTCATCGCCGCCGGCCTTTTTGAGGAGGTAGTCCAGATTCTGGACGATGGCTGACACGCCCATGACCTGGTGACGGCTGCTTGCCTCAAAGCCTTCGCCTAGATCCTCCCACTGCTTGTAATCCTTTCGGAATACGTCGCGGAATCCCAGCGAGGATATGTCTTCCTTAACGGCGGATATCTCGTCGAAGAATGCGTCGCGTCCACTCGTAAACTTTTCGAGAAAAGAGACAGCGCTGGTGTCCTTGTCGGTCGTCTTATCCTTGGACTTGAGGTTTGTGGTATCAATCAAGATTGCCGCCAGTGACAGCCTGGCAAGGTGCTCGTCCACATCGCTATCACCGTTCTCCGACTTTGCGAGATCTTCCCATACCGAGCGGCAGTACTCTACCACTAAGCTGGCGCAACTTCCACACTTCTCGACTACACGTGGCTCGGCGCCTGTGTCTTGGGGAACCTTATGATCATCGGCGTGGTGGTCTACACAGCCGACTACACTGCTGCTGTACTTCTTCGCGAGGTCCCCCGTCAGAGCATTGTGGTCAACGAGAACCCATCTGGAGTCCTTCGCAGCGAGGTCCTTTGGAATCTCATCGAGAGTGAGGAGGTCACTCGGCTTCAGCTTGGCGTGCGCTAGGGCAGCCGTCATCTCGGGACGGAGCTTGAGATCATCGCGGGGTAGATTCGAGATGGGAATGTGGAGCGTATGAGGGGCAGCATGGCTGCGGAGATAGGCGTAGACGACGGCAGAGCAGAGAGAGTCGAGGTCTGATTGATTTATGAAAAAGAATATAACCGTCAGTTTGTTTGTGAATAGAAAAAGAAATGCCAAGCTTCAAGCGTCTCTCGTACCTGCAGATTCGTTACCGACGACCAACGTCAAGGGACTTGCCCGTTGCGGAGCCGTCAGGGCCGATCTCGCGTTGGCGAGGAAGGCGCCGAGGGAGACCCTTGGAGGCATTGAAACAACAGAGTTCGATATTAGAACAAGACTTGGAGCGTTGGTGGTATTGACGCACGGGGAACTGCATATGCAGGTTGCCGCGGGAGTATCAAGAGGCGCGGTCCTCGCAGCTTGGAGCTGTTGGTGGTTGTGGTGGGGATGACGTCGGGAGGTTGCACAGAAGGTACAACAGCCACACGCAGCTTCTGGCGGATTGGCGGTCCAATTGACTTTGGTGGATTTCAACGGTGCTGTATCTTATCGCTATCTTATCCATAGCGCGGTCCCTTATCGTTGGTTTCCTCCCCCGCTATCGGATCGCGGGGCACTCTCTCTACCTAAGGTAAGATACCTTACCTCAGATGGCTGCAACGCCTTTTACTTGACTCAACCGCGACCCGCGAGAACCCCACCATCGCCGTGGGACCGCGGTCGGGGCGCTGGCATCTGAGCAGCCACCACATTTCACTTGCTTCCATGCTTTGTTCTCACGATTCCTTCGTCTTCCGCTTTGTCCCCCAACCTCAATATTCTTCATCGTAAATACCAACGCAGTCTCACTTCATTACAATAACTTGATTCTCATCCTCGTAACATCTTTATCCCTATCTTGTACATATCCTCTTTCCATCAAAGTAAACGAACATGGGCTCTCAACCACCCCGCATTCGCCTGGCCATCCTCGAGGCCGATACACCGCAGCCGCAGACCAATGCCGAGTACGGCGGCTACGGTGGCGTCTTCACGGCACTCCTGCGCACCGCCGCCTTGGCCAGCGAGCCGCCAGCGCCGCTCGACAGCATCGTTGACCTCTCAGTACACCACGCCGTTGGCGATGATGCCGTCTACCCAGACCTAGACTCCATCGATGCCATCCTCATCTCTGGAAGCAAACACAACTCATTCGATAGCGACCCGTGGATCTTGAAGTTGGTCGAGTTCACCAAGAAGTGTATCGACAGTGGGCGAGTGAGAGTCATCGGAGTATGCTTTGGCCACCAGATTGTCGGACGGGCACTAGGTGTTGAGGTGAAGAGGAGCGAACTTGGCTGGGAGGTGGCTGTCGTGGATGTCAACCTGACGCCCAAGGGCAAGGAGATTTTCCAGTTGGAGAAGATGGTAAGCTTTTAGCCCAGACTTTCCGTTCCTCAACTCGGCGCGAGTAAAGGCGGTCTTGTTGTGAACAGGTACTCACATGCCACAGCGCATCCACCAAATGCACCGCGATGTCGTAACAGAAAACCCAGCGGGCGCCGAGTCTTTGGCATACACGGAACTGTGTCCCGTCCAGGGATTCTACTCACCAAAGAAGTTCATCACTGTCCAGGGTCACCCCGAGTTCACCGGCCCCATCGTTAGTGAGATTCTCAACGTTCGTCACAAGGCTGGCATCTTTGACGAGGCAATGTTCACCGATGCCATCAACCGCGCAAACATTGAGCACGATGGTGTCAACATCGCCCGCGGATTCCTGCGCTTCCTTAGAGAATGATACATCGTCGTTCATAGTACTGTACCCCAATAGACCAGCGGCTGTTTTGGATACCAATCTTACTCCCTCAAGCTGCCATGTCTTTGACTTCAACCATGCAACAGTAGTTGCCAGATGCGCTCCTTCTCAACGCGATTATTCTATGCTTTTGATCTTCCAGCTCAAGAAAAGGTGAGCGTTGCTATTGCCTCCATCTGGGAAGGACCGCCCTCAGTGGGAGAATCCCACACTACGCGTCTTCCGTCTTCCTTTTGCATTCTTCCCTCTTTACTTGAATATCATCTACAGGGACCTACCTCATCCATCCAGTCCATCGTGGGCCTCTCCTTCTTCAAAAAACTGAGCTCCGTCCAAGATCGAGGTCCCATATATTTTCACACCTTCTCGACGCTTAGCTTTTTCAACTTATCCCCGTCACCGCCAACTTGAAGAAACAAGCCCTCTTACTCGAACAACTTGAGCTTCTTGCTTCCATCTTACAGTACTTGACACAATCTTTTTAACTCCCATCACATTTCTCGGGAATTATCCATCAAAATACATCTAAATCTCAAGAGCCTTGTGGGTAGGTTCGTGCCAGTTGTCATTTTGGGCGTGCCTTCCCAGCTGAACGACTGTTGCAGCACTTTTTTGCTCCCTCCTCTTGCCTTTCTCTCACACACACCTTTTTCTCTCCCACCTTTCCTCTCACACACCTTTCCTCACATAGCCTTCCTCTCAGACATCTTTTGTCACACTCACATGCCTACACACATTCACTCTCTTCTGTCTTCATCTTCGCCACCTGACTTACCTTGCAGACTCACCTGCCTGCTGCCTGCCTATTCAGGTAACGGAAGGCTCTTGGAGAGTTCAAATTCCTTCTCACCACGCAACTCTACCGCATCATTCATCAGCTGATTCAACTTTAACATCGCTCAATCACCATTCGGGGGACAGGCTTTATACCTCCACATTTCTCCTACATCTTGCACTCACGGTAATCCCAACCTTTTCATCATGAGCTGCTTCAAATCTGGAAATACAGATGCAATGAGCGCCAACCGCCAGAGGCAACCCTTCTGTTTCGAAGACGACGACGATGGCCCGGAGAGAAGCGAAGTTCGCCCAGCAATTGTCCGACAAGCAGAGTCCGACATTTTTGACGAGTCTGTAGAGGACATGATCGAGGAAAGTCGTCGCGACATTCCTGGCAGTGGCAGGTCTCCACTCCCGTCATACCATGGCAACGATGAGTTGGATGATCTCTTTGTTCCCAGTGAAGAGTGGGCGCCAAACGTTGAGCCATCTCATGCTGGTGATGTACCCATCAAGTCTGAGGAGTCTGACGATGACTATGATCTAATGATCATCGACCAGGGTGAGGCATCATCAAAAGCTCGACAGGAATGGGTCAAGCCGCGAGGGCCATGGACGATTGACCTGACTCCGTCGTCTCTAGTCAAGAAAGAGCCATTGGCAAACACTCATCACATTTCCATGGCCCACAATAGCAAGAACGAGCCTGGCGCAGAAGCTTTCGCCGATGGAAACACCTCTTTCCACGACAGCGATTCCTTCGTCAAGGAGCTAGAGAAGAGGAAGGTAGAGTTACAATCGAAAGCCCTCAAAGTTGCGCTGAGCCTGGAAGACATTTCAGAATTGTGTCAGGTCATCGCTCAGCTTAACCAGGCTCAAGATAAAGTCAAAGTCAGCGACAACGCGCTAAGCGCAGCACCATCCACTGCCGCCAATGTGGACCAAGAATCCGGTGAATGCAGTGGAAAGAAAATGAAGAAAATATCAAATCCTCGCATCAAGAGCGCGGCAGATTACTGGGCTCGGCAAGAAGAGAAAGATCGCATCCGCGAGGAGACAGGGCAGAAGAGATCCCGAGCATCTCAACGAAGCTCACGCGCCATCAAAAGGACGAGCAACTCGAATAATGCGAGGGCTGCTGGAGACGACGACAATGAAAACAAGAGAATCGAACGCCAGATCGAGGCGCTTCTCCACCCGACAGATGCGATCCAGGAACGAGCGGAAGTAGGAGACCTGACAACTATACCTGAAATCATTGCGACCACGAGAGCAGACCAACTGAAGAAGATGAGAGAATCTGCACCCGAGTACTTTGAGCCACAGTTTTTGGATCGCCAGAAAAGAGAGCTCCTGGAAGCAACCAAAGCATGGGGTCCACGCGCTGTTCGCGCCAAAAACGGCTTTTGGGAGGTCAAAGGCCTTCAGTCTCTAATGCACCATCATCAACTCATTGTTGGAGCTTGGATGATGGGCCGCGAGCTCAAGGGAACACCAAAAAGGCCCAGGGGAGGCATTCTTGCTGACGCCATGGGCTTAGGAAAGACCATCGAGACCCATTCCTGCATTGTGGGCAACCAGGCGTCCGAGAGTCTCCGACAAGACGGGAAGGGAGCAACGCTGGTGGTTGTTCCTTCAGGACAGATGATCAGTCAATGGATGTCGGAAGTCAAGAAGCACTGCGACAAAAAATTCGCCAAAGACATCATCCATTTCAAAGTCGGTAACAAGATGGATATTGAGCAGTTGTCTTCCTTCAACATGGTGTGAGTATGGTGTGGCAACGAGTGCGCGGCTTATCAACTAATAGTTGTTCCCAGGTTCGCCAGCTACCATCAACTCAGGGACAGCATTCCTTCCTCCAAGGAGAGGCTAGAGAAGCCGAAGGAGATTGTCGACCCAGAGAAATACAATGAGTGGCTGCAAGAATCCACCGGTGTTCTCCATCGCATTGAGTGGCATCGTGTGGTACTTGATGAAGCTCATGCGATCAAGAATTACCTCACTCACAGTAAGGATCCAGTACCCCTTTATTCAAGTTCAATTGCTGACTTTGAAAATTTGCAGCTGCATTCGCGTGCTTCGAGCTCAACGCTAAGCACCGTTGGGCAGTGAGCGGGACACCACTCATCAATGCAGCTACCGGTGAGTTGGAGCATCGCCATCAGATGACAGGCGGCTTCTCATATCTCGCAGAGTTCTTCTCCTATTTGAAATTCATTCGATGCCATGGAATCGAAGAGTTTAGCGACTATGAACGCGAGTATCGCAAAGGGGTAGGCGTTCTTCCCAACAAAGTACGGGCAGAGAAATTGTTAACTTCGTGCTGTCAGACTAAAACTCGAGTGAAGCACAACAGACTCATTTATGAGGTCATGTACAGAAGGTAAGGATGTTTTGATGGAACTGCAAGAACCCTTTCGCTTATTTAAACCATCAGAACTCAGGGCGACTTCTTCATGGGGCAGCCGATTTTGAACCTGCTACGACCATTCCCACCCACCAGTACCTCACGCTCTCCAAGGAAGAGATGGTAATATTCAGGTGAGTTGAGACAAAGTCTCTAGACAACTTTCGGTAATTAATAGGGTCCAGGATGATGGAGAGATGCTTTCGTCGGAAAATCAATCGAGATCTTGAGACCGGGGATGCCACAAAGCAAATGAGGTGCTATCTAGTCATGCTACTTAGATTGCGCCAGGCTTCTACTCACCCATTCTTACTCGAAGGAATGATGGCAGAGTATTTCACTCAGAGTGACTTAGAAGCAACTCGGAAACAACTGGAGGAACTCAAAGGTGGTAGCACCGTCTACAACCAGATCGGCTCTTGGACTCGGAGACACCAGATTGCCAGCGAACGCATCAGAGATGTCATTGAGCAAACATATCGGCTCAGCCAACAGCAGCTTTTAGATGACAGCAAAGAGCTACTCGACGCTCACAACAGTCAGACTATTGAGCCTGATCACGGAAATGCCACTAGCAGAAGTCATCCCCAGCCAGGGCAGCCCAATGCCGGCGAGGGTCCTATCACGATAGCCGATGACAGCGACGAGGTTGACAGCCAAGACGAGGTTGAAGAGGACGAGGATGGCTTGGTGCCGGAACGTTTTCTCCCTCCAAGAGCACAACCAGAGCATGCGGCGTCCTCGAACGTTGAGGCAGAGGAGCCCCGGCTCCAGCCTTTTGGTTGCAGCGATTTTGGTCTGGCATTTGACATGTCTAAGCAGCTCGAATATCTGGAGAAGGTCATGGAGATAAAGAAGGCCCAATGCGTCGTTTGCCGCAAAAGGTCTCCTGAGATTCCTGTCAAAGGCAGAGTGAGTAACTGGGTCATGCCGATAAAATGTTTGCAGGATCTGCATAGCTAACATGCTTCAAAGTGCGGCTGCATCTTCTGCTCTACTTGCGTAGTGTCTCATCTCGCACTGAAGGTATACATATTCGGCACCCCCTGAATGTTTTCCATTGCTAACTCGGGGCGGAAAAAGAGCAGAAAGTGCCCCAAGTGTCGCAGGATCATTGGCCTTCCGAAGCCACTTACACCGTTCGACGAGGACGAAGATGCAGAGTCTGCCGCGAAGACTCCTAACGACAAGGAGTATGAAAAGGGGTTTGACTGCACCGGATTCCAGCATACAGAGGATGACAAGGACGACAAGCATGCAGTCAGATTCCTGCAAGTGGCAGACAGATATCCTCATCTGCCTCTGACTCCAAGTGCCAAGTTGACGGCATTGAAGGAGACAGTTTTGACATGGCAGGCCGAAGCCTCAGACGACAAGATCATCAGTATGTATCCTGTCATATCCCAATATTACATGTCTCTCAGACGGCTGACCGGATCTCTTCTAGTCTTCAGCCAATTCAACGTCGTCATGAAGATCGTTGGCCGCATGCTCGAAGCGGAAGGAATCGACTTCGCATACCTGAGCGGCAGTCAGACCACCGAGCAGCGCAACAAGGCCGTCGATGAGTTCCAGAATGGCGACAAGATCAAGGTACTCATTGTGTCGCTTCGCGCAGGCGGCCAGTGTCTGAACCTCACGAGAGGAAATCGCGTCATCCTCATTGAGCTCTGGTGGAACCATGCCGTGGAGCAACAGGCTTTTGCCCGTGTCTTTCGCATGGGTCAAATCAAAGAAACCCATTTTGTGCGATTCATCGTCGATACGCCGATCGAGCAGCGCATGCTACAATTGCAGGCGAGCAAGATTCTTTCCATTGACGCTGCGCTTCAGGATGACACGGCCAGAGCGCCAAAGATTAGCCTCCAGGATATCGCTTGCCTCCTCGGCAAAGTCACGATGAGAGACGGACTCGTCACGCGCGTCTCAGCCGACTATGATGATGATGATGATGATGATGATGATGATGGTGGTGGTGGCGATGAAGAAGATGACGACGACAGTGAAGATGAGAATGAAGAAGAGGGCGATCTTGAGGGATTCGTTGTGCCCGATGATGAAGATGAGGAGATGGAGAGTTGCAGGTCTGCGATTCGAGCGCAGATGGGTTCGCTTTCTGACGACTCGGAGGAGGAATGAAGCTCCACGACGGAGAATCACCGCATATTTGGACCGAGATCTGAGCCTGGAGTTGCTCTCAAAGCAATATGGCGCGATTGATCCAAGCAACATTTCGTGTTCTTTTCGTTTTTGCGACACACATTTCTGGTTTTAACAACTTGCTTCATGGACAGCACCACGAGAAGATGCTACATATCCTACCATATTTTGAGATCGTGGGCTAATGAGCTTTTCTCGAAGCAGGGCTACGGATCTATTCTGGCAAAGCGATGAAATCTTTTGGCACCATGGATGGAATCTTACGCACCCTGGATGAGAATGAGTGCGCTTGGAAGGGACAGCTTGATGCCATTGACAGAGGCATAGAGAGCTTTCCCCTGAGGATTTGGAGAGGCAGGAGAGAGGAGGGAAAAACTCCACCAAGAAGCTTAGGAGATTTGGAGAATAGCTTCAGCCATCGTCTCTCAACTCTCACACCTTGCATATAGACTGCTTTCACAATAGACTTTTTCGTATTCAATCCTTTCCAATCCTCCCGCTAGTTTCTCTTCGAACACGTTATACGAACTTGGCGTCTTCTTGTGCCGACATATGCAGCATTGGTGGACGTCTCACCACTGTTGCAAACATGTCGGCATCATTGCATGCCTCGGCCTTTCTCCTACGGCGCTAGTGGGGCCGCTGGACCGAATTTGGCGCGCTTGCAGGCCTCCTGCGCCGGAGTTTGTGGGTCCGCGTCCCGATCGTACCGATCAATGAATTTCCAATCGCCGAGCGCAGCGTTTTCCTAGGGGACGATGGTAATTGGTTTACTATTGATTCAATATGGTAAAAGTGTTTGTTCATTCAATTCATGTGGTATCAACGCGAAAACGACTACGCTAATGATGCCCTCCTTCCGGCCCGTTGCCGGGCTTCGTCTTTATCCCGCCGTAACTTTGACGGCGTCCTGCGATGCCTGACTTGCGTGTCAATCCACGGCTTTTCTACAGCACAAAACAGACATGCGTTAACTAGCCCCTGAACTGACAGGCTCACTAGCGACAAAAGCACAACCACAAACGGACCGGCTTGCTCTGGGTTGTCCCAGCGCATAACATGGGCGACAAAAGGGACAGCCCAGATGAGTATGTATACAAGTGGGTAAACAAAAAGTAGTCGCAGTTGGCGACGAATCTTATCGCGCGTCTTTGCCATCCCTGTGCCGTCAATGGTAGGATGGTAAAGAAAAGGAGTATTGTTATGATCTGTATCAGAATCAAGAGATGTACCCCGACGGAGAATTGACCAGATGTTGGCAAGCGACTTGGCTCGAGCGCTTGTTGGGCTGCTGGGTGGTTGCCACTGTGTGCTGAAGCTGCCATGGTTATAATGCGCCTGAGGCGGATTCAGGTCGATCGTATCGCGGCGTATGTAGCTCTGCGGAGGAGGAGAAATGGGCTCAAAGTTGGTGGAAAGCGGACTCGTGCTGGACTCGAATGCACGAAGGGAGACGTTGTCGTTAGGTTCCGGAATGCGGCCATCGTCTTCGTTCCCATAACTTGGCCAGTTCCACTGGATCTTCTGCCGGCTGTGGAGAAGTTCGATCTCGGCTGTCATGGTAGTGTTTGTGGAAGAGGTACGTTGCTGATCTGAGTCTTCCATTGAGGTTTCAGAGCCGCGCCGTGATGTTGGGGTGGCTGGCACGGAGGGAATATGAGCCCAATGCCCATCGTCTAGCATGTGTGTTGCGCTCGCCCGTCGCATAGCACTGAGTCGACCGAAGCGCCGCATACGCAGCGTGACGTAGATATAGATGTAGGCGTAAAGCGCAACAATAGTAAGTAAAATCAGGTAGCGGGGAACCCAGCTCAGGGCGAGCCTTGCCCATTCAGGGCGGGCGGGTAGGTAGCAGTACTCCCCATTGTTGACGTAGCCGGGCCAATTGATGAATGCCAATGAAGCCATCAAAAGGGGGAAGAATGCGAAAGCACTGAAGGCAAGACGCCGATGGGGATACAATCCACTTTGCCGCCCAGAATGACGTGGTCGGAAGATGTAGATGGCTGTGTGTAAAGCGATAAGAACAACAGCAATATCTGATGCCTCTATGCCAACTGCGAGGAAAAAGCCGCTGGCTTGGCAGAATGATGAGCTTGAGGCAACTGGACCGTTCTTGAAGTCGACAATTGGGAATATGATGAACCACAGCGATTTGAGCATGTCACTCGACATAAGCAACATAATGAGACTGTAAAATTGTTAGTGAAATGACCATTTCCCGGCTTGAGGCGGGTAGCCTGCTTAGTGAATCCTATGCACACCACCAGTGATCGTTACTCACTCATGTCTGAAGCTTCGCCTCCTGCGAGAGAACCAGTAAAAGGCGAAAGTCACAGATGCAAAACTCAATGCAGCAGCCGCAAGCGACGTCGATTGAATAATCGTCCATTGGTGATCGGTCAACCCATCGGGGATGCGGGTGTAAGCGGTGTCTACACGGCTGCGAATAAGTTCGGGCGGCGAAGCAGCTGGCGATTCTGATGCACCAATATTGTCCAGTGCGCGGGGCCACGGTGCCATGACGGCTGTGGTTTCCTGGACACCGGACGTAACCTTGGAGTCGGCGGGGTGATTTAATTTACGTGGGAGGCTTCGGATTCCTCATGTTGATATGATCGTGACCACTTAAACGACCTCCTTGCTTGGTGTTGGTGTCTGTAAAGCCGGCGATGAAGCTGCGAATCTGCTTGTATGCCCCTTGATTTCTGTCCTTGTCCAACTGCGGGCTTCTGGGATGTGCTCGTTTTTTGACCCGTCATCCAGCTTCCCTACAATGTGCAACGCTCGCTTCGATATCCGTAGATCCCCTTGTGATCGGCCAGCCTTTCCGTAAGTCGGGTATTCGTAGATGAGTGGACAGAACTCTGTTTCCGCGGTGCTTTGTTTGCCTCGATGACAGAAAACAGTAGCGGCTTTGGTCACGGCGATGACGCGAGCCAAGGTATTGCGAAAGAAATTTCCGGTCGGGTAGAGACCTGGATGGCGATCGAAAATATTGGATTGGCTGGGAGATACAAAATTCCTTCTTCTGGTCAAATTGCCTGGGGGTTGTGGGAGAGGATGGGTTGGTGGTTATAGGGAAAGTGGGATGGTACGTGAGTCCTATTTTGGTAAGCCTTCACCTTCAGCCTTCAATGAGCAGGGTCTGTGGAATATGAGGTCCATCCTCCGCCTGGTATCGGATTGCCGCTCAGGAAAGGGCGACAGAAGCTTAAAAAGGGACGGACGCAGGCGAGACATTTGACCGCGAATAGGGGAGACGGGACTCGGAGGCGCTCAAAAAAGCAAGACAGGCTATTAGCGTCGTGATTTGAGGCTTTTGGGCGGATGTCAGCTTAGCCAATAAATAAGCGGCCAAGGGAATAGGCATCCGGTGCGGTGTGGTGGTGTCTGTGTGTTTGTGCGTCGATCGTGTGATTGGGGGCGTGGAGAGCGGTGAGGGCGTCTGTCGAGCGAGCCAGCATACGTCGAGCTTGACTTTGTCTGACGGCTCGTGGGCGTCGGTGTGTGGCAGAGTGCGAGAGAGTTTGCTGGTCGAGACTGCTGAACCAAGGGGGGTAGACAATATTGGGGGCGTTTACTATTATCCTCGATGGTTTGGGGGTCGGCGACCTCAGTAGGCGAGAGACAAGAGAGAGACAAGCCACAGTCGGCGGCACAGGGGGTAACGAGCACAGCATAGCACAGCACAGCGGCTGGGTTGGGTCGGATGGCTGGCTGGCGCCCTGGGTCTGCTGGTCTCGTCTCGTCGTCTGGTTCGCTAGGCGCTTGTCGAACAAAAAGCAAAAAGTGTGTTTGCTTCCCAAAGGGCGATTGTGCATCTGGGGTGATGGTACCAAACTGAGGTGAGCAACGATGTGGGCGGATGGGGGAACAACGAAGCGACGATCAGTGATGACGATGTGCATTCATCCATTCCGTGTGATCCCCAGGGCGGTCATGACTTTCTCACGATGCGATGCGAATGGTCGGAGAGCTGCCGATAACCTCGAGCTATGCAGCAGACAGACGGCAATATGCAAGTGCCCTGCTGGTGGTATTGGCCGAGTTTGCCCATCAGCAGAGCTCTGAGCAAGTCCATGACTAGCTTCAGCGAACCGAGACAAGTGACGAATGGCGGAAACGACAAGCGCCACCTAGTGAGTAGTTTTTGGTTTAACGAGAGTTTCGTTTGCGAAATCGGGCCTGGATGCGGTGAGGCGAGAGGGAGAAGAAACCCGGCCAACCGATGCAATTGTAACTTGTAGGTATTTTGGCGGAAACCTCGTCCGCCAGCCGCCGTCGGCTAAAGTCACGTTGAGTTGGAAACATTCCAAAACATGAATGTCACTGAGTGGTTGATGGGACGGTGACGGGATGGCCACTACCAGATCTAAGTTGCTCCACGGATGCGGAATGGCCGTCGCTGAGCGACTTTGGTCCTCGATGCCCTGTGTCCGGGAACGGCACTGGACGCCTGGTAATCTGTGGGTAGAGGTAGAAATGCCGGCATAATGGTGGGGGATGGGGGAGGCTGGGGGGACCGTCCACTCCTTGGCCTCGCTATGAAGGCAACAGTCCAGCTGCTGGCCGAGGCGACACTGCTGCGTATGCGCTGGACGTAAAGGCAGAGTCTATAAGCGTGTTGCATAGAGCAACTTGTGCAGAACCAAGCCAGTTCGACCGTGGTGATGGTTGAGCTCGGTGGAATTGTCAAGGGACGCAGGAATAGCCAAGATAGGAGCTGTGGCTTTGACGGGTGCGCAGGGACTCTAGAGGTGCCTTTCCCGAACTTGCGGTTTGCCAGGTGACGTGGACGGACGGGACGTTGGATTTTCGTCCATCTCTTCAGGTTGAAGCCGAAAACGGGCAACGGATGCGCCGATTGGGGTTGTATGGCGGGAAATGTTGAATGGGTACGGAGTAGAGGAGCTTCAGGTTGAGACGGGGGAGCTATGAGCGCCTGGTTCGGTGAATGCGAATAGGTACAGGTGCTGACGTGTGCAAAGTATCGAAAAAGCCCCGAGGGCCGCGACAACATCAGGGCAACGACAGAATGCTTATGACGGATTTTCGGAGATGCGATGTTGCATCGGTATGGGAAGATGAAATCCCGTCTCAATGATGAGATGAGGTGGATGAGGATGCGCAAGTGGCACGGAATTCCAAAGTGGGATTGTTGAAAGGCACGAAGGGCACATGGCCGAGGCAAGGAGCACGGAGGGAACAGCTCATGATCGGCAAGAACCAAGCAAACCCAGAAATGAGGCAGGAGCTGGCGCAGTCGATGTACGGAAAGAGCTGATCACGATGGGCAGGAGCTGAGGTCGCAGCAGGAAGGAGAGACACAGCCTTGTGTGGATGTGGACGGAGTAGGTACCTAGAGATGCGGGTGCAGGCAGGCGCAGGTCACGGTGCACGGGGCACGGGATGCGCTTCCCTTTCACGTACTTCGTACAGCGCACGGAAAGAACGAATAGACATGAGGTAGATACGAATAGACATTATTAGGTTGGAAAGAGATACCTACCTTATGGGCAATACTGGTATCTTGTAAGGACGGTGAGTTAGGTCCCTTACCCAGAGCCGGCCGGCCTTCAACGCTTTGAACACCTACCCGGCCTACTTTACTTACGGATACACCTGGTAGGCTGGTTCGCATAGCGCTCAGTCTCCCGCCCATCAGCAGCACCTCGGGATCGTATTGGTAATCGGCATGTCAGACTTTCATCCTGAACGCTGGAGTGCTTCACTTGATGATGAAGAAAAACCCAGCTACGAGAAGACGAGACTGGCCTGCAGTTGCTCCTTGCCCCTTGCTCCTTGCTTGTTGCACGGGGCAGCCGCTTGCAAGGGACGCACCTGCCTATCGTTCTCACGGTTCCCATGCCCTCCTTCCCTGCCACGGTCTGCCGCCAGCGACCGGCATCTGGAGCACCATGATTGATCATCCATCGCTAGGATTACTTAGCTCCTTCTCTTGAAATATAATTCATTTGTTTGAATATACCTGACAAAGCCCTGGAAGATATGAAGATGGCTAACAATGATAAGATGGAGAGCCTTATTTCACAGTTTTCCCTTCCTGCCCGTGCTGCCCTACCCAAGCGTGCCAAGCTCCTGCCTGCCCTGTCCTTGTCAAGTTGCCTTACACGGTACAGTCGGCTGGCCCGAGCGTCGCTTCCGATGCCCCATGTGAAGCACGAGCCACGGGAAGAAACGGACCCCCTGTTTGTCCAATGAACAGCGATGGATGCTGATCCGTTCGCTGGAATGACGGGAGTACCTTGACTACGTACCTCGAGGCACCTCATGAGTAAGCCAAGGTACGTTCCTGAGCAGCTCACCGTCTCCAAGCTTCATCCAAGGGACTGTTGTCTCCCTCCTTCTCACCACCTTGCAGCCAACTAATCAACTCCGATTTTGAACCCTCGGGGGCCCGTCCAGAACTCCTTCGAGGTATCTGATCTGACCTTGCTGATCTGAGTCATCTTGAAGCACTTGGCAATCTCTAAGGGCGGTGAAACATCGCCGTTTGCGCGCTTCGCTGGCACCAACAATAGTCCAAGGACGGCACCGGCGACCGTCTGGATCTTCGGCAGCAACTTGGCGGCGTATCCCAAGCGACAAGTATTCATTCGGAGCGTCGATTTAAAGTGCACATCTTCATGCCTGGCAAACTGGCATGCTGGGTAGGGTATTGCCTATCCGCCCACCCAATCTTCGTCGTATGGCTGTCCGAGACACTAGGCATCATTCCCTGTGTTTCCCTTCTGGGTTCTTGTGTTTTGGGAATAGGTCTACGTCCGTATTTTTCTTTTTCGATGGGACACCCAGCACTACATTCCTCCCTCTCCAAACTTTGTAGCCGACAGCGACAGAGACATGACCCCTATTTCCGTTGCCCATTGGATCGAATCTGGGCTGGCTCATCCTTCCAGCCCATCTCGCAATCTCTTGTGAGTTGCAAACGTAGACGGTCTGCTGAGCCGAGAACACAAGCGCGAGACAGGTCTCGGCGCCATTGGGGGTCATCTTGGTTCTCTTCACGGATGCATTCTCCCTACCTACCTACTCTCTCACGAGTCGCAGTGTGCATCCTAACATAATGGAGACCAGACTTTACAGTCACATGATGGCTTGGCGCTATCGAGATTGAATCTACGAAAAACCGCACCATGGGACGGATATGTTCAGCGCCATCTGGATATCGAGCCCCGGTACGGATAGAGTCATTACATGCAACGCTACGGATACTAGGCATGCTTTCGTCACCCACACACCATCACTGAAGAAATGTAAAGTCGGGCACCACCCTCGCTCGCGTCAGTCGTCCTGTGGACCAACGATCCGGAAAAGCTCTGATCCCCGTCCGTTGACTTTTGCCCTTTTTACCCACCTGCAGTGGCCTGCGGTATGGTATAAGGGTATGTGCCCGGGAATACGAGGACATATTTTCCCCCTTTTGGCTCTAGGTCTGAGTCCTGAAATCCTTCAGACGAAAATCAAGACCTTGCTGTCTGTCCTCCAGGTGTCAATTGTCAGTTGGGCAACGCGCGTCATAAAGCCACGGAATAGGAACAGACACCCCTTAGCCGCCCTTCGCCTCTTCGCAGCGTCGTGACAGACCTTCGCCCTGGCTCTGAGTCTATTCCCAATCCCGATTCAGCCGAAGCCAGATATGGGCGCCTACCACGCAAGCACCTGAACCGGGCTCATTCTTGCCGCAGTCCTTGCTCAAACGGGGTAATTTGGTCGCCCACTGACCCTTGTCTAACGCTGCAATCTCCATCTGCCGAGCATCGCCCAGATCTTGCCGGCCCAGCATTCCCATGATTGGTTGACTGCAACGATTGCTCCCAACAGAGCCGTGCCATCCTGGTCGGCAATGGAAAGCTTAACCTTCATTCTGGGACTTGGACCATTGTTGTCGGTGAGCCATGTCGGGTTGTCCCTACCAGTCAACCAACACGTAACCCGCTCTGAGCAGTCAGACGCACATGTTTGGGCTTTCTTGAACCAACTTACTGCCTAGCACGACACTGTTCGTCATTCATGCGCTTCCTCATTATTCATTTCGGCTATTATTCGACTCCGAGATCTCATAGCTTGCGAAGGTTGGGGAAACTGTAAATATCCTATAAGCAGTTCACACCTGACTCCTAACATCTTTATAGTCGATGTGGCGCCAGCCACCACGGGCAGTCGCTACTCATTTTGCCCTGGCGCTCCTATCGGTCCTGCGGGGGGCCATTCGTCCGAATCCAATGCTGTCATCACGTCGTTCAAATACGGGGTGATTACTCTTCCTCTATTTCCATCTTCACTAGCCGTGCTCGACGCCCCTCCGGCTTAGCTTTACTAAAGACCGAAACCGAGATCCTGCACGGTGAATCTGTTTGCGAACGGACAATATGGGCAGTTGCATTTCGGGGTAGCCCCAAATGTCTAATCCGCATTCGCCGTTCGGCCATTCAGAGGGCAGCCAGCTTGTCTTTGACCCTGTTGCAACCTGCAAGCCTTCTGACTTCGTTTGAGAAACCCGTTGCCCTCTCGCAACCGTCTCAACTTTCAGATGACGGTCTTATTTGCACCCCACGAGGGCTCTGGTAGGACTGTCTAAATTACTAGAGCAATCTGAGTCATCCCGTGGTCCCGAGGCGGCTCAAAATCCCGCGTTCGAACTCGAAGCTCGGAAATGTGGCCGACGAAATTCGAGGATCAATAGGCACGGCCTGGTCAACGCCCAAGACTACGAGTCATCTATATGCTCGCAACACATTTCCGAGTTACAGCATTTACACCTTACTTGTCGACATCTTCACGTCCCTTCCTTCCAGCCCCTAACTTATACGTAAACTTGACTGTCGCTTGTCAACAGGGAAAATTTGCCTACGGGCAGTCGATAAAGCCCCTTGATTCTATCCGCTCAGATGTCACTGACTTCGTTACTAGGTAACATACTCTTTGTCACAACTCGATTTCCTGATACTGTGCCGTCAACTACGAGCAGCAAAAACTTTTACGTTCTCGCTGGTTTCAAGGAGGCAGATATCTGATCTTGAAAGCTTCGTTAAACATTCCCCAAGGGGTAATATTGACACAACACCCGTAGGACGAGATACCTCTCTGCCGTCAAAGAGTATTTGGCGTGAACGTTGTTTCTTCTTGGCATGGATACGGTTACGTACAATGACCAGTCGCGCGCCTACGGATACCCGCTTGTAATCAGACGAACTTCGTCTTGCCACTGCCACCATCATTTGCCGAGTCGAAACTATGCAATCACTTCTACCCGGGACATCTACCGTTTCACAAAGAACCCAGCACTCAAATCGTCTTATGACTGAGCTCATTTGTGGGGGAGCTATGGCAGCGCCATGGCCATATTCATGACCAGGGAGATCATCAGATGACCGGTCACTGCCCTCTTTTTGCCCTTTTCTCTCATTTTTTATGCCCCCCCCCCCCCCCCCCCCCCCACGGAGAAAAGCAGCCAGTGTTACCGGGATACTTCCTCTGAGAATAACGCCTTTTTGCGAACGGCTTCCGGAGACCGGGCTGGGGCCAACCCAGCCCTATGAATGCAGATCCCGAGATAACGGGGGGATCCCTGTGTCCATGACTGCGTCGGTAGTCGGAATACGTCACAGACCTGTCGTTCGTGATGTCACCCCTTGTGACATCCATGATCACTACCCGAATTAACCGAGACCGGAGGGCACGTCCGACGGAGTCGAGTCCGAACGGGAAAATTATCTTTGTAACTTGTTGCACGGTAGCTACCAAGATGCCGAGCCTCGCTTTTTTCCCGCGGGACAGATCAGGCCCGGCATAGCTTTTGTATGCAATCGGCCTTTTCTTTAGAACTCGGAACTCATCATTTATATGATTGTGTTCAAGGGATGTACCACTTGTGATTAAGAAAGAGCCAATCTGAGATTCTAGTCTAGTATGCCGATGCGATATTGTTTCTATTGAAACGGCTCTATGAAATACGTGGAGATGTTGGGAATTAGTGTAGGTGTTGTAAAAAGCAGAAAATCAAAAATTGAAATGCAATGAAGTGTGAGCTCGCGTGCTCAACCAGTGGAAGGTGGAAGCATTCTCTGCCGCCACTAGCAAATCTCCGGCTAACTGACGATGTAACCTGCCCATGTGGTAACCTCCTTGATTCTCATGCCTCAGATTCAACCTCTGGTTAGAGCCTCTCCGCTTCCTCATCTTCCTTCCTAATAACGGCCAGTCCCGTGCGGACCAGCTCCTTGTACTTGTGCGGCGCGGTCAACTTGATCAATTCCAGCTCACTGTAAAGTTGAGTTCCATGCGCGTCATCTTGGAGGATGTGCGCGATTTCCTTTGACTTCTCGGCTTGAAGTCGGACAATATAGTTGTCTACCGTGTTCTCAGCCTTGATGACCACTGAGGAAGTGACCTGCGTCTGGCCAACGCGGTGGACCCGGGCATCGGCCTGCTTTTCGACCGACTCGTTCCACCAGGCGTCTATGCGTATGATCTTGCTCGCACATGTCAGATTGAGCGCCTGTCCGCCAGTCCTGTAAGATGAGATCTGGGAAGCAAGTTAGGATGATTCAATCTGACGGCCGCATAATTCATGTGGAGTCGGGGCATACCATGACTTTGACGTCCTTGTTTTCCTGAAAGGCCGCGATAGCCTTGTTCTTCTGTGCGGAGGTCACCTTGCCATTGAGGTAGACGAATGGGATGCCGAGGGCGTTGAGGGTGATTCCCACCGCTAACGCAGTCTTCGTAAACTCGTGGAAGACTATCAGGATGTCAGCGTTATGATATTTCACACTTGGCGGGGGCTGCCTGCTGGGAAAATGACTCCATGTCAATGGCACTAAGCAACTTACCAATGATCTTCGGGCTCTGTAAGTCGTCTCCAACTTGGATCCTTTCATTCTGATACTCCAAGATGAGGTCTCGTGCCACAGTGAGCTTGGAACTCAAAGGCAGAGAGCCGCCATTTGCGCGCATGGCCAGCTTTATGAAGGCGAGATCACCTTTGTCCAACGTAGGTGTGACCCCATTACAATCGCTGCCGTATTTTTTGCTCAAGAACAACTTCTTCTGCTTATCCCTGGTGGACTGCGCTGATTTGGCCACGATCTTCTTCTTCTTCTTCTTCTTCTTCTTCGCTGACTTGCCAGACAGAGTCTGGTCTGAGGGCTCTGCACGGGCGGCGGCCTCCTCTTCATCTAGGCGATCACACTCTGACTCCATGGTAGAGAGAGTCAAGACTCTCCGTACATCGGTCTCTCTGTCGTAAGGAAGGTTGCAATCCTTGTGCTGACAGATGTCGGCTTGAGCGCGGAAACGCCATGTCTTGGTGATGCAATCGGAGCAAAACGTATGGTCGCACTGGAGAAAGAGATTTTGTAACTTGTTAGTGTTCCGAGCTTTTGTATCAGGTTGGTATGGGGGAAGAATGAGATATCATCGCTACTCACCTTATCGATGATCCAGACCTCCTTCATGCTCTCCGTACCACAGATGCCGCATTCCCTGTCATTCATGAGAATTCCGGATCGGGTATATTCAAGGAGGGATGACAGTGACAAGTGCTCTTTCGTTGGGGCGTCTAGCTCGATTGTCTTCAGGCCATTGCTTATGTGAGCGAGCTTTTCTTCGCCGAAGTCGGTCTGAAAAGCTATCTCAATCCCGTAAGGATGAGAAATCAGCTGTCTTTGGCGAGACAAATAATACATCACTGATGCTGCTGCATCTGACTCGTTGTAGGCTAGGGTCATTTCACTGCTTGGTGTTAGATACAGTCAAACGGAGAGTTGAGTCTTTCACGGATAAGCATTCTGACTTACTCATAGAGAAATCTCTCCTGCTCGGAAAGCTTCACCCACCTCACCTCCGACTCAAATGGCATCAGATCTTTCATGATTCTCTCCCCTAGGAACTCGTCGTTAATCGTCCTGTGAATGTTACTACCATTTATCCAAGTTCTTCAGAAAGATTCGGTCTACTCACCTCCGGTAAGTGCAAGTATTGATCAGGGCATCCAGTGCAACGGAGGATCCCTGCAAAGTTGAGCCAAGTGTTAGCACATTTGCGTCGCCTCACGACCATCGATGCGTTGGAAACCTGCGTGAACTTACTCCATTCAGGAAGGCCTTCTTGAATGCCTTGAGCTCGTCCATGCCTTCAACGCGTAGGACCTTGACATAGGGAAATGTTTCTGCAGTATGTGTTATCAGGACCATCTCCTTTCGGGGAGTGTGCCATGTTTGGATGTATTCTTACCGACTCCTCCGTTGATCAGGGGCGTGCCACTGATGAGCCAAACGTGTCTCATCGTTAGCGCGTAGCAGGCTTTGAAGGCTGATTACATTTTCCATCGTTAGTGTCGACTCAGTGATTTCCAGATTTTGGGGAGATGGTGACATAATGCTTACTCTTGGTGGCGATGTTCTTCATCTCATGGGCTTCGTCGAATATGATTCTAAACCACTTCACGGAGAAGACCTCACCAGCTGCAGCTTTGAAGGCTTTGTCAAACTCTTCACCCTGGAACTCTTCCTTCAACTTCTTCATCGCGTCCTCGGAAGGATAGTTGAGCAGTTCCTGATATGTGGTTATGCTATCAAAATGTTAGCATAAACACACCCACACCGGGGACCATAACTTACACGATCTTGTAACGCGATATGTCTCCGCCGGAGGCTGCGTGATGACGTTTCTTGTAATAATAGACTTCTTCGGGTCTGATGCAATTGACATGCTGCAAGATCTGTTCATGCCATTGACGGGCAACAGAATCCTTGGGAACGACGACTAGCGTCGCCCCAGAGAATCCCTGGGAATCTGCCTCGGGAGGCGGATTACCCACGACACAGGCAAGGGACATGAGCGTCTTCCCCATGCCCATAGTGTCAGCAAGGACGCCTCCATAGGGTGGCGCCAGACCGTTTTCCCTCTTCACTATCCACGCGACAGGGCTGAGCTGCCATTCAAAAAGCTTCGTGGTTTGAGCCATGCCCTTCAGGCGGTAACGCCTGCTCTTGCCATCTTGGAAGCACTCTACGCTTCCGTAGCCGAAGATTTTAATGGCTTCTCCAAGATCCTCGCTCTGGGTACCGCTACGACGGTTATTCGTTCCGGCGTTTCTCTTTAGAGAGATGTCTTTCTGCCTCTGTGCATTTGAGACTCTTGTCATTTGACTGACGGGAAAAGGGTCGGTGGATGATTCTGGCGCATTTATCTCCCGCGTTCGTCTTGGCTTCTTCGCCTTAGGAGGCACAACATCGAGGTCCTCGTCATTGTAGGTCCTCTTCTTCGAGAGTTCCTTCCGAATCTCAACTTTCAATTTTTCTGTGAGTTTGCGGTTGACTATTCTCTCAACATATTGTCGAGAGTTTCTGCTCCTGGCGATCATCTTTCTCTTCGGCTTGTTCGTAATTGCCTTCTCTAGCGTAACGAATTCAGAGGGCTCGAATTCATCGTCTGAGTCCTCCTCTTCAGTCAAAGACTCATTGTCGTACTCCGAAGAGTGATGGTGAGTGGCCATGACACCACCATGCAAGTCGAAGGAAGCGTTGCTGTCCAGGTCTGCAATTGAGGCGGAATCCATGGTTGCTCGTATGATATTTGAGATACCTTGAGGTAGCAATATTTGCCAAGCAGAAGTGTGAATGGAATGGTGGCTCTTGATTGAAGAAAGTTGAAGTTCAAGGTAAAAATGTCCAAGTGATGAAAGATTTGAAAGTGAGTCAACTATTAAATGCAGAGAAGGAAAGTGCAAGATGAAGATGAAATTGTATGAATCCAGTAGCTGAAGGAGCAGAATAGAGTCTGGTATTGATTTGTTGAAGTGAGATGAGAAAGCTGAGCTGGTGTTGGGTTGTTGATGTGGAGGAGAGAAGAAAGAAGTGAGGTCAAGTGGTAGAAAAGATGCTTTGGAAAAGATATGCTTCAGGTTGAAAGAGCTATCGACGAATTCACAATTTCGAGAGCTGGGAATAACCTCAAGGTGCTCACCTCGGTGTAGTATATGCACGGACAGGCTTAACCCGGTGTGCTTTACCGAGATGACCACTCACCGCCCGTTTGGCAGAACAAATGCCCCACTAAATTTTCATCGACCCCACGCCCCAATGGCATTTTCCAAAGCACTTGCGACAGTAGATTTACGTCTTCTTCACCACAACCAATTCAACACCGCCGCCATGTCTTCAAAATCCGGGAAAAATGGCAAAGTCACCGACTCTCGTTTCTCCAACTTTGAGACCGACCCCCGGTTTCGACTTCCTTCGAAGAAGCACACCAAAACCAAGATCGATAAACGTTTCGCACACGCACTAAAGGACGAATCCTTCACAGCCGGCCCCAAGGTCGATCGATACGGCCGCAAAGTCAAATCCGACAACAAGAAGAAGGCGCTGAAGAACCTGTACGAGGCAGAGGACGGCGAAGAGGACTCGGACGAGGGCGAGGGCATTGAGGTTGACGCCGACGATGTTGTGCAGCGCGAGCTGGCAAAGGCGGATGCCAAGTACGACCCTGCGCGCGGTGGCGGCTTCTCCGAGTCCGAGTCAGAGTCTGAATCTGAAGATGACGAGTCCGACGAGGAAGAAACGGCCTTGGCTGACCCCAAGGCCTCCGTATCGCGCCTGCGTGACGAAGAGGCTCAGGTCGAGGAGGGCGAGGTCACGAACCGGATAGCGATCGTCAACCTGGACTGGGATAACATCAAGTCGGCCGATCTTTTTGCTCTTTTCCACAGCTTCCTGCCTTCAACCGGCGGGCGCGTCGAAAAGGTTGCGGTCTACCCTAGCGAGTTCGGCAAGGAGCGCATGCAGCGCGAGGAGCTGGAGGGACCCCCGAAGGACATTTTCAAGAAGGATGACTCTGAAGAGGAGAGTGAAGACAGCGAGGAGGAAGACGAGGCGATCAAGAAGGAGCTTTTGGAGGAGGGCGACGCCGACGACTTCGACCATGATGCGCTGCGCAAATACCAGCTGGATCGGCTACGGTACTTCTACGCCATCATGACCGTCTCGGATAAGGCGACGGCGCAGAAGCTCTATGAGGCGACCGATGGCACGGAATATCAGGCTTCATCAAACTTCCTCGACTTGCGGTTCGTCCCTGACGATACTACCTTCGACGACGAACCCAGGGACGAGTGCGACAAGTTGCCGGCGGGATACAAACCTGTCGAGTTCACTACGGACGCCCTGCAGCACTCCAAGGTCAAGCTCACCTGGGACGTCAACCCCGACGATGCCGCCCGCAAGGCCTCCATTAATCGCGCCTTCACCGGAAGTCGCTCGCAGATTGAGGAGAACGACCTGAAGGCCTACCTGGCTAGCGACAGCGAGGAGTCCGGCGATGAGTTTGAGGGCTTCGATGATGAGGAGGCTGCGGAGGAGGAGGAGGAGGAAGCGGCCGAGAAGCCCAAGCTATCCAAGAAGGAGCTCGCCCGTCAAAAGATGCGCGAGGCCCTTGGCCTTGGCGCCGAGGAGGAGAAGAAGGCGTCCAAGAACGCCCCTGTCGGCGAGATGGAGATCACATTCACGCCCGCTCTGACTGAGAGCAAGAAGAACCAGAAGCCCGAGGAGGAAGAAACCACGATTGAAAAGTACCAGCGCAAGGAACGCGAGCGCAAGGAGGCCAAGCGCCAAGCCGCCCGCGCCAGACGCGAGGGCAAGCCCGTCACTTCCGCCACCGACAAGGCCGACGAGGTCGAGGTCGCGAGCGACGACGGCGCAGAGGACCTCGGTTTCGACGACCCCTTCTTCACGACCGACGAGCCGACCAAGACCAAGACCAAAACGTCTGTCCGCAAGGAGGAGCGTCTCGCGAAGCGCGCGGCGCGGGAGGCTGAGGAGAAGGAGAAGGCGGAGCACAAGAAGCAATTGGAGCTCCTTATGGCGGACGACAAGACGGATGCGGCGGAGCACCTGGATCACTTTGACATGAATGAGATTATCAAGGCGGAGAAGGCCAAGAAGAAGAAGGGCAAGGCTGCGAAGCGGTTGGCCAAGAAGGCGGCTGCCGATGGGGAGAAGCTTGGTCTGCAGGAGGACTTCAAGATGGATGTCGGTGACGACCGTTTCAAGGCCGTGTTTGACAGCCACGAGTTTGCGATTGATCCCAGCAACCCCAAGTTCAAGGGCACGGAGGCGATGCAGAAGTTGCTGGAGGAGGGCCGCAAGAAGAGAAAGGCTGGCGGGGATGGGGAGGATGTGCCTGTGGAGAGGGAGGGCAAGAAGGCGAAGAAGGCCAAGAAGGTTGGCGGCGGCGACGATGAGGAGGAGTTGAGCAGGCTTGTTGCGTCGGTGAAGAAGAAGGCGGCGAGCAAGGCTGGCAAGAGGTGATGGTGGTTATTTCTTTGTTCTCGCGCTTTGGTGAATGGTTTGAGGCGTGCTGTGGTCATACCCTAAAATAGAGGTCCTACAAAATTTATTTCAATGTACAAACCACATGTTCATAATTATGGGGGAAAAGAAATGCGCATCAAAGAAGTTGATCGCTTGGTTTTGTGATAATGATTTAAGAGTTGCGTCCATGGGCATCTCATGCCCGCGGAAAGAACCACCCAACTCCCAATTCTTCCTTGACGTTGCTTGACCCTTCCAACTTTCCGTTTTGCTCCCCCTTCGTCAGCAAATGCCTGTCTGTATCTGCAGTCTCATTCTGCTGGCCTATTCACGATAGTCGTAGCTCAAGATCCGAAAAAGACGCGGACGGCAAGTTTGACGAGATGAGGCGTGCCAATTCTGCAAGTGATGAGAAAGTTGTCAAGTGTAGGCTTGGGTCGGGTTGCTCGCATCACGACGAATTTGTCTGCCTGACGTTCGACATCGTGGTCGTTTAGAGGGAGGCCGGTGTGAGGGTCCCACTCCATGTCCTCCTCGTAGATGGAGCCGAGCATGCTTGAGATCCAGAAAAGGTTGGCGAGTATGAGGGTGAGAAGGACGCCTCTTAGGGTAGCTTCGTTGTGTGAGTATGTGGGAGGCATGGTTTGTTTGGGGTGTGGTGATGAGTGCAGAGTTATATCCCGGTTGAAGTCGAATATCGAGTTTGAAGGGTTGAGGAATTGTGAGACGACATTTGTAGTAAAGGCAGGGGCGGGAAGGAGCCAGAAAGAAACGAGGTCTCATGATGTGGCTTGTTCCGAGTACATCAAGTCTTTATGTGGACAGCTGACAGATGATACTGGAGAGGTCGGAATGATAATTACTAGGCAGCGTCACATGGCAGACAACGTAGGCTGACAGGCTGCATAGGTGCTGTGAGAGAAATATAGGTGCATCATGGAATCTGGCTCTATTTTGGATGATTCAGCAGAACATGGCTGCTTTGACTTTTGTCTATCACGACTTGAACAACGATGAAAGAAATTTACCGAACAACAGCATCCTTCAAGCTAGGGACAGTGCAAAGACCGCCAGACTTGGTCTTGAGCTTGCCAAGACCCTGCTTTCCGAGAGCCTCAACGACACCAGCATCGAAGGCAACGGCCAAATCGTCGGTGGTGGTGAAACCGGGCTGGAAAGTCTCCCAGATCTTCTTCTTGGGGTTCAACACACCCTCGGGTTCGCCCTCCCAGCCCTCAAAGTTAATGCGCTCACCTGCCTTGGCATCAGCGGGAGGAGTGACGAGCTCGACGGGTCCCTTGTGGTCATCGACCTCGCCCTCCTTGAGCTTGGGGGAAGCGGCCAGGACCATGGCGCACGACTTGATGCCGCGCATCTTGACGGGCTTCAAGTTGCAAACGACGACGACCTTGCGGCCCTGCATGGACTCGAGGGGCACGAGGCCGTTGAGGCCAGAGCAGACGGTGCGGCAGACCTGGCCCTCGTACTCGGTGGTGTCATCGTTGGGCTCGTCACCGACGGCAATGGTGGAGACGTAGAGGGAGTCGGCTTCGGGGTGCTTGATGGCCTTGAGGATGTGTCCGACACGGAGGTCGATGAGGGCAGGGGAGAGAGGGGCGGCAGCGGGAGCGGCCTTCTGGGGCTTGGGAGCCTTTGCCTTCTTCTCCTTCTTGGGCTGACCCTCTCCGGCACCGACAGCGGCCTTGACCTTGTCCTTGGCCTCAGCGACGACCTCCTTGACCTTTTCGCCAGCGCTCTTGTCCTTCTTGGTCTCCTTGGTGCGGTCGGGCAGAGCAGCCTTGTCATCAGGAGCAGCACCGCCAGCGGCGGCAGCAGCGGCCTTTTCCTTCTTGAGACGCTCCTTCTCGGCCTTGGCGTCAACGGGTGGCTTCACGTAAAGGACCTCGTCGAGGTCAACCTTGACCTTGTCGTCGGCCTTGACATCGGCGGCGAAGGCGGGGAAGTTCTGGACAAAGTCGAGGTGACGAACGATGTTGGGGTAGCCCTTCTCGCCGGTGCGCTGCTCGGGGGACCAGGAGGCGACGAGGGGACGGACGGCGGAGTAGAGGGCGGTATCGGCCTTGCTGGGCTTGGTGCCGAGGAGGGTGGTGCGGGTGCTCAGGTGGGAGTTGAGGGTATCGAGGATGGGGGAGGCCTCGTCAGGCTTGGACTGCTGGAGACGAGTGGCAGTGGTGAGCCATTGCTGGATCTCGGTCTCCTCGTTGGGAGTGTAGGTGGTGTTGGAAGCCATTCTTGCGAATCGGAATGGGGAGATGCTGCGTGAGCTGGGTCGGATAGCGCGTAGTGAAGAAAGCATCAGGTGTGAGTCTGAGGTGGAATTTTTACCTGTGTGGCTCTGCGGGGTAGGTGGCAGCAACGGTGTGGTGGGAGGATTGCCCCTCCACGCCGTTCACCTCAATTGAATGCCTCAGGCTCATCCGATCGGTGCCCGGTGAGAGCTGACCGAGATACCGTTTCGGTGTGCTCAGGTGAGCTTCTCTTTCCGTTAAAGCCGTTTCACCACCTGCAGCTTTGATGCAATTATGTGCTATGTCTGAACATGGAGTTCCATATGCTCATCGTAATCTGTTGATTCACTTTGGCTGTGGCCTATTCTCCTCGCCCTGCTACAAGTTGGAATTATTCTTCGAGACTTAGCCACAATCCATCTTTCTCAGGCTCCTTAAAGGTGAGAATTGCATTGCCATTCGGGTGGCATAACTTTATACATGAAGAGATATGCAAGACAAGGGTCTAAATTGCATCGCTGGGACCCCGATCTCCTCCCGATCCTCGACTTTTTTCATGACGACTGTTGCCTGAAAGATAAAGGGAGAATAAGGGAAGAGGAACCGGGGCTTTAATTGAAACCGACACGAGGTCACGTGCTAGCGCCTTCCCGTCGCGTCGCGCCCCTGCCATTTTCCTTGTCGCCCGGTGATCGCGCCTTTTAGCAGCTGAAGCCCGGCCGTTCCTGCTTCCTGTCTCCTCCCCTTGCCACCAAGTCCTCACTCAAGCATTGTGTGAATCTCAGTCTCTCCTTAACGATTACCTCAGATTGACCTTCACAGCCTCATCTCACCAGCTTCCTCTTCTTGCATCTTCATCTACCTCAATTTTACTATCTAACAATTTCGAGTCTTGGAGGCACAGACCTCAACCGCCAAATTTAGCGTCTCCCCTTGCATCATCGATTTGAAGCACTTTTTGTCTCCCGGATTTCACCACCAACTACGGGTAACATTCACTCACTCACTCACTCCCAGACCCGATATTACCAGGAAGCTATCAGCTTTTACCAAATCCACGACTTTGACTTGACATTCGCTCTCTGGATTCGTCCTCAGCTACTTACAAAATGAGTTCTACGGCCTCGGACGTGGAGTCCATCATGTCCGCCAACCAGCGGCTTGATACGAGTGCACCTTCCTCACCACCCCGGGATGACAGTGTTGAGCCCATGGATTCTGAGTTCGCTATTATAATGAAGGAGGAAGCAAAAGCAAAAGCAGACAACAGCAAGAAAGATAAGGCCGCGCAGAAATCTCAGAATGTGAAGAACCGCCGAAAGCGTAAGAATGAGCTCTCCAAGGAGGAGAAGCTCAAGTTGGCTAAAGAGCTCGATGAATTGCTCAAGAAGTCCCAGGCATTCAGCAAGATGCTTATGGAGAAGACCCAAGCCATGGGTCGGGTTGGCACTAGCTTGGAGGGCGAGGCCTTGGGCGATCACAGCCTGTCCCTCACAGCCCAACCCAAGATCATGAAGGGTGGCACCATGAGAGATTACCAGCTGGAGGGACTTACCTGGATGAGAGAGGTGTGTCTTCAGGGGCTGTCCGGTATACTTGCCGATGAGATGGGACTTGGTAAGTGCCCCTTTGTCGATTGTCTGGCACAACTTACACACCTCTTCCACTGATGGCCAAGATTGCTTTACTTCACAGAAGGCATACTGACTACTTTCTAGGCAAAACTGTTCAGACAATCTCCTTAATTGCCAATCTAAGAGAGGAGAACTACCTTGGTCCCCATCTCATCGTCGCACCTTTGAGCACACTCTCGAACTGGATGGATGAATTTGAGAAGTGGTGTCCCACCCTCCCAGTCGTTCTGTTCCATGGAGATGCCCAAAAGCGCGCCGAGATCAAGAGGAAGCACCTGACACCAAACATGAAGAACGGCAACCCTACCAAGAAGTTCCCTGTGGTGTGCACATCCTACGAGATGGTCCTAAGAGAAAGGGCAACCTTGAGCAAGTTCAACTGGGCTTTCATTATCATTGTGAGTCTTGTTGCCCAACACGCAGGCTATCAAACCTGCTTGCTCACATGCCCTAGGACGAAGGCCACCGCATGAAGAACTTCGAGTCCAAACTGTTCCAAGAATTGGAGACTTTCGCATCCGCGACCCGTATGCTCATTACCGGCACCCCCCTGCAAAACAACCTGAAAGAACTCTGGGCACTTCTCCATTTCTTGCTGCCCATGATCTTCAAGAGCTACGAGGCTTTCGAGGCGTGGTTCGACTTTGATGACCTCCAGGATGAAGAGGGCGCCCAGGAGTTCATTGCCGACCGCGAGAATCAGGAGCTGATCAAGAAGATTCACGTCATCCTTCAGCCGCTCCTTCTTCGTCGCGTCAAGGCGGATGTTGCCGCGCATCTACCGAAGAAGCGAGAGTATGTCCTCTTTGCGCCCATGACAAAGGAGCAAACCGACATGTACAATGCCATCAACGACAAGGATGTCGACACTCGTGCCTTCTTAGAGAAAATGGTCATCGACCGACTAAGTGCCATTGCCCCTCCTGTTAAGAAGGAGAAGGCTGCGGTCCTCGAAATTCCGATCAGAAGCAGTCCTAGAAAGGCGAACAGTGAGGCAGTGCCGGGGACCAAGAAGCCCAATGCGTTCTCGGCAATGATGAACCGGGCTAGAAGCTCATCTTCCAAGCCTCAGGAAGCCGCCAAAGGGACGTCAAAGGCCTCTTCAAAGGCGTCCTCCCGTGCTGACTCCAAGCGCAAGGAAGCGCCTACCCTTGAGACTCCACAATCCAAGAGCTCCAAGTCATCGAGGCAGTCTACACCTTCGACCACGACCAGGAGCCGAGTCACCCGTGGCCGTCGCCGCTATGTCGATTCTGATCCTGATGATGAAGACAAGCTTTCCGATGACGAGTTCGAGGCAAAGCTTGCCAGAGAAGCTGAGGAAGCCGACCAGAAGGACGATGACTCTGCCACCGTTCTTTCCCCCGAGGAACAACACCAGATCAACATTCTCGAGCAGGCCAAGAAGGAGATGTCGACTAAGAAGCTTGGAAACCCAATCATGCAACTTCGTCTTGTGTGCAACTCTCCGCACAACTTCTTCGATCCCTGGGGCTACGAGGGTAGTCCTCCCGTCGACGAGAGTATCGTCACATCGTCTGGAAAGATGTTGATGCTGGATCGCCTCCTTCCCGCCTTGTTTGATAATGGTCATAAGGTATTGATCTTCTCTCAGTTCAAGACCCAGCTTGATATCCTCCAGGACTACTGTGAGCTTCGGAAGTGGAAGGCCTGTCGCTTAGATGGCTCCGTTTCCCAGGAAAGCCGTCGCGACCAAATCAAAGAGTTCAACGAGAATCCCGAGTTCAAGATATTCCTGCTTTCGACACGTGCTGGTGGTCAGGGCATCAACCTCGCGAGTGCTGACACTGTGATCCTCTTCGACAGTGACTGGAACCCGCAGCAGGATCTCCAGGCGCAGGATCGCTGCCACCGAATCGGCCAGACTCGCCCTGTCATTGTGTACCGTCTCGCTACCAAGGGCACCGTTGAGGAGGAGCTTCTCATGAGTGCTGACGCCAAGCGTCGTCTTGAGAAGCTGATCATCAAGAAAGGCTCATTCAAGACGATGGGGCAGAAGATTGACTTGAAGGAGGACCTTGACGGCGAGACGCTCAAGTCGCTGCTGCTGAAGGATGGTCAGATCTTCAAATATTCCGGTGACCACGAGGTTCTCAGCGACAAGGATCTCGATGTTCTATGCAACCGGTAAGACGATCAATCATCGTATTCCTAGATCGGGACATTGCTAACATACTTTACAGAACCGACGAGGCCTACTCCAAGGCAGCTGAGGGCACCGCGAACGCCGACGGCTACAAGGTCATTGAGACCAGCTCCGACGGTATCACTATTGCTGGTCAGTCGACCGCTTAATGTGGTGCAGGCTGTCCCATATTTGCATTCTCGACGTGATATCGGCGACACCGAGAATCGCTCCATATGCCATGTAGACCGCTGTCATGGGAACCCTACCGATGTCGACTGGAAGCCAGCATCACGAGGGATAGTATACCACTGTGAAGAATTGTCCACAAAAAGCTTCATCAGATGAAGTATGAAGGAAGCAAGGAGTGTGGATACTTGCTTACAAAAACCAAATGGTAGCTGCGGATCAAATTACCTTGCTAGAATAGAAGGTCATCCTCACATATCATGTATTCTGGATCGGGTTGGCCTACTCTCTGGATGGCTACCTTTTCCCACTCTTGTACTATTTACCTTTGGCGTTTGATACCCCAGGACTGATCAAACGATTTGCATTAGATAGCTTGAAACAACACCAATACTTGTTCATTATTCTTGGAGCGTGAACCCGTGAAATGTGTGTACGGCACAAGCTACGACTTACTTGAGAGGCGCGAGAAAGGACAAAGCTGCATGAAATGAGCACCCCGGCGGGCATTCTCGGCCTCTTACAAGTTCATATCCTCCCAGACACTCTGCCTAACCACAAGACCCTCAATTCAACGACCAAGTTCGAAGACGAAATCCCCAACGTATAATAGAATTTCTGCGGTTAGATAGACGACGAGACGTTGGAGGTACAGACGAAATGCCTCGACGACCATGGTATAGAGCATGCAAACTAGACTGGTGAAAGCAAAGCCAACGACAAGTTGAAGGAACACCCACTCAGTGCAAAGCAACTTGCGATCGATGGCAGCCACGGTCGTATCAGGGAGCTCTTCGAGACAGACGTGTAGAGCAAGGAGAAACTTCTGGGTTGATTCGCAGGGGTGTCGGGGGATGTAATCCGACACCGCCCATACGAGTCGCGACGTCTTTGCGACAATCCAGCGAAGGACGCGGAAGAACAGGTGCACGGCGATGTGGACTGCCAGGCTGAGAAGCAATGGTATATGCAACATCCCAACGACGAAACCGTAGAGATGGGCGAGGTTATCGAAGTACCTATTGTCAGGGAAGATAATCCAGCATGCAATGATGGGGCCGAAGAGGTTGGGGAAGAGGAAGAAGCTGTGGAGGTAGCCCTCGACGAGCCAGCGATTGAAGGTACCTATCTGCGAGAAGACTTCGTCGTTCCTCTTGATCTCTTGAAACTTGCTTCTGAGGGGCGTCATTACGATGGCAGCGTTGAGTGTGAGAGAGAAGTAGATTGAGGCGGCGGCGAAGACGTGGTACGCCATGGAGAGGTCTGCGCGATAGAAGACGGTTTGGAGGGGGGTTATGAAGAGGGTAAAGATTGCGGCGAGGAGGGAGGGGGGCCACATTGTGCGGAGGGCGAGGGAGAAAGGGTGTGTTAATGTTATCATGTTTGTATTACCTGGCCTTCTAAGTGGGGGTTCATGGGTTGTCTAGGTCTGACGGTCGACTTTGGTCGTGGTTGAGAGTCTGGTATCTGAGTATAGATGGATCTGGATCGTTGGAAAGAGCATGCTACAAGAACTTTCGCTCCTTCGATTGCAGATTGTATCACGTATATGAAATGCCTGTTGACAAAGCATCTAGCCATTGCCTAACCTGAATCTCCTTGGTGTTCAAGCATGAGATCAGAGCAGGCCGGACAAAGCTGTACATGCTCGGGCCCCTGAGATGACCTCTTTGGTGCCCTCGATGAAGGGATGACTGTGTATTTCACAATGCCTCTGGATATCGATGAAACCCTTTCCTTGCTTGAGTAAAGGTTCCCTAAGAGAATGCTGTCGAGGGATACCCACCCGTCCCCGGCAACCCGCCAACATCAGTGACGAGAAAAGTCGGGGAAGATATCGCCGGAGTTACGCGGATGTAGCGGCCGACGCGGCCGCGTGCCCGGATATAAGTATCATTCGCGGTCCAACACCACCGACCTGCTTCTTCATGTAAATCAGCCAATAACTCGATGAATTATGCCAGGATGTTCAAGTTCAATTCGATGCTGAAGCAGTTGGAGGCCTGCATTTGACTAAGCACGAGTCGTTGCTTTTGACACGGAGTCCTTATGCATGCCGTCCAGCACTCTTAGTCCATGCCTGATGCCAGCAATGAGGTCAAGTTTACGGAGTTTAGCTCACAATCTCAGGGATCGTGCAGCTATGGGTCTGCGGATTGTCTCTTCGATGCCAAGGACGAGACCTCGAGCGAGCAATTCTCGCGGGAGGGCAATGGAGTATATAAGCGACCATCGCTGTCAACGACGAAAGGTCTCGTTCTGAAGCAAGCTCAACACTCTCACCAGATCAAGCACCACAGGATCCCAACTACCTTACCTTCGACAGAACAGCACCTGAACCACCAAAATGGCGCCTCCAACAAGCCTTCCCGCTCGCCGCCTTGGCAAGACCGGCCCTGAGATCACCGCCCTCGGTGTAGGACTGATGGGCCTCAGCGTCGCCTACGGTAAACCAGGGTTTGTCAAGCCTCATCCCCTATCAGACCTTTCAACTCGGTCGCCGAGGACAGTTTGACGAACCAGGCATCTTCTATAGATCAGACGAAGAGCGTCTCGCATTCCTCGACCGCGCGTGGGAGCTCGGCGCCACGAACTGGGACACGGCCGACGCCTACGGCGACAACGAGGACCTCATCGGCAAGTGGTTCGCGCTACACCCCGAGCGCCGCGCCGACATCTTCCTGGCGACCAAGTTTGGCTTGCGCGGGGAGATCAGAACCGACGGAACCTACAGCATGACGATCAACAGCTCGCCTAAGTACTGCCGCGAGGCGTGCGAGCGCAGCTTGAAGAGGCTGGGCGTGGAGAGTATTGATCTGTACTACGTCCACCGCCTGGATGAGACTACTCCCATTGAGAAGACGATCGAGGAGATGGTCAAGCTGAAGAAGTGAGTTTGAAAACTTGGAATTATGTTCCTCGAGATGATGCCATGCACTTTTGAGGAGCTTCAGATTGCTGACACATTCCGCGAAGCGAGGGCAAGGTCAAGGCATTTGGCATCTCCGAGTGTTCCTCCAAGACTCTCCGCCGCGCCTACGCCGTCCACCCCATCTCGGCCGTGCAGGTAGAATACAACCCCTGGTCCCTCGAGATCGAAGGCCCCGCCGGCACGGACCTCCTCAAGACGTGCCGTGAGCTCGGCGTCACGACCTTTGCCTACTCGCCGCTCGGCAGAGGCATCATGACGGGCCGGTATAAGTCGGCCGACGACTTCGAAAAGGGCGACTTCCGGCGCCAGATGCCGCGGTTCATGGGTGACAACTTCAAGAAGAACACGCAACTCGTGGAGGAGTTTGCCGCCGTCGGACGCGCGAAGCACGGTTGTTCTGCGGGGCAACTTACGCTTGCTTGGCTGCTTGCGCAGGGCGAGGATGTTATCCCGATTCCTGGAACCAAGAAGATTCAGTATCTGGAGGAGAATATGGATGCGTTGAAGGTTGTGTTGAGTAAGGAGGAGGAGAAGGAACTGAGGGCTTTGGTTGATGCTGCGGATGTGCAAGGTGATCGGGGCGCGGCGTTTGGCAACTACTCTGATTCGCCTGCTCTCTGAGGATGTCTCTCATCGAGGTGATGTCACGAGGGTGACGATGGCGGCGGGGGTGTCTCGGGAGTTGGCGTGGGTCCCCGGCCCCAGCTTCCGAAGCCCCGAAACCTAGGGAAGGGCACCAAGGTCAGTGATCAAAAGCTATTAGATAAACACCATCATCTTGAACCATCGAAAGCTCGACTCTTTTCACTAGACATGTATATTATTGGTACGGAATCCGCTCAAATCATGATGGCGCCGCAGGTAAGGATTCCGCTAAGCCAGTTCCCCTCGGGGAAGGGGGCCGATGCCGGCTCGCTTTCGGAGATCGGTGTGGGTCACCGACACGCCGTTGATAAGTGACTCGGTCGGCGCACGCGCGCTTAGGCCCGTCAATCAGTTGATACCGACGTTTATCTTATCAGTCTGAAGACGGTTCAACAACTGTTGCTTCATGAAATTGCTACTAAATCTCGCCAGACTACCGCTTGATCGTACTCTTGATTTTGGAGGAAGACGAATCTGTTGCCATTCTTAGGGACGATCTTCTTGAAGAATCCGTAACTTCCCATAACCAAGCATGGCAACCATCTACAAGACCGGCGAGGATGCTCGACTGGCATGCCGCTCCGGTACCTTTGCGTCAACCACAGCCGGCCAAGCACCGACATATCTCCAAGCAAACCTCATCGTCCTCCCACGACGATACGCCGATGACTTCCGTCTCCTCTGCCACCGTAACCCAGTACCGTGTCCCCTTCTCGCAGAATCAGTGACTCCCGGCGACTTCAGCAAGCTCAAGTCCTACGTCAGATCACCAGATGGCGAGAAGATTCTCCCCGTGGCGACGAACATTGATCTCCGCCACGACTCGCCCCGATACCGAGTCTACGAGGACAGCAAACATGTCCCAGTCAGCGACATCTGGGAGCCCGTCAACGTGGAGGACAAGTGGCTTGCCGCTGACCACGTGGGCTTCCTGATAGGCTGCTCCTTCAGCTTCGAGAGAGCCCTCAGCGAGTCTGGACTGACACCGCGACACATGACGCATGATCGCAACGTGCCCATGTACCGTACCAACATCCCGCTCTGCGCGGCGGGCGTCTTTAAGGGAGCGACATATGTGGTCTCCATGAGGCCGTACAAGGTGTCGGAGATTGAGAAAGTGAGGGATATCACCAGGCCATTCGTTGCAACACATGGAGAGCCTATCGCGTGGGGATGGGACGGTGCGGAGAGGATTGGCGTCACAGACATCACGAAGCCCCACTGGGGTGATCCAGCCCTACAGCTGGATGGCAAGTCTGTGTTCGGACCCGATGATGAGGAATACGTGCCTGTCTTCTGGGGGTGCGGGGTCACGCCACAAGAAGCTGTGATGAGAGCCGATATAAAGGGCACGGTGATGGGACACGCGCCTGGGCACATGATCATCATGGATGTAAGAGAGGATGAAATCTTCCCAATCTCATAGCGATGAAGAGCTGTGTCAACACCTATGATCATGAGTCGTTCAGGGGACTCTTCAATAGCCATACTTTAACTGAATCTTCTCTCTGGATGAATATGTGTCGAAGGCAGAACGGAGGTAGTAAAATCTGTTTTAAGTCGTGGGTCCCGGGATATCTGGCCGACTTGAACAGATCCAATCGACTGAGACTCATCTCTCTCATCCCGCGATGCAGAAAGGACTCGTGAGCCATCACACCAATTGAACAGGCCGCACTGAAGGCATCTAGATGACCACTACGTATGCGCGAACAGCTAGGGGTCTCATCGTCATCTAGTCAAAGACCTTTGAATTGCCTGGCTTGTGCTTAGAGACAATGTGGCTCAAGTCTAGAAAAGTGCGTGAAAGACGCAAGGAACAAGGAGCCTTGTAAACAAGACAACGCAGATACCCTATGTCAAAGACGTGGAAGATGGATTGAAGAAAATAATGTTACAATGGGCGACAAGACTGCCCAAGAACCTGACCTCTGGTTTATGTATAACTTTGGCATTCTAGAAAAGATGCTGTGTATTCGACTCACAAGAACCCACCGCCAGCATATTCCACCACCTCAAGCAAGCAACTCAACCAGACCTGGTTGATTCTCAACCCAATTTCCAAAACCACATTCCCAACGCCAGTTTCAACCTCCAATCGATTTCAAGAACATCTTCCAGCGCTTTCCCGTGCGGTCCCCATCTTTCATTTACTCTTCAGCGCTGACGTAAATTAGCAAATAATTAGATGGGTCCTAAGAAGAACACCGGCGCTAAATTCCCCCGGAGAGCTCCTGGCCCGGGAGTTACTCGTCGACAGACTCGTGGTCAACGACAAGAGGACCTCTGGGAAGGACTCACCGATAGAGGAGAGGCATATGACGCCCAAGGCAACCATGTGTTAGTGCGCCCGGTGCGCCAGCGTCGAGGCACACAGCAGTTGGCGGCGCATCCTCCCCCTCCCCCTCCACCGCCTCCTCCTTGTCCGCCACGGAGGCCATCCCCACCAATTGCCTCATCGGATGATAAACCTGGTGATAAAGCTGGTGACGAACCTGGGGCTGGACCTGAGGCTGGGCCGGACGAAGAACCTAAGGCTGGACCTGACAATGAATCCGAGAACAGATCTGGTAATGAACCTGATACTGGACCCGGCGATGAATCTGAGGATGGGCCAGATGCTGGACCTGAAAATGCACCTGATGATACTGCAGGTCCTTCATTGGCTCCTACGTCGTCAAAACCCCCTCCGAGAAAGCCCCTCCCAACTGGAAGACCAACGAAGGTCACGATCAAGTTGAACCCATCGAAGTCCACGACGGCGCCAGCTGCAGATACACAAAGCGGTACTGAAAGCGATGATTCAGACTCTCCCGTCGACACATCCGCGGTCGGATCCGACAGCGATGCATCTGACAACGTCAGTGATGAAGAAAGCCCGAAGAAGAGGAAGAAGAAGGGCAAGGGAAAGCAGAAGGCAACAGACAACAAGGCAGACACCGACTCCGAACCTGAACTCAATGAAGTAAGCTCTGAAACTGGGGAGCCCGAAGACGAGGTCAGTCAGAACGACAGTGAGGAGCAGACCGACAGCTCTCGGAGGGACGCAAGCAGTGACCCAGAAGGTTCACAGGATGGCCGCCAGGTTCCAGCCGACGAGGCCACGCCGCCAAGAGAAGCAACTCCCGAGTCGGACGGAGGAAATTTCGGGCACATCTCCACCCCTTCGAAGACACCTCGAGACAGAAAGGGAAGGAAAAGTGATAATCCCATTCCAATAGACGGCGGCGAGTCGGAGCAGAGTGATGTTGACTCTGAAAAACGGAGCGAAGAGTCTCGTCAAGAAGAAGAAGATGGAGAGAATCCTGAGCAAGAGAGGGACGAGGAGTCTAGCCTGTATCCAAGCACTATTGTCCACGATGACAGCGATGATGAAACGGAAATGCTGGTTCATGATAGGCCTGACCCAGACCAAACCATCGACTACGGAGACAACACTCTCAACCTGACGGACTATCCGAGCTCGGTTATCGAAGGTCCCAATCGGAGTGGAGAGTACGACGGGAGCGATGAGGACGGTGACAACGAGTATCGTGACCAAAGTAGTTACGGCAGAGGTGGCTATGGAGACAACGATGATCGCGACGATGATTCTGAGATCCACCTCCCCGACTACACAATGTTCGATCCCGACGAGACCGGGGGTCAGCCTGAAATGGGCCGCGGCCAAGGCAGCGAGTCGAATCTTTCAAGGCAGTCGTCGCCGGGCGGTGTCTCGCCAGGTTTCCCTCGTCACAATCGGTCGCCTAGCCACTCTCCAGACCCATCTGCTGGGGGACAGCAACAGCCGTCTGGCTCGAGCGGTGGGCAGGGCTCTACAGCTCAGAGCCGTCAAAGTGGACAGTCCCGGGTGTCTTCTAGCGGCAACAAGGGCTCGGCGTCAGGAGGTGGAAACGGCTCTGCTGCAACGAAGACGAAGAGTGCCACTTGCAAGAGAGGCAGGCCTGAAGATGTTTTCGCAGACAGCGAAGGCAGGCCACGGAAGCGGCAAAGGGAGGACTTGGGCAAGGCTACAATGCCGACGATGAGCAACAAGATTCGCTGCGGTTACCGGCGTTACCCACGCCCTTTGGAGTCACAACCTCAGACATCAGACAAGCGGGCATCAACCAAGAGACCAAACAGCTCGATTGACGAGACATTAGCGAAGCCTTGGAAGAAGATAAGACTTGTATAAGGGAGAATAGAGAGCTAGAAAATTAGCTGGATGTTTGAATGGCATAGGTATTAGACTCGTAGATTTGGTTCGAATTGACATTGCCCTATTGAAGCATTATTGGGCTAGTGTGAATATGTATCATGAACGCCTATCTTACCACCTGGTGATGCTTCCGGTGTTTAGAACTGATCGGCTGATGGCAGAATCTGGAGCAGATCGTTCGAGATGCTGGGGGTAATCAGCAGAGCGTGGACTGACATGACTTCTTCCGAAAGCCAGTCCGTACGATGGTCGTGGCAGACGCAATCGGCGCATGAGCGCAACTTCTCTTCGTTGTATTGGCGTTGGAAACGCTGGGTATCATAGCATGTCTTCGTCTTCATCATAATCGCCATCCCCGCTGCCTCGTTCCTCCTCTTCCTCACGCCTGCTGGCTTCCGCACTGGCGCCAATCTTCCGTACACCTTCTATGACGCCCAGTAAGAAGCCGCGACTCTCAGCCAGCTCCATCGCTCCAACTCCACGCAAACTCATGACACCGCCTACACCGTCGGAAAGATCCTGCGTACTCTTGCGCATCTTGGCGGATCGCACCTCCTGAAGGTCCTTGAGGAGAGACCTCACCTCAGAAATGGAAGGTATATCGTCGGATGCGTGGGCGAGCAGGACCTCGGCGAGCTCGAACCAGTGGTAGGGGAGCGCATTCGGAGGCGCATCGGCTGTACATGACGGCAGGAACGGCGGTGACAGGGTTTCGTCGAGGGTCGCGCCTAGTCTTCGGGCATTGCCTCTTGCGTCGCCTCGTGCAGGAGGTGGCGGGGGAGCAGAGAAGGCGTCGGGGTTGAGTGTCGTTTCTTGATGTACGATTTTGGCTAGGGAAGTCGGATGGAGCCACTGCGGTGCGACAATATTTGCTCGTCGTTGCTTCTTGAGGAGGAGTGCCAACCAAAGAGGCAAGTCAGCACGTGCCGGGGGTCGCAAGGCTGGAGTTGCACCCTTGGAAAAGCATCGAGAATTAGCAGAAGGATCTATCCGCGACGCGTCGCGGGGTAAATGGAAAGGGGTCCGTTCTTACGCTCAATAGATCGATGGTTTCTAGCCGCTGGCGGGGAACGATTGTGACGAGCTCCATCTCGCATAGGAAAGCCACTTCGGCGGGTACGAGACCCGAGGGGAGAGGCAAAGCCATCGTTAGTTTCGCAAACACCTGTCGCTGCAGCAAGCCCCGTCGAAGTTTGAAGCTGCTGCAAATCGCCTTACTCCAAAGACGCGTCCAGTTTGGCGGTGCGGTACGACGGCGCCGCGGGGTTGCGCACGGAAGCATCCGGCCCGCTTTGGTGGGAGGCTCGGGCTTTTTGACGACAGGGGCCAGGTGCTGATACCGTAGAAACTCGAGCAACTCGAACTTGCGCTAGCCCGTGCCAGCCCTGCTAGCGGCCCACACTAAGCCCTTTCGAGGGATCAGTTTTATCCGATTATATAATCGACTAAACCGTATACGGAAGGCGGTAAGTGATTATTTTCCATTTTTTACTCCTACCTAACTGCCTATTTCTACCGATTATATTACCGATTTGACCACTAATTATACTGTTAATTATACCTCTAATTATACCTCTACCATGGGCCTCGTCGACGTGCCCACGATGCCCTCACGACGGGCCCTTGCCGAGAAGGATTTGAATACGGCAAAAGTGCTAATTATACCTCCAGTAGCTAAGCGCTGCGGGCCTGTTCCTACCCCTATTAAAGACCGGAAATATATACCGTGAAGTGGCTTAATTAAGTGCCGCTAGCACTACTATACCTACGATACTAAAGTCAACGTCCTGATGTTTTTAGAGCATTACCGCGTGAGGAAGTTTGACGAAGAGTCGATTTGCCCCCCGAGGCTGCGCTAGGGCGAGACCGAGCTCCTAGGGATATATAGACGTCCTATATACTAGGAAGCCGTAGATTGGTTCAAAGTCCCTCGAAGTACGGTTATCTCTTGGTATTAGAACCGCGAGTTAATCGTTAATCGGTCCTCTAACTATGCCTACTACCCTTAGTGGCTAGAGCTCGAGATAGCGCTATACGGCGCCTTCCGCTAGCGACGAAGTGAGGGAAAGCTTGTTAGTACTAGTTGGTTTAAAAGGACCGCTAAGCGGATTTTCGCCTAGTAGAACCCGAATAGTAAATATCTTTTTATTTTTTCCCCCGGTTGGTTTCGTGGCTTTTAGAATCGTATGAGAATTACCCGATGTCGATTTACTAAATAGGTAACGAAGTTACCTACTGAGTACTTCAAAGTTGTTAACAGCTTTCTTTCTTTTATCTGACGAGTTAATTAAATGGCCCTGGCTAAGGTGAAGCGGTCTAACGTCGGAGATTTATTCGGAAGTCTAGCCCGTCGATTTCCTAACTTGCGAATTCTTAACCTTGACGAGACCCTAGTTCCTTTCGAATACCTAGACGGTTACATATACGACGACGTCGGGGCTAAAACCGTGGCTGGTAAGAGCGACCGTAGCGGTTGGGGCAAGCGGTAGGCTATATTAATACTTTATATCTTCGCCGACGGTATATAACGAATTAAACCGAAAATAATATTCCACGGCAAGCCCGTAGAGGAAGGGGGTCAATTATGGAAAAAAGAGGGCCTATTATATGTAGAAGGAGTGACAGTTGAGTTCAATAAGACTGCCTACAATAATGAGTACTTGTTTAAAAGATGGATTGAAGAGGAATTGGTAGTGCTGATTAAGGGAGACGAGTACTTATTGGTAATGGATGTTGCTTCCTTTTATAAGATAGATTCTATCCTTACGTTATTACGTTAGCACTATATCACACCCTGCCTTATACCGCTAGGGACTACTTCCCTCCTCTAACCTCTCGATACCGTAGTTAATAAGCCCTTTAAGTAGTGGCTTTCAGAAGTAACCGATGCTTACGTACTCGATGAGGAAGAAAAAGCGCTGAATAAGCAGGAGGAGCTTAAGTGGGAGACGGGTATGAAGAGAATAATGGTCACTAAAATAGTCGAGATGGCAGCTGCTAAATTGGCCTACGAGAAGGGCTCAATGGTCAGCCAGGCCTTCCTGTAGTGCGGAATATCTATTTGGCCCGATGGTAGCTAGGTCGACGAGATCCGGATCAAAGACGTGCCCGCCGAGGCCATTGATTATATTGGGTGGGAGCTTTTTGATGTAGAAGCCTATATTGAGCAGGAGTGTTACGACCCAACACATATGACGAGGCCAGGGTCTCGCCCCACAAGGCCTGCGGCGGCTACCACACCATATATGCGGAGGAACGGATTCAGGGTGACTCCTCTCGGGTCGGAAGAACTATGGACAAGTCACGTGATGATAAGAAGGACCGACGGACGATAAGCGGTCCATGGACAGGACCGACGAGACAAAGGCGGTCCACCCCTGTAGGACCGACATCGTGATATCGGTCCCAACCACAAAGGAACTGTTCAGATAGTATACGGGACTTGTATATAGGATGGACTTGAGCCGGGCTCAAGGACAGACTTTCCATAGCTTCTTCAGCAATCAACTTAGTATCAGATCTTGCGATCACTTTCAGCTATCTTCACTGAGAACCCTTCTGACAAGACTACGATTGATCACCGAAGCCTTACCTACCTCACGACTTACAGACATAGCTTCAGGGAAGCTATCCACGACTACGACACGCTGTTTATTAGTATCGCAGCCTTAACTTCTGCAAACATACTCACTACGACTAGCTGGCCGTAACAAGGAGATGCTGTAAGAGGAGATTCTAGACTTCGCTGTTCTGAACGACGGGTTAGAGTATATTTTCATAGTAGAGGAAGTCCGTGATGGTATTAATGGGTAGTTCGTCGACCTGATAGTCCAACCGCTGTATGAATAGGGGCCCGTTGGAGGTAGTGGGCCAGGGGATAGTCAGGGGCTCGGTTGCTTACGTACGACTGCTTCTAATTGACATTTTTGCCCTTTTTGCTAATTTGATGAGAAAAGCTTAAAACCGATGAGAAAGCTAAAATAATTATTGAATTATATTAATTGTGGGTCCGGCCTCGACGGCGAGCTCTTATTGGTCAGATTGATCGAAATATTAACCTATGCCAAAAATAGGTGGCGGCCGTATTTAACCACTTTAGGCAGTATTACGATTCTGCTAGAGCGCTAGCAGGGCTGGCACGGGCTAGCGCAAGTTCGAGTTGCTCGAGTTTCTACGGTAGCAAAAAGTCAGGGAACCGGGCAGAGATCCACCCTGCGCTAGGCCTTTGACTCCACATATCCCCGGAAGAAGACCCCACTTCCAGCCCGGGTCCTCCGAGCCGTCTACCAGGGTCATGGAGGAGCCCAGCTGTCCAGGACTCCAGGGCGCGATGGGATGAAGATAAGGTAATGCGCCCTACGTAAGGCTGGGCGATATTAATGATTGGCCTGGATGCATAAGGGCTGAGGCTGTCCCTGCCTTGACCAGCTGAACACCTCCGGGCTGGCCAATTCTAGGCGCGTCCGGACCACCGCGGTATAATGTGAAGAGGTGGCACTGCAATGTTGGATGAATCTGGACTCTCCACATATGCTCGTTATTTTTACTTTTTGTGCTACCATATATCATGACCACGCCAAGCTAGAAATGGGCGGACACACCTTTACAAGGGAAGCAACAAATTCTCATCCTCGCCAATCGGCGCTCAATCCGCGCCGCCACGCCAATAGCGCGTGAAAGAGATGGCTATCAGAGCAAGTGCCACAGGTATTGACGTCCCCCGGTCTCTCACCTGAGACACCACCTTAGCTAATCGGCCCTGAGAGATCTGTGTCACCTCATCTACTAGGAAAAGGGGACCTTTGCTCCTCAACGGCTGCAACCCTACAGCTGCAGATCCCTCCTCACTTCTCCTTCCTTCCTCCACGTCGCCTAACCTAACCACTCGAGCCAAAGGTCTCTGAATGTCTGAACTGCTGTCTCGAGCGGGTTGGGCCGGGCCTGTCGTCCCATATAGAGTTCCTTATTGCATTGCCGCTCTGTCACCTGGAAGCTCCATCGACCATCCGGAGGATTATGTCAATGAACTATCCAATCGTTCCCAGCAACGATCTAGATTCCTATTCCGTGGCGGCTGCCGCATGGACGCTCTGGCCTTCCTCCGTGATACTCGGAACCGGACACCGAGAGCAACAGATAGGCCCATCCGGATTCCCACGATCAAACTGATTTATCTTCGAGTCATGATGACGAATCGCTGCATATTCTCCGACTTGCTGTTCAAATGCCGCTAAGCAGGCACGTTGATTCATACGGGAAGAGTCAAGAGCGCAACACGAGTGACGAAGGAAGAGGAAGAAGGAAGAGAGACACACAAGCCCAAAATTGCAAGGGTATTGCAGCGAACATCCGCCGCCCAACCGCTCTAGCCCTTCCTCCGAGTACAGACGACGTGAATACCCCACTGTCATCCTCGACCCTCGGATTGGACCGCCCAGATCCGCCTGTTCGGCCGCAGTCGCCTTGTTTGGAACTTCAGCTGCAGCAGTGAAGGCGGTGGCCCTGACGTGGTCCTCTCCTCTTGGACCTTCCAAGTTCCATCTCCTCCCACACCGAAGTGGAGTTTTTTTTGGTTCTGCTCTCACCATCGCCAGAGGTTTAACATCGATCATCACACGTGGCAACCGACCCTCGTCTTGATCAACGTTCGGAGCCGGTACGGTGATACGGACGAATCCATCACCACTCTTCCCGCTTGGAGGGGCCCTCCCCATTCTTGAGCCCAGCCCACGTTCGGATATGTTGGCAATTTTGGAGCAATTATCAAGCACTCTATTTGGTGCCTTACAATCCCTGACTGTCTAGCTGAGGCTTACTATCCTTCGGGAAATCCGGACCGGCGCCAGACGAGCCTTCTAGGGCTTCGGCGCCGCATCCCTTCCCGAAAGAGACTGCTTGTCCGCCCAATTTTCCCCACCGCCGCCCAAGAGAGCCTCATCGTCAAACTTTTGTCAGCACGCTTGTGGTTTGTCCGAGCAGATAGTCTGCCTTTTCAAGTTTTAGGGATTTTTTCCAACTACAACCATGTCGTCCAATTTGTTGAACTTCAACAAACCATGCAACGGATGTCGACGTCGAAAAGTCCGCTGCGATAAGGCCAAGCCATGCCTCAACTGCGTTCGTCATGGCATTTCTTGTATCTACGACCCCCAGAGGGAGCCCGGTATCCCCAGTCCCGAAAGTCAACAGCAGTTGCAGGAGAGAGTCGACCGACTGGAAAGGGTGATCGAGGAGATGAAGGGCATGTCTGTTCGAGGAGAATCACACAAGGGAACCGGCAGCTCGTTCCCGTCTGCGAGTCCAGCAACAAGTCACTTTGGCGAGTTCTACAACGAACGAGATGAGTCCTTGGCTGGAGATCCTGGGATGCAAGTTTACGACGAAAATGTGTCCTACTATCTTGGCCCGGACTACTGGCTCAACCTCCAAGATGCCGTCTACGAACCAAGATGTCTATTTCGTATCGACTCGGATAAGACGGGCAAGAACCCTGCGAGTCCGTCCTCCTGGCCTATCGGTCGAACACCCGTTCTGGCCGACCTTTCCCATCTACACCTTGAACCCGAAAAAGAAGACATCTTGACCGACCTTTTTCTCGCCCATGTTGAGCCTTACGTCCGGATAGTCCATGAGTCCTACTGGCGGCAGCAAATCACGGACTTCCGAGTGGGCGTCCACAAAATCCCGATAGACGTGGAAGCAAGCATGTTTGCAACTCAAGCCATGACCGTTGCGGCAATGCCGGCAAACCTGATCCAAGAGAGGCTAGGCAAACCGAAGAAAGATCTTCTTCAACACCTGCAGGAAGCTACCCAACTAGCTCTTGAGAGAGCAGACATTTTGCGGAGTAGGAAGGTTTTGGCTTTCTTTGCTCTGCTCTACCATATTGTTCGTTCGACCTCTTTAATCTGTCTTCACTCACGATTTTGAAGATGGTGTTTACTAATTTTCGTAGCAAGCGAAATTCATCACGGGTGATGGAGAAATTGCAGTTTCTCTCCTTGGGCTGGCTGGTCGATTCGGTACAAGACTTGGACTGCACCGAGATCCAAGTCACTACAGCTATTCGCCCTGGATAGCAAATATGAGGCGCCGAGTCTGGACTCACTTCGAAGTCATGGACAACCCGGTGTACAACTTGGAAGGCGCAGAATCCGGCCTGCCATCAATATCCGACGTGCAGCCTGCAAAGAATGCAAACGACAGCCAGTGGATACCAAATCGATTCGCAAAACCAGGTTCTACTCCTCCAGATCAAGATGGAATTACAGACATGTCATTTGTTCTCATACGGCAACATCTGTTCAAGACGATGCAGTCGATAACGCGAAGGAGGAACGATACGAGCCCGGAAGAGCTGAACAGGATTATTGATCAGACCGAGAATTTTATCAAGGCCAAGTTCATATCCCACGTTGACGGTAGCTCTGCAAGCCATGCCATCATTGTGTCATACTTCAGAACAAGTGTGAGGAGCATGCGACTTCTTGTCGAGACGGTTGTGGCTAGACATACAGGGGTTGGTCAAGATGCCGAGTTCCGTTCAGGGTAAGTTAAGACTTAAGAGCAAAGACACATACCATTGCTAACGTTTTGAGATAATAGATTATATCAAGAATGTGTAGAAATCCTGGAGGAAGCTGAGCGCGGAGAAGCAGTGGCTCTTCAAAACCATTGTGGATGGATATACCGATGGCCTACGACCCCCTGCACGATTTCAAACATTCTCATCGGTCTCGCCCAGCAACCCAAACATCCGGTCACGGACCGAGCATGGCGGCAAATGAACATTGTGTTCCGGAGGCACAACAACGAGGACATAAGTATGCGCAAATTTGCTGCTTGGAGGGTCATCGAAGCTCTATGCGACCAGGCTATGCTCTATCACAAGCAGAGATCACACGAAGGGGCATGGTACGCCCAGAGGCTAGACCAAGTCCAGGCCTTGACGACGGCGCAGGGAAAAGCCTCCCTCTCACTGGAAAATGCGACAGTCGACGACATCCTGGGTGACGTGCAAATGTTTGGACAAGATGCCACAGTTTTGGGTGGTCACAGTTATTTTGCAGCACAGCAAGCACTTGAGCCGTTGGGATATCCTCCTTGGAATCAGTCACCAACTGGGCAATCTCACGGTCAAAGTCAAGCGCACCCGCACCCGCACCCGCATCCTCATCCGCATCAAGCGTCGTCTGATGATGGCGAAGACATATGAATTGCGGGTGACGCAATCCGTGGGGACAATGAAACTTCTAGAACGGCGTGAAACAAGGATAGGTCAAAATTCAATCATCATTCAATGATTCAACTCATGGGACTCTATAGAGAGAAAAAAAAAAGAAACTACTACCCGACACCCTGAAGCCGTTCGATCCTATTCTAAAAGACCAAGACCATTCGATCCTCGGAAACGGCACGGAAATGTGGATGAAGCCAAGCCATGATTCCAAGAATTCACAACTCAATGCTTGCTTGGTCTGTGGGTCCTTGTGCGTCCGAAAGGCCAACCGTCTGAGAACATGAGTTTAGCCAAAGTCTAATTTATGGAGAAAAGAAAACGCTCTTTGGGATTGGAGAAAATGGAGAGAATCTTCAACTCACATTGACTAGGAGCATGGACGTCAATGTCCAACTCGTCAGCCCAAGTCCATACCAGGTTAGGGTCTTTGAGAAACGCCCGGCCCACGAGGACGGCGTCTGCCTGGCCGTCCGCCAAGACTTCCGTGGCGTCCTTCCCCGTCGCGATGCCGCCGACGGATCCAACCAGGGTGCCGGTGCCCTCAACGGCTTTCCGGATAGCTTCCGCTATATAGGCCTGGTACTTGGGTCCTGGAACGACCTTCATTCTCGCATCTTGCCCGCCAGCGGAGATATCGAGAAAATCCGCCCCCTTGTTAGCGAGGATCTTGGCGAGTTTCTGGGCTTGAGGGATGTCCCACTGGGGTATCGAAGGGTCGAATTCCAGATAGTCGGTGCCGGCGAGACGCACCAGAACCGGATAGTCCTCGGGCACGTTGGCGCGTGTCAGTTCTGTCAGCTCGACCAGCAGACGGGAACGGTTCTCGAAGCTGCCACCGTACTGGTCGGTTCTCTTGTTGGACGTGGGCGAGAGAAAGTTATTGATCAGGTACCCATGGGCGGCATGGATCTCGATGGTCTGCAGAATAATTTAACAGCTGGAAACAAAACAAAAAATAACAGTAATAACTGAGCCCCCCGGCAATGAAACTTACGTCGTATCCGACTTTGACAGCACGCTTAACGGCATCAACCCATTTCGCTTTCACAGTCTCAATGTCCTTCAAGGTCATTTCTTTGGGAACGTAGGTGTCATCACTGTACGCTACGGCAGAGGGTCCGTAGACGTCCTCGGGCCATCCACGACCCTGTAAAAAATGTGTGTTAGCTGTTGTGCTGATCACTGTTCAACGTGCAAGTGTGTCTGAGACCAGGAGGTCTCTAGAGAGTACGGATACGGGGTTCAGAACGCCAAGGTACCTTTTCGCCTGCCACCGCCTTACGGTCAATCCACGGCGCAACGGTGCTCGCTTTCCGGCCGGCATGGCCAATCTGGGCACCAATGTGCCCTCCCTGGCTGTGGACAAAGTCAATGACCTCCTTAGCGGCGACCAGCTGCGAGTCATCCCAGATTCCCAGGTCCTCGGGCGAGATGCGGCCCTCGGGCACTATGGCCTGGACCTCCGTCAGAACAAGCCCGGCGCCGCGGACCGCATAGCTCTGGAGGTGCGTCTTGTGCCATGCCGTCATGTGCCCTTTGTCGGCAGAGTACTGGCACATGGGCGACACGATGATGCGGTTGTGCAGCGTCAGGCCGCGAATCTTGAGCGGCGAGAAGAGCGTGCCATCTGGCTGAGGGTCCCTGGCGGTCCCGGCGGCTGGGTCCTGGATGGGAGTGAAGTAGGGAACCTTTCATCCGGGCTAATCAGTACGGCACTGTGAGGCAGTGGTCTCGCGGAGGCTTTTCCCGCGGTGCGGTCACCGTCTCAGTGCTGTCTGGCAGCACCGGCAGCCCACAGGATGAACGCCTCTCGCTGTGCTGGGGGTAGGGGTCTTACATTTTTGGCTCCCTCGTTGATCAAGCCGGGGTCTGAGACTTGCAATGCACCGGGAACTGGCGCCTGGTCTGCGGCCAGCGGAGCTTCGACTTTGGTCATTTTGTTGAGTGGGGATTATGTTATATCTGGCTTTGCAATCGGGATATGAATTTACGGATATTGTTTCCTCTGTCCGTGCTTATTGTGAACGGTAAACCTTGACGGAGAGATCAAGAAGCACTGGACTTTATATGGAAGACTCTATATGGGCGTAGTGTGTTCAATATCGTACATCTCAAAACATCAGGAACATTCAAATGTCGGCGAGAAAGGACGAACTGTTGAGCCGCTCGGTGCTGAGTAATTGCCGTCATTGTGCACAAAGACGCAAGTCGGTGGTTCGCTGAGAAATCGGCTTGACTCACTGCTGCTTGCGCTGCTTGTGACACCGATATGTACCTCGACTGTTGGCTAAGACCATACCGTTTTCGACTGGTGGCTTTGTACTACACTGATGACTGCATAAGGCGCTCCAATTGTGCAAACAGTATTACAAAGGTGAGAGGGCACTTGTTAGTTAGGCTACATTATCAACTTATTCTACCTACTTTACGGAGTACACTGACAGAATGCAAGTAAAACCCGTTGCTCTCGCGCCTTCGTTACCTATTTCGTGCGCGATGGCGAAGTTCGTGCGGGTCGTCTGAGATGTTTTGCCTCTCTGGCACCAGCCGGTAATTGAAAAATTGTCTCAAAACTGTGAGATGCCGTAGTGCCTGTTACTGAGTGGCCGGTCCGTCAGGCCATCGCTGACCAAGGTCTGCATGCCAGTCTGCTAGAAGGATCCGAACCCCTGCCGACACGCGGTCTAATGTTGCTCACGGTGGTCTCGCCGACTCGCCGACACGGCGGATACCACCCTAGGACACGGCCACAAACCCCAAGCGGCATCGATTTGGTCTCCGGTCGTGGGGCTAGCGGCTCATTGTCGGTTATTCCATGGCCATTCTTCCATTGCTCTCTACCTTGATGACGGTGTCGGGCGTTGTTCTCTTCGTTATGCCCCTATTTAGTTGTGGCTACAGCTGAGCGCCGAGGCTCGGTTAATTTTGGCTGGAATGTCGAGCGCCATGCACGAGTGCTATTCAAGACATCACTAATCACTTATTACGTGTTCCAGATTGTCGGTATCTATAACACAGTGTAGCAAGGACACTCGCGCCACTGGAGCATTGTCCCTGTTCCATATCAATATCTTAGTTAAAAGGAGGATAGGAGTTCGAAGTCGCGAATCACTGGCTTCACGTCGACAACCGCACGCAAGAAAAGAACAGGAAGACCGAAGCTGATTAGTGTCAGGGATGGCCCACAATGGTGTTAAGAAATTCATGATCTTTCGAAAAATGCCCCCATAACATAGGAAAACCAAAGGATTTAAGACGCCACAGTTAGTCAAATTGACCTTGGAAGTATACACTCCCATCTACAGTGAGGTACCAATACCAATCAATCTTTCGAGCTTTCCTCTCTTGGTATCTTTTGCTTGTTCGGGACTTCTGTGGGTTTGTGGCCCCCGCCAAGTTAGCACAACGGTGCATGGGGCTATTGCGAGTTTACGACGTGTGAATGAAAGAATCGGCGGGTAGTCAAGGGCGGAGAATGGCAACAAACGTGCGACTTTCCATCATTATCATGCCTCTGATAGATACAGTTTTAGACTGAGTTCTAGTGAAGACTCAGAGCCGTCCCTATTCCATTTCCTACGCTCTGGCTATTCTATTTGAACCGTATTAGTATTCGTATGCGACTGTAGTCACACAAGGCAAGAATGCCCCGAATGATGAAAACTTAAAGTGCTATATTGCCGACAGCAGTGCTGGGTTGAACCTTCCGTGCCCGTTGACACTCACACCCCAGACTGGATAACTAAAGCGCTCATCCCATGTCCATCATCCATATCGATGCGTCCAGGCCAGACCTGATGTTCTTGACTCGTTAACCAATTCTAGATCTTTGTCTCTCGTTTCGAATCAGATCAGTGCCAAGATTGGGCCAGAAGTCTGTGCCCTGAACATATGCGCATTCTGCCGAGAATTTACAACGACAGTTGTCTTTTCCTACATGTAGACGTAGCATCCAAGCTCACCAATTGCAACACCCCCACACACGCGCTGCACATGTTGTTATTGAGATTCCTAAGACAAGAGCTCAGGGATTCGTTGTCAGTGGTGGCACTGTGGCGAGAACATCCCGCTGTTCGACAGCTATTCACCGCCTCGGAGACTCTGCGTTGGCGCCAACAAAGCACCTTCAGACTTTGCAATGGCATCGTCGGCGGCTCTTTCCAACTCTTTTGTGAGTGTCATACTGTGTAGAGACCGCATGTGATGCTAGGTATTCAACACATATCCTTGCCCGTTCAGCATCAGAAACATGCCAGGCAGCAAGCCCGCCGGCGGCCGCTAGCCGCTCGGGCAACATCCGCTTTGGAGGAAAAGACGACGACGGAAGGACTTCCCAGCGACCGACCAACTCTAATGTAACACTCTTGAAGTTCGACTTGGCAGCGGCGATTTGGGACGAATTCTAGCCTCACCGATACTGCCGGTGAAGCTGGACGTGCGCGCCCGTACCGTGTCCAAATACCCACGTTGGGATGGAATGCTTGCTTGGGCGTTAAGTGCCGACCTCGGCACCCGACTAGGGCTGCAGCAGGGGCACCATTCTCGGTAAAGGGCCCGGCAGTAGACGAGGTTGAAAAAGGGGCCAAGTGCGATATTTTGATGGTTGTGTACGGAGTACCTCTCGGAAGCGAAGGCCAGAGTCACTTTACGACAGTGATGAGCGGTGTATTAAAGGGTACGATACCCATCGACAGAAATGGTTGCATATGGGTGTAGCATATTTGTGCTTGACGAGAAGACATAGTGAGAGCTGAGGTGTGAGTTGCGGTGATGGAAAACTCGCAATTGATGACCTCTACTATACCGAGACTCGTTGCCAACGTTCCCTGATCCATCGCTTATGTTGAGTTATAATTAGCCTAGAAGGTAAGCGGTCTTCTCACAAGTGGTGTTCAAAGAGTGCAATTTTGAGATTCAGCAGGCTTGTAACACTTTCCCATTAAGTTTTCTCCTGTCTATAGGAGTTGCTCATGCTGCTGCTTGGTGAAATTGGCGGAACTTTAGTGTTACACCGCGACGCTCCGCTTATGTGAGACGTGCAGCTGTGTAGGAGTGTTGTGGATTTCAAATCTGTCATCGCATGCTGGTCCCCAATAACTTGCTCTACTCGATACCACTACACACTAGATCAACAATTATGACTCCTCGCCATTGGGGGTTCGAGTTTAGGGGAAGCGAATACTGTTTGGCTTGAGATCTCCATATTTCTGTCAATTAAAGCCTGGATACTTCCTCACAGGCAAATGTATTATGCATTGGTACCACTCCAGAAGACGAAGGCAAGGTCTCCTGCTACTTACTGAGTTCTGGGTGCAGTATCCCAGTACCTTGGATGCCGATAGAAAGTCAGAGTACTTATGTGTAGTATACAAAGATACGTGCAATGATTGAGACATTGGACGAGCTAAACATCCGAAAAAGAATACATGTAGTACATAGATAGTAAAAAGGGAGACCATAGCTCGGCTTCACGATGTGTTTGGACCGAGTCTGGGGAGGGTTTAGTTATCCAGTCCATATTAGTTCGCATATTCTACACAATCAATGCAAGCAGTAAAGATAGTCAATTTCGGTATACACCCATTTACGACAGCCTTCAGTCTCTTTCTTGGGGTTGAGTTGAGCTCATACGCGGACCGCGTACGATGTGGGTCTCAGTTCGGGAGAAACACGGCGGCATGGCGGGAACTCCGGCGGAGGTTTCAATGTAGGTCGGATTAGTTAGACACATCAGGCACTGCCGCAACTTTGACTTTTGCTGTGTAATCGCATGAGGTAGCCAAGTTTCTCTTTCACGGGAGCAACTTTATGGAGCAACTAATTCTACTTTGCATTAAAAGTCATCCCATGTCCGCGCTTGACAACGGCATTCAAACCCGAGCCTTTAACGCGAGTTGGAGGCCTTCGGGCATGCGTGTTGCGCCCGCAAGGATCCTCACTGCACCGCCCAGGGTGCTTCTACAGGTTTATCACGGACCAGAGCAGAGAAACACTTGGAAATGTCGCAGTTAGCATTGTTGCCGTCACCTTTCTCACCAAGGTGTTGATTCGGGTTGTAGAGTGAAATTTGGAGCATTCCAGCTAGTAGGACAGACGTCTCCCAACGTTCAACTTAAGTAAGTCCGATCAAGGCATTTTCAGCCTCAAGTATCCCTCAGTATCATGTTTGTCGCCGGGCTCCTGTTTCTCATCTCCAATTACCCCCAGAAGCTCTTCCAACCCTTTTACTGCTCTTTTCCCGAGAGATAGTAAGCTCCCCATGCCGAGCATCTCCAAAACACTGACTTCGAATCCGAATACTCCTTTCCACCATCCGCGCATTTCTACCGCCACCAAACTATCGAGACCTGCATCTTGAAGCGACATATTCACGTCAATCTCTTCCTCGTCCTCGACAGGCTTCAGCAGCAATTGGAACAGTTGCACAGCGATCTGCCTTGCGATGAACTTTGAGGTCTCCGTCGAAGTCAAGATGTTAGGATCTGCAGCCGCCGAGTTCAGGAATGCAGCCAGGGCACCTTGATCCGAAGAGGTGCTTCTCGCGACAGCGTTTTGGTCGTTTTCCAAGTTGAAGTAGTATCCCATTCGTCGATCTTCTTTCCATGGAACTCTATTAGCCGGGTCACTCAAAGACGTGAGACTGCGATGGCCAAGCACAAGCTGAGCATTGTTGACGAATGTAGACGCTGCTGCGCATTCGGCACTGGGTTCTGGTGCACTGAGAACCAATGCGAGGGCATCCAGAAGTTGAGGGATCTTGATGCCGTAGATACCTTGACCCATCGGTCTCTCCATCAGCACCGGGTTGTCGGCCAGATAGCCCGAGTCCAACATGGCGCCAACGTCAACGACACCAGCCCTCAAGCCCAGACCTTGGCGGTACTGGACGAACGCGTCGAGAAAAGTGTTTGCTCCGGCATAGTTGGCCTGTCCTCTTTGCCCATAGATGCCTGAAATAGAGCTGAAGAGTAAAAAGAAATCCAAGTCCAGCCCTGCGTTAACACAGGCGTGGTGAAGGTTCCACGTTCCCTTGACCTTTGGATCTGCCGCTGCCGTCCACTCATCATGGCTCATATTGGCAAAGCTTTGGTCTTGTAGAACCATCGACATGTTGATGACGCCGCGGACTGGCTGGCTCCCAGCTTTGATGGCTCGATCGACATCTGATAGCGAGCTGATATCCCCTCGAACGGTGATGGCTGAGCATCCTTGGGCTTCAAGCTCTGCCACAAACCTTTGATTCTCGGTCGTCTTCGCACCCTGTCGGGATAAGAAGATCAGATGCTTTGCACCATGCTCGACCATCCAATTAGAGACTGAACGTCCAAGACCACCCAAGCCGCCAACAAGGAGGTAGCTGGAGTCGCCGTTGAACGAAGGCTTG